ATACTTTGTAATGTAACCCTGGTTGGCAATGATGGAGGCCAAACATTTCTTGTTGGTCTTCACCAGGTTTGCACACACTGTAGCAGGTATTTTGGCCCATTCTTCCGTGCAGATCTTCTCAAGAGCTGTGATGTTTTGGGCTGTCACTAGGCAACACAGACTTTCAACTCCCCCCATGGTTTCTCTCTTGGATTGAGGTCCGGAGACTGCCTGGGCCTCTCTAGAACCTTAAAACGCTTTTTACGTAGCCACTCCTTTGTTGCCCGGGCGGTGTGTTTGGGATCATTGCCATGCTGGAAGATCCAGCCACGTTTCATCTTCAATGCTCTCACTGATGGAAGGAAGTGTTTGCCCAAAATCTCATGATATACAGCCCCATTCATCCTGTCCTTAATATGGATCAGTCATCCTGTCTCCTTTGCAAAAAAGCAGCCCCAAAGCATAATGTCTCCACCCCCATGCTTCACAGTGGGTATGGTGTTCTTGGGATGCAACTCAACATTCTTCCCCCTCCAAACACGGCGAGTGGCATTTAAACCAAAAAGTTCCATTTTGGTCTCATCTGACCAGATGACATTCTCCCAATTCTCCTCTGGATCATCCAGATGGTCTCTGGCAAACTTTAGATGGGCCTGGACGTGTGCTGGCTTAAGCAGGGGGACCTTTTGAGCACTGCAGGATTTTAATTCATGACGACGTTGTGCGTTACTAACAGTAACCTTTGTTACTGTGGTCCCAGCTGTCTTCAGGTCATTGACCAGTTCCCCCGTGTAGTTCTGGGCTGTTTCCTCACCGTTCTCAAGATCATTTGTACCCCACGAGGTGAGATCTTGCGTGGAGCCCCAGTCCGAGGGAGATTGTCAGTGATCTTGTATTTGTTTTATTTTCTAATAATTGCTCCAACAGTTGATCTTTTCTCACCAAGATGCTTGCCTATTGCAGATTGGCTCATCCCAGTCTTATGCAGGTGTACAATCTTGTCCCTTGTGTCCTTAGACAGCTCTTTGGTCTTGGCCATAGTGGAGAGTTTGCAGTCTGACTGTTTAAGGATGTGAACAGGTGTATTTTATACAGATAATGAGTTCAAACAGGTGCCATCAATTCAGGTAACAAGTTGAGGATAGAAGAGCTTCTTAATGAAGAAGTAGCAGGTCTGTGAGGGCCAGAATTCTTACTTGTTTGTAGATGCGAAATACTTATTTTTTGCACCATTATACAAATAAACTCTTAACAAGACATTCTGTCTCTCACAGTTTAAGTGTACCTACAATAAACATTACAGGCCTCTCTCATCTTTTTAAGTGGGACAACTTGCAGAATTAGCAGCTGCCAAATAATTTTTGCCCCACTGTATGTTTAATTTTAGTTTTAGTTCTTATGAAATCAGTCGACCGTACTTTTTCTCAGTCGATTTTTTCTCCCACCCCTAGTACTTTGAATTTTACTGGCCAAATATATTTATTTGGTTTATATTGAACACATCCTCTCTGTCAGCAACTTGTGTCTCCAAAAGCACTGCTTTCAAGAGAGTTTTAAAAAACTGGTTTTCACATAACTGAACACTGCACAAGATTCAATCATAAGCTTTTAAAAATGTTTCAGATCTGTTAAAGATTTGAAAGTCTACTGACAGGCATTATGGGAGATCATTAGAATTGATTAGTGCAAGAAAAAAAGAAATTATGAAATATGGAGTATATATATTTTACAAACTGTTTTGTAAGCAAGCCAAATGACCAAATATCTGTTAATTGCGTCAGACAGAGATTATTCTTGTTTTGTTTACAGATGTATGAAAAGGTTTTGGACTGTTGTCTTCACAACGTCCATAAACTCTGACAATTCAGAGAATTTTCTTTTACGACTGTGAGCTATTTATTTATTCAACAAGTTGAAAAAAAGTGGACTGATTCCTCATGACAACAGTTGTTGCAGCCTTGAACTCAACAGCTTCCACCATATTGGCCAGCTTTATTAATGCTTTAGACCTTTTCTAAATGTAACCTGATATAAAGTAACCTCACGTGGCTTTCACAAAGGCCCATTAACGCACAGCTCCATGTTCATATAACAGCCTGACCAAACCCCACAGACACCAGAGGTTACCCATGTCCATTACATGCTTCTCCCCGGCCCACAACAGCCAGTCGATAAACATTTGAAGTGACCACCTGCCTCACAGCAAACACATCAGGGACTCATATACAGGAGGGACCGTTTTTATTGATAATTTTGAGTTAATGATTGTGTTGTTTATGGAGGCTCGAACCACTGTGCAATTGGCCCATAACTTGGGCTGAGAGCCTATTAGGCCACATGAATCTACATGTGACATCATTATAGGTTGCAACCTGTGTGTATGTTGGGTAGTCTTGGTGGGTGGTGCTTGGAGTGTGTGGGCCTGATGTTTCTGTGATGCATCGTATCTGCAAATTGTTCTGACGCCTGCTTGTAAATTGCATCACAGCATGTTAAGGAAGCAAACAAACTCTAAAATCTGATTGTCTAACAGCAGATGAAGGATGAACTAGTCTGGCTTTTAAGTCATGTTACCAATACCTGAGAGAGAACTAAGTACTGGTTGATATTGACTGTCAGTGTGCCAGTGATAGAGATAAACTGTATGCCTCTCTTTGTGGAAAATCAAGTTTTTTTGGCATAACTATTCTGGAGGAATCTGAATAAGATAAGATGTGTGGACAATGCTACTTCTGCCCTTGGAAACACAGGCTGTGCAGGTATTGCAAGTAGCCCTTCATGACTCATTAGTTTCAGAGATTAGAGGTTACAAGTTCTGCATTTGGGGCATGGCTTAAGGCTAAAACCCACAGGATCTGTAATGGCTCCATTCCGGCACAACAGGCGGATAAGATACCCAAGCATTATAATCCATGTGTGTGATTCCATACAATCCGTCCGCCGCCCAGCTCCGCTGTGAATCAACCCTGACGGCCGGATCAGATACACAAGGCTTTTATTTTTGCCGGGCGCTGCAGCACGGTGCATGAATTCAGTGCAGCACAGCACGAGCAGCAGCAGAAGTTGTACGTTGCTACAGAGTAAAATATTCAGTTAATTTTCAAAATAAAATGAAGTCAATACATTAAACTGTTCTTCATTTGATAATATGAGAGGCCAGGGTTGTAGGATGTCTATGGGCAGTCTATGGACTACACCATTTAAGGCTTCAGAATTCCAGTTCAGTGTCTGAGGCCATTTTCCAGTTCGCCAAATATACTAGCAGTACGTACTGATTTGCCCAAAATTCAGTATGCAGTATGAGAACAAATGTGAAATTTGCAATATGTCAAAAATACCCGGGTAACATACTGATTAGGGAAGATTTCACAGTATGCATTGGACCAGTCTGCTTCATCTACTGTTACCCACAATGCAAAGCGCCTGGCAAGATGGCAGATTGACGGAGAGTGGCGAAACATTTACCCAAGCAACAGAGGATTACAAATATAAGTGCTATTACTTATTATCTTTACTGTTTTACCTTGTATTGTTGCAAAATGTGTTGTAATGAGGTTACTGTTGTTGTTGTCTTCCTGCCACAGCTTGTAACGGCCAGCAACCTGCTGTTAAGTGTGTCCTTTCACTGTAATCTACCTGCTAAGCTAATAACAACGACACAATTTTTAAGATAGCTGTCAGCCCTGATGTGCCACATTGTGAATGGTGGTGATGGGAACATCAGAGGTCCCTGACACCACCTGATATACGACCACCTGACCACCTGATCAAGTTAGTTATGAAATAAACTTGTTGTCAACAAACATGTTTGTCTCAGAGTGTTGTTTATTTGATTTACTGACAGTAAAAATCTGTAAACTTGATCATGAGCTTACTTTTGCTGCCCAACTAAACCCCAGCTCACCCTTGAAACATAAGCGGGGTAGGGGAGAGTGGGGTAAAATGAGCCATTTTTTATATTTCTGATCACTACATCAAGGCAATCATAGTTTTGTCTCTAACTAGTGTATCTGCATAAATTTCAAGATGTTGTGCATCCCTGCAAACCAACAGAATGAATGTAAACATAACTGTCTTGATTGGTTAGAAGGTTTCCCAAGTGCTTCTAACCTTCACAGACTCCATGAATTGATGCCTATCACCTAAATACTTGGTCACATGATCAATTTCTTTTACCATTTCTAAGCAACAGGGGGTGGCTCAACTTACCCTTTGGCTCAATTTACCCCACTCTCCCCTACTACCATCGTAATCATTTTCCAAGAGAACAGCCAAAGGATTTCTCCTTCTGACAGCCTGTCTTCTCCTCATTTCAGCATTATTTATGCAAACTACTGACAAGAATGCCATGTTTTGTTACCATACTGTTCAGTTTTCACCCTCTATTTCCATCGCCTCATATTTCCAGCTTCTCCTAATCCTTTATACTGTATGGTGCATGTGATATTTACCACACAGTGTGTGCCATCAGCGATGTTTACGTCACACAGCTGGACAGGCAGCCAGCATTAGAGTGGGTCCAAAGCTATAATGCAGAAAGATGAGTAAATGTTGAATGGTATTTGAAATAACTTGACCCTGGAATTGAATAACAACTAGATTGATTTAGACTGATGCCTCTGTACATGGGGCAACTGCAGGACCAACTATGTAAACCAGTGCCCAGTGTCAGGCTGTGCAGCTAATCCCACTTTCATTGTTTTCTGGGTAAAAAGTCTGAATTTGTCACAATAAAAAGAAAATTATTGTGAAAGCTATCAGTTTTTTCTTACTCAGCAGGTGTCCGTTTTGCCCATTGGATGGTGGCCATACAGTGGCCATGCTTTTACAACATTTTGATGCAGTTTTTGAACTTGATGCTAGCTATCAGCCACTCTCAGATTAATCTGTGTCAATTCAGCAGAGAAAAACATGTGTTTTTAGATTTTCAGTTTGAAATTTGTCACACCACTAGGATAACATGGAATAATTAAACCAACTGTATGTCTGACACAGTCTCTGTCTTTGGTCTCTGTAGGTAAATGGAGGTGCAGGACAGGAGCCGCTCCCCGTCCCGAAGGACCAGCCGTGTGGAACAGGTGGTGGGACGATGGCTGAGACGGTCCCGAGACTTGGGCAGCAGGTCTCACTCCCTGACCAGGTGGCTTTCTCTTTTTGTTTCTTTTACATTCATTTCTCTGACTTTCCATTAACTCGGCTCATTATCCTATTAAGTTCACATAACAGACCCTCAGGTAACAAATAAAAAATAAAGGAGCATCTCACCCAGCCAGAATGTTAAGGGCAAAAAAAAAGTTGAACATTTTCCAAGGTTATTCAACTCAAATGTTTCATGCATTTTACTAATTCTCTTTTCATAATTACATTAAACAGCTGGCAGGGGTGGTGGTGGGGGTGTCACAGAAGGTCACTGAAAAAGGTTGGCTGTTCACAGAGTGCTGTATCAAAGTTTATTCATGTTAAAAGGAAAGTTGACTGGAAGGAAAAAGTACTCATGCAACAAGGATGATTATAACCTTGATTAGGTTTTAAAGAAAAGTCTATTTAGGATCTTTGGAGAATTTTACAAGAAGTGACCTGAGGCCAGTGTCAGAGCCTCAGATGTCTTCAGGAAAAGGAGCTGCAACTGTTACATTCCCAATATAAGAGAACACGTTATTACAGTCTCACCAGGGCTGTCTTCATTTTTGTAATAAGTGCAAATACGGATATGTTGTTTTTTGCAACATGTCACTACATCATTTGTTTTATTTTGATGTCTGTCTGCTCCTCTCCAGAGACCGGGCTGCAGTGGAAGGGAAGTCAGCAGAGTCCAGTGGCTCAGACCAGAGGAATTACCCTTTCCGCTTCAATGTCCAGATCCAGCGAGACCCAAACCTCAACTCTCATGGCCTCATTCTGTCCTCCCAGACCCCTATCTTGGTGCAGGAGGTCACTCCAGGTAAAACAGAGTTATACAATGAAACATAGCTGAGGGAAAGGAAAACAGTTCTACAAAAAGATCATGCAGTTTTAAAAGAGTGCATTCAATATATGTAACATTCATTGACCCCTTTGCCTCGATCTTAAATTAGTGTCTCTTCTAAGGACAATATTGAGTCAAAGTAGACTGATAACATCATAAAGCCTTCAAGTGTATTCACATGATTCTTTTATTAGCAGCTATCTAACACACTTGTTCCTGGAACCCATACAGCATTTCTCAGACTTGGCGTCTCTGACGTAAATGATGTCCAGCACTGCTCATTAGGAGGGAGTTTATTTTCATTGCTGACACAGCATGTTTAGCTGAGCCATGCTATGTCTGCTTGCTAACTTTCATCCTGTGGTGATGGTGCCCATTGTGCCACTTTTCATTGCCAAGGTCTGTTGTTGTGTTTGTGTATGTTCTGTATTTGTGTCCTGCAAAATAAGCAGCACATAACTCCTGTTTACCTGAAAGGTTGTGAATCCCTGTGGCTGCAGCCCTGACATGACCTGTCCCACCACCTGTATGCTGTAATGAAACTCAGAGGAGTGCTGCTAAATTGTTCAGTATCAGGATATAATTTGATGTTGGAAAAATTAACAGCTACTGAAGTCTGCCCACTGGGAGTACTGTTCCTTTCTCTCTCTGATGTACATCTCTCGGCTGAATGCGAAAGAAGCTCAAACTGCAGAAGATTGCAAGTTCTGAGCCATATGCTATTACTACTCTCTCCTTCTCAGCTAAAGAATCAGTGTAGCTGAAAGCTAAATAGGGCTTCATCTAATTGGCCAAATTGTGCAAATGAATATGCATCAATATGAAGTCTATCCTGAAATTATTTACAAACTAATGACCCTGTAGAGAGCTCAACTATCCAACATTTGCATGCTGCTAGGGCCGTAAGCGAAGGGTGCTAAAAACAAATACATTCAGATTTTTTTAGCAGAAACGTATTCCTCCATCCTGTTCTCCCTCTTGGCTCTTGTTTTGCATAGAGCAAGTCGCCTCAGCAAATGCAATAGTGGAACTGGGCCAGAACACTGCAGGCCTCTGGCCTCTGTACAAGTCAATCTGTAAATGTGAAAACTCAAAGCGAGCTCTTACTTTTGTTTAGACTGTAAACATGCACACAAATTAGCTGACAAAGGAAAAGTGTGGTGGCATTGATGTGTTTTCATGGCATGTGTAAGTGAAAGAAAGAGGAAATGAATGAGTCAAAGTTTGAAGAAGGAGGCTATTTACTTTTTATTTAGACTCTCAGTCAGACAGTTCCCTCTCCCAGGCTCTTTACTGTAACCATGTGCTCCTCTCCTCAGATGCCTTATACTTTAAATCCACAAACAATGATGTTCAGTTTGTGGCTGGGCCCCTCATTATGACTGGGATCACATCCTTTAAGGGTGGATGAAGACTAGCTCCCAAGTATCGTCCAGGGCTCTTTCATTTGTCTATCATGGTGAATAACTTACATTCATAATACATGCACTGTCTCTTTGGCACCACTTGAGTAAAATATGTCGAAGCATGTCATTAGAAAGATCTGACATTGTGAAGTTTGGTCAAAAAAAAGTTATTGGTAAGATAAAGTGAAAAAAATATATAATAGATCAACATAAAGTCTGCAAGTAAAACAACCCGTCTCCTATAAGGCCTGTACCTTCTTCACACAAAAAAAGAAACCCAACTCATATTTAAGGATATTATTTTGGCCTAAATACAAGACAGCCCTGGTTCTAAGATCACCAAAACTTACTGTTAGACGCACTCAACAAAACACAATGATAGCAGGACTGGGCGATTTGGCAGGAAAAAAATGATCACGATATATTTATTTATTTTGTCATATTGTCTGATTTCGATTAACCTATTATCATGATTTTTTTTAACCTGCCAGTTTTAAACATCTATACTAAAAACTAAAGAAACTAGAGATTATTTCAACGTTTTATTAACATATATAACAAAGGATATTGAATAAGATTATATTTATTTTACTAATATTTCAAGTATATAACAAAGCATATTGAATTAGATAAACTGTAAAAAAAAAAAAAAAACTTTTACTCAACAGTACAACAAATGTAGATAAATACTAAATAATACAGTGAACTAGTTTACAGTCCTGAGTGTTTTTGCAGATATGCAAGACTCAAAATAAACAAATTGCCCCTTCAGAGATAATGAAGACGCCTTAAAATATAAACATTAGATGATGTAAATGTAAATGATACGATTAATTGCTGCTTTGGTCTGGTGGCTGCACCGCTAGTCGAGGCTAAACTGTTAATGCTACATGTGCCCTCAGCAGTGGCAAGCTGTACAGACTCCGCTCACAACGCATGTTCATGCTTTCCGCATAGTCACCCAGGAAGTACTTTTTCAAATGATTAAACAGATTTGTTGTGTTGCTGGTTTTTGGGGGCACTGATCACTGCCATACCTTGCACATCGGCTTAATTCCTCGACGCCACTTTATAGATACCCGAACCACCACCACACAACTGACATTGAATAACTTTTCTTCTTAGCAATGGCATCTTCGGAGGATGACTTAAAGTCATGGCTGACATCTATTTTGCTGCCCTCAGCTTCGCGTTTAGCTCTACGTTCAGTCATTCTGTTTACTTCCTATCTTTACTTCTCCGGCAACTTACAGAAGTGGAGCAGGAAAAGCTCGACTCTGATTGGCTGTTGTCACACACATTTCCACTATGTTTGATCAAGTAAATATGCTCACAGCTGATCACCATGATTGAACTGAAATTTATCACGATAATTAATCAAGATCATATAATCACCCAGTCCTAGATGATGGTCAACATCTTTGAGATGAAAGATAATCCGTGTCTGAAAATGTAATTGTCACAGTGAAGTCAAATAAAAATAACTGCGTACTTAAGATAAGCAGCCAAGTATTCATATCTTTAGACACCATAATAATATGAATAACCTGAAAATCTAATAGATGGATGGCAAGTCTAGTATCCATCATTCAATGCACACTCATATGTTCAAGACAGTCTTCATGCACTCCCCATCTTTGGACTTTACATCCTCTGGTTCTTTTTAGTCATTTGATAGTTGTGTTACATCTCTGCTGCATTGTTTTCCTTAGAAAGTGCATCCTCAGCTCTGCCTCAGCTGGACTTGTTCTTCTCTTGTGCTACCTTGCAACATCTGCTGTCTTGCCATCTAATTACTGAACCCCCAATATAAGGCAGTCCCACTTTTATCAGATGTATTTCACAGATAACAGACCCTTGTATACAGTACCTGCGTCAAGATAGTAAGACATGGGTCGATTGGGATTGGGGTGTGATTTCAGTCGTAGCAAGGTCAGCAAGATAGGTAAAGTTTGAATACAGTTTTATGTGTGTCTTTACATACTCAATGCAGACATTACTGTATAAAGGGTGATACAATAATTCTTAACTTTGCCGCACGTCTTTTAAGTAGTGCTTGAAATGTTGTCACATCTAAAGCAGAGCTGCAGTCTCACAGTCCCTTAATATCTTTCCTAAAATAGAAGCAATTATCATCTCATACAGTAGCTTTTCATATAATCTAGCTTTAGCCATCATAATTCTCATTTAATCAAAGAATTTAGAGCTGCTGTCAAACTGTATATGCTCAGTTAATCTTTCAAAGATGACTAGAACAGTTGATGATAACATGTCTCAGGCCTTGAATCTATACCACTCCTTTTCTTCTGTGAATACAGGTGACAGAATAGTTTCATCAGGAGAATTAAAAAGTGAGCTGGCAACTTCACACAGGGGTATTCACAAAGGATGTCCTCCTGATCTGCCCTTTGGCCCCTTTTTTGATAAGGAGTATCTGCTGATACCAAGTTCAGATCTGATCTTTGAATTTGCCAAGATAATGTAGCCCACACTCCAATATCACCCATTGCCTTTTCTGTATTCTCTGCGTTGTCACACAAATTGACCTGCAAATGACTTGTTTTTTCTCTTATTTTCCATGTGATCAGCATTTTGTTGATGGCATGATTCACTCGCTCTGCTGTATGAGACTCTGCATGTGAAACTTGTATGCTTAAACTCAAATGTGAAGGGAACAGTCCTATGTGTACTCAGGCTCAGCAATGACAAATGTCAGACTTTCAAATGTTTGCTGTTAAACTTGCAGCTCTCACATTGTGTCTTGTATTTTTTTTCCAAATATGGTGTTGGTACAACACTAAAAAGATGATTAGATCAAAAATGCAGGTGCCCAATCAGCTAAAAAATACCAGATCGACAGTCAAGATCAGGAATGGGACTTGTATAGTACTTAACAAGTTAGTTTCAAAAGAAATCAGTCACCAATAGATCTGCTTGGTCTCCTGCCCATTTTATTGATTTTTCCACAGTTGGATAATTGATTTCCTGACATTGAGTGGAGGAAACACTCAGGGCTCTATTTTCGTGTCCGCTGGTGACGCGGCAGAAGGTGGCGGACCCCGCGCAGTGGTATTTTCATCTTGCAGAGCCCGGCGTACTTTCATGGACTGAGGCGCACCGAGGTCCGCCAAGCTGGGCGTGGTAGCGTGGCAGGGGGAGGTGTCGACAGAATCAGCTGGCGCAGTGACATTTTCGTGCTCACCGCAGGTGTGTAAAGTGCACTGAAAGCTCGCAGATTCAAACCTGGTCAGCTTTCAGCGCAGGTGGAGTGCAGCTGGTCTAGAGGTATTTTGGTAGACCTGCGGCGTATCGGCTTACGTCACCGATGCCTCACCGGCAGGTTTCCACAGTGTCAGGCACATTTCAGTGCAATAAATAATCAACAACAACTAATAATCTGAGTCAGCACATACATTGAGATCTATATAGATATATTCTGATCTATATCTGATCTGATGAGCGCGTTTGGCACGCGTTTGGACACTCAACCTGACTGAATTAACACAGCTAAAACCACATTAAATTAAATAAAATATCTAGTAAATAGACACACATGATGAAGTGAACAAGATATTTAATTCATCTCCCTCCTTTTCTTTTTTCCTCTTTCTCTTATTTTTCGCGCAGCTCGACCTGGACATGTGTCCATGTCCTCTCCCCGTCCTGCTGCAGCTGCTGCTGCGGCAGCTGAACAATGATTTATTTTAGTGATCAGGGGCCTCATGTATCAACACTTGCGTGGGACTCATACCAGAAACGAGCGCACGCAAGGTCCGTCACACTGAAAAAAATCTGTATGTATCAAGGTGTGCGGGCGCCGAAAGCCACGTGTGTTTCCTTGATAAATCCCAATCAGCTTGGAATTGAGCGCAGATGTCGGAGTGACCGGGCCCGCCCCCGTTACACCCTCCTATAAATATGCAGATTTATTTAAATAGGGTCTCCCTGTCCTCGCACGCAGACAAAATGACAAGAAAAACTAAATTTACGGCGTGCGAGGTGGAGGAGCGACAGCGTGTTTTGTTTGGCAGCCTGTCCAGTGGCGTCAGTGCAAAACGAAAACGCTTGGAGTGGGAGAAAGTTTGCGAGAGGGTGAACGCGGTGGGTTCCGAGACACGCACCCCCGCGGAGATTAAAAAAAAGTGGTCGGACCTCAAGGTGGAGGTCAAGTGGCGTACAGCTGCTATGACTCCCCCCAAGCATGTCCAGACGCAAATGTTTCTTTAACGGGTTTAATGAAGTCTTCTCCTCTTCATAATCATCCACAGACCTCCACAAACCGTGAAACTAGCAATACACAGTATTGGAATAACAGTTAGCACACTTACTATGCACATGTACAAATATTCATAACGAAAATAAAGACAAACAAATACCTCGTTGGCTGCATACTATGAAAGGGAATCTGTAGGCTTCTTATCTTCCAGCTTTGAAGTATTAGTTTGACTTTACCGTAAGTTTTAGCAATCTTAACGTAGCTTGACTTGGCAGCTAAAGGGTCAGAGCTGTGCACACGACCTCTGCTTGCTTGCATCTGACGTTACCCAGAACGCTACTGGCCTAGCAGCTCAACGTAAGTGTCAAAATAAAAGTACCCTTACACTTCAATATAAAATGCAAATAAAATACAGAAATAACCTGGTAATTCTCAAAGTGGGTTTCTCATACAAAATAAACAAAAAATATTCTGCAATATGGAAAATAAAATAGCAACAGTTACACTCCCACCAAATCTCACCAATCTTAAATGTGGGATTTCTCTACACTTAAAGACTGTTGCGAATCAACTCTTAAACATTGAAAGAACTTTACCACTCAACAAGGAATGATGAAAACATTAAGCATCAATCTGCTTCAATCAGTGTGACAAGCTTGTGTATAGGCCTATCAAGATACACTGTTTTGGTTGTGGGTTTACCCTTTGCATCAAATGTGGTGTCACTAACTAGCAACCTGACCTTTCTCACTCTATCATCTGACCCTGGATAGACTTCTGCTATTCTGGCCAACTTCCATTCGTTCCGTGGCGCCTGATCATCCTGCAGAAGCACAATGTCATTTGCCTTCAGGTTTCTTCTGTTCTTCTGCCACTTTTGTCTTAGCTGCAAACTCAGCAGATACTCTTTTTTCCAGCGAATCCAAAATTCATTGGCCAAGTACTGAACTCTGCGCCACCGCTTTTGAAGATACAGGTCTTCCTTGACAAACTGTCCAGGCGGAGGAAGGATTATGGTGGACTTCATCGTGAGAATGTGGTTCGGAGTCAATGGTTCAGGTGCGGATGGATCATTCAAATGTTCAGCGGTAAGTGGTCGGCTATTGACGATTGCCATCACCTCGTATAGGAAAGTTCTCAGAGATGAGCTGTCCAATCTTTGCGCTGACTTGTCGAGAATGGCTGTCAGAACACTCCTGATGGTCCTGATTTGCCTCTCCCAGACGCCGCCCATATGACTTGCTGCTGGGGGATTCATTAGAAATTCACATCCTAGAGCCTTGACTCTCTCTCCGTCCATTCCTTTCATGAGCTCTGCGAACTCCCTTCTTGCGCCAACGAAGTTGGTTCCTTGATCACTTCGAAGCTGACGAACATTTCCTCTTATAGCAATGAACACTCTTAGCGCATTGATGAACGCGTCCGTGGTCATGTCGTCAAGCATTTCCACATGTATGGCTCTTGAACATAGACAGGTAAGTAAAAGTCCATATCTTTTAACCTCTTTTCTTCCTTCTTTGACATAGATGGGTCCGAAACAGTCTATGCCTGTGTAGGTGAACGGAGGAGTTGTTTCCATTCGATCTTGAGGTAAGTCACCCATTCTTTGTTCTTCGGTGTATCTCCTGTACTTTCGACATTTGACACATTTGAAGATGTGTGACGATACTGCGCTGCTACTTCCCAGGATCCACCATCCGTTAGCTCGCAGTTCGTTCAACGTCATTCCACGTCCCTGATGATGAACTCTCTCATGGAAGTGCTTGATCAGTAGAGCTGATATATGACAGTTCTTCGGAAGTATAGCTGGATGCTTGATGTGTGGATGCAACGCAGCTTTACTTAAGCGTCCTCCGACTCTCAAGACTCCTTCTTCATCCAAAACTGGACTTAACTTGTTCAGCTTGCTGTACTTGGTCTTAGCTATAACTCCCTTTGCTTTCAAGCTCTTCAACTCATCTAGGAACGCTTCCTCTTGAACTAGCTTAATGATCACAGTTTCTGCTTCTTTCCTTTCTTCTAGACTTGTACTCTCATTGGTTGGTCGTTTCTCACCTTTGTGTTCCTTGACACGTCGTTTCAATCTGGCAACTGCTTGAACTACCCTTAACCAAACAGAGAACTTCTCAAGACGGTCGAGCAACGATCTGTCCTTTGCCTTCGTGTTAAACACAACAGCCTTACGGAGCTCAGGATCATCTTCCTTAACTTCTCCCACCTTGCATTCTCGGACAGGTAATTCTTTTTGCCAAAGAAACTTCGGTCCAGAAAACCAATTGGATGTCTCTAGTTGCTCTGCAGTCAACCCTCGTGAGGCATGATCTGCCGGATTGTCCTCAGATGCAACATAGGCCCATTGTTCAGGCTTTGTGCTTGACTTGATTCTTTGTATGCGATTGGCTACGAACACTTGAAATCTTCTGGCGTCATTGTTTATGTAGCCTAGAACGACTGTTGAATCCGTCCAGAAGTATTCCTTCAGGTCTTGGATTTCCAGTTCGTTTCGGAGCATATCGCTGGCTCTAACTGCAACTACTGCCGCAGACAGTTCCAGTCTTGGTATCGTCAACACTTTGGTTGGTGAAACTCTTGACTTTCCCATCACTAAACTGCAATGGACTTCATTGGATTCATTGACAACGCGCAGGTAAGTACAAACACCATACCCTGAGGTACTTGCATCACAGAAGTGGTGAAGTTCATAGCCTTTGATGTCGCCGAACCCTGAAGGTAGGTAACATCTTCTAACTTCCATTTCAGATAGATTAGGTAGGTCTCTAATCCAAGACTCCCACTGAGGTCTTAAGCTCTCTGGAAGCTCATCGTCCCAGCCGATCTTATCTCTGCACATCTGCTGGAGAATTTGCTTTCCATGGAGAACGAACGGTGCCATGAATCCTAGCGGATCATAGACTGAGGCTACGGTAGAGAGTACACCTCTTCTTGTCGATGGATTGGACTTGACTTGAACTCTGAATCTGAATGAGTCAGACGAGACGCACCACTCTACTCCAAGCGCTCTCTCCATGTGAGGTAAACTCAAAGCCATGTCTTGATCTTTGCTTGTGGCACGTTCCTCTTCTGGAATGGATGCCATGACATTCTCATTGTTGGAAACAAACTTGTGAAGTCTTAACTTGCCGGTAGAACAAAGTTCTCTTGACTCTTTGACGAGCTGAATGGCTTCCTTCTCAGTAGGAACACTCAGGAGCCCATCATCTACGTAGAAATTCCTCTGTATGAAGCGCACAGTGTCTTTGCCAAACTGACCTTGCCCTTGAGCTGCCAGGTGTTTTAGGCCAAAGTTGGCGCAGCCAGGGGACGAAGCCGCTCCAAACAAGTGGACTTTCATTCTGTAGGTGGATGGCGTGTCTTCCAAGTTACCATTCTCCCACCATAAGAACCGTAAGTAATCTTGGTCTTCAGTTTTCACATGAAACTGGTGAAACATTCTTTCAATGTCGCACATCACTGCAACTGAGCCCTTTCGAAATCTGAACAGGACACCCACCAGGGTATTCGTCAGGTCAGGTCCAGTGAGCAGATGGTCATTGAGAGATGTTTCCTGAAACTTGGCCGAACAGTCAAATACCACACGTATTTTCCCCGGTTTCTGCGGATGATATACTCCATGGTGTGGAATATACCATGCCGGGCTGTTCTCAATTTCTTCCTTGGGGACCTTCTCGGCGTCACCGCGGGAAATTATGTCGCTCATGAAGTTCACATAGTCTTTGTAGTAAGTTTTATTCTTCTTTAGCTTCCTTTCAAGACAGTTTAAACGATGCACTGCACATATTCTGTTGTTAGGCAACACTGGTCTATCCTCTTTAAACGGCAATGGCATCTCAAAGTGACCATTGTCTTTCTGAGTTATGTTTTCTCTCATCTTGGACAGGAACTTGAGATCATCTTGAGACACAGGATCCTCTTCTCTAGCTCTTTCTGAGAAGTCTAATTCAAGAATCTTCAAGATGTCTGAAGAAGTCACTTCCTTGACTTTGGATCTGTTCACATAATGAACCTCTGTTTTCAGATTGACAGTAGAGTCAACTCTTGGCGTCACTTGCCTGACTACTATGCGATGACTGATTCCGATAGCGTCTCCATATGCTAAACAGGGATTGCCATGGCCGACAATACTCCATCCCAGGTCAGTACGTTGTGCATAAGGCTGATTCTCTTGGCCCGACACGATTTCTCTTGGGAGAAGGGCTTGCGAGCAGTTGTAGCCGATGAGCAGGCCTACCTCACAATCCTGCAGAGGTGCTACATCATCTTGGAGGTGCTCTAAGTGAGACCAAGCCTTTGCAGTTTCGCCCGTTGGTATGTGAGTTTTGTTGACTGGAATAAAGTCACGCGTGTAGATTGGTGGTAAGCTGATTCTTTTGCTTGAATAAAAGCCTCGAACTTGTAGGTTCTTCACTCGTTGTGACTTTACAACTGTAGTTCTTGAAGTCATAGTAGAGAGCTTCAACTTGACTTCCTCTTTGTCCGCCTCCAGAGCGTCAGCTACTTCACTTAGCACAAAAGTAGTGTCACTTTGGGAATCTAAGAGTGCATAGACAAGCACCTCTTGTGCTGACTGAGTGGAAGACGAAAGCCAGACAGGAATTATTGCCGCTGTCTGCACAGTAGCTTCATCCTGAATAACTCTCAGAGTAGTAGAAGCTGTGGCTGTTTCTTTAGGTTGCACTGCTTGAGGCTTTGCTTTGTTCTTTTCGTTTTGATTACTTGATTTCTCTGAAGCTTGGCCTTGTTTAACTTGCGATGCCTTTTGCTCTTCTTTGTCTCTCTCTTGATGCAGGCAGGTAGGATGCTTCTTTTTGCATGTGTCACAAACACTCCTACTGTTGCAGCTCTTTGAGACATGACCTGGCTTAAGGCACCCAAAGCATAGCTTTTCAGCCTGAACAAACTTGACTCTGTCAGGCACTTCCTTTTCTGCAAACTTTCTGCATACATGTAAAGTATGGCCGTTCTTTTTACAAAAGAGGCATGTTTTAGCAGTCTCTTCATTAGAACTGGTGGTCAGTGTCTTAGCTTTAACATTTTGTTGTTTTTGCTGCTTCGGCTTTTCAGTTTCACCTTGCTTCAGTGATTGCAACGATGTAACTGGGTTACAAGCAATTTTCACTTCTCTGGTCAGAAATCTCACAAACTGACTGAAGGAAGGGAACTGGCCACTCTGTTCTTCCATTTCCATGACTTTCCGGTTCCATCTTGCGGTTAGCCAATCTGGAAGCTTTGCGAGAAGCTGTCTGTTCTCATTACAGTCATTCAAAATCTCCAGTGCCTTGATATGGACCATAGCTGCTTCGCAGCTACGCAGAAAATCAACAAACTCTTGAAGTCCAGAGCTATCTTTAGGTCCAATCTTGGCCCATGTTTGAAGTTTGTCTCTATATGCCTTCGCAACGGTGAATGGGTTTCCATACCTCTCTTCCAAAATCTCCCATGCTGCAGCATAAGCAGACTCTGTTCCAAGAAGGAAATAGCCATCCACTGCATTCTTAGCTTGACCGCTAACATATTTACGGAGATAATATAGCTTCTCTCTGTCTTGAATATTCTTCTGGTCAATCAAAGTTTGAAACGACAGTTTCCAATCACTGTACTTCAACGGATCCCCGCTGAATATTGAAGGTTCAGGAACTGGAATTCTGTTGGCACTTAGAGCATCAGCGAGTACCTTAATGAGCTCTGCTGTGCTTTGATTCGAGGAGGTGATCACAGGTTGTGGGGCAGAAGGTGCAGACAGAGGCAGACGGCTTGAAGGACATGGCGGCTTGATGTCTGCTACCATCTCATGGCTTAGAATGTCTTTCGGTTCTTCTTTAATGTCCAACCCCTGATTATACACCTGCATTCTTGCCTGTGCTGCACTAAGCTCCTTCACCGTTTCCAAATTCTTTATTTTTCTTCTTTTTTCCTCTAAAGTCATCTGTAGAGCTGTGTGTTCTTCCTCTAGTTGAGCTTTAATCTTTGCTTCCTCTTCTTCTCTCTCTAAGCGACGCCTTATAACCGCTGCCTCTTCAGCCGCTATCTTCCTCTTAGCTTCCGCTTCTAGACGCTGTAGTTCCGACTGCTCTCTTTCTTGTTCTTGTAACACTTTCAGAACAGCTTGGCTTGCTGCAGCGTCCGCAGCAGCTTCTTGATGCTTGATGGAAGATGTTCTTGTTTGCTCTGAGGCATTCTTCAGAATAGAGGTAACTGAACCAAATTCACTCTTGCTTGCGTCCCAAAGAGAGCCTGCTTCTGGCCATTCTGGGTCTCCTTCTGGAACTTTTCCATCCAGGTGGCTAGAGGCTATAGCAACGATGAAGCCTGAAACCTCAACACACAGGTCTACTCTTCGCCGCACATCTTGGTCTGGAGTTGAGACTTGCCGCAATTCTTCATAAACATGCTGAACGTCTGCGGAAAGGCCTCTAACATCTCCAAGGATATCATTAAGCATGCCTTCTGATAAAGACTCAGATGACTGAGATAATGACTGCTTGCAGAATTTAACATGTGTTCTCCATTTTCTGTAGATGTAGTCAAATCTATGCAGAAGTGCTTTAATTTTCTCGTCTTGCATTGCTTTACCCTTCTCTGTTAGAGTACGGGTTCGCTCACCACGTCTGAGCTGCTGTGCTTCGTCCAGCTGAGGCTCAGCATCACCGACTTCATCTTCTGGAGGGCCTTGTAGATTTTCACTTTCCCTAACACTATCTCTTACCTGAGTAGTGGACTCACTTAACTCTGCCATAATTGAATGTTAAACTTAAACTGGCAAGAAATGTCTATTTCAATAATGAAAAACGTAAATAAAGTCTGTATTCACTAAAACTCTTGTGTTGCGTGTAAATGTCTCTTAAATGTCCTTGTGTTTAAATGTCACACACTATACTTGGCAATGTACTCAAACCAAAATTACAATATGCTGTACTTATCACAAGCAATATGCTTAAGTAGCTCAAAAATGTACTTACAAACTGAAAAAGTTGTTTAAATAAACCTTAGTTCTCTTAGAACCGTTCAGAAAATTCAAATATCAAAATTGCAAATAGCTTTCACTTTACATTACCAAAATACACTTTAAATTGTGAAAATGAAATAATTCACCTTTAACTTCCAAGCATTTAAATTATATCCTTTAGCTTTAAACCTTAAACTTACATGCACTTAATACCAAGCTTAAATTCAAAGTTGACTGGATAAATGCATAGCCATTAACACATTAGTTCAAATCAGACATCCTTTCCATGAACCTTTAAATCAACTCTTATTAGTTAGCCGACTCTTATTGTCCACGTGCTTAATGACTGTCAACTACGTGTTAAATATGCACTCATCTGCCGGTCCTTTGACGACTGTAGCCACGAAGTTGCGATTAGCTCGTCGTTGGGCTTGCTTCTCACTGGCGTCGGTGAGCACGCCGACCTTCACTCGCATCGTCGAGCAGTCCGAGTTTCACTATGACTCCCCCCAAGCATGTCCAGACGCAAATGTTTCTTTAACGGGTTTAATGAAGTCTTCTCCTCTTCATAATCATCCACAGACCTCCACAAACCGTGAAACTAGCAATACACAGTATTGGAATAACAGTTAGCACACTTACTATGCACATGTACAAATATTCATAACGAAAATAAAGACAAACAAATACCTCGTTGGCTGCATACTATGAAAGGGAATCTGTAGGCTTCTTATCTTCCAGCTTTGAAGTATTAGTTTGACTTTACCGTAAGTTTTAGCAATCTTAACGTAGCTTGACTTGACAGCTAAAGGGTCAGAGCTGTGCATACGACCTCTGCTTGCTTGCATCTGACGTTACCCAGAACGCTACTGGCCTAGCAGCTCAACGTAAGTGTCAAAATAAAAGTACCCTTACACTTCAATATAAAATGCAAATAAAATACAGAAATAACCTGGTAATTCTCAAAGTGGGTTTCTCATACAAAATAAACAAAAAATATTCTGCAATATGGAAAATAAAATAGCAACAGTTACAGCTGCCCTCCGGAGGAGTACCGACCAGACAGGTGGGGCTCCGGGGGACGAGACCCTCACGCCGTTTGAGCATTATTATTATTATTATAGGGTAAGTGGCGTGTTACACAAATGTCCACATGCTTTGTCATCCCACTGAGCAAAAGACGTATATTAGACGTCTAGTCTAAGTTTATACCTCATTTCAACGTCGGGATTCAGTCTATTTTTAGATGTGATTTATACTTCGCCCTTCATTTTTCGATAACTTTTTATGCAATAAACAACTGTAATGTGCATAACTGACCTCTAAATACTGGATTACATTACCTATGATACCGTGGAGAGAGATGTAAACGCAACAGATACACAGAAGCAGGAATTGAAATGAACCAATATTTTTATTGTGTCACAGAAATCAATGTGTCGGCCGTGTCGCCGGCTTGCGTAACCCCGGCCCGCGGCAGCCTGTCCGCCGGCTCGGAGTCGTGGGCCAGGACCAGCGGCATTCGGGCCACCCCGGCCCCCGGCCCCAGCACCAGCACCAGCATCAGCTCGCATCTCATCCGTCTGCTGCTGGTTCGTCATGTGGGGCGACATGCTGCTCGGCCACGGGGATGTGGTGCACGCTTGTCACATAGTGAGTCACCAAACACCGCCACACAGCTTCGCCAAAGTGCCGTCAACGCAAGTATCGGCTCAACGCCAACTTCTACACCACCTCCTCACTTTGCGTGGATTTGCGCTGGAACCGACGCTCGTGTCGCGATGATAAATCTGGACGTGTGCGCCGATCTTGGCGAACGCAAGGTTTTCTGGCGCCGCCGGCGTTGATCAACGAGGCCCCAGATGAGTTATTCACTTTAAGCCTACATACGAATATTATAATATTCAGTTTTGTGAGCAAAATTTATTTTATATGCCTACTTCTATGGAAGAAATAGCCAGGCCACGGAGCGCGATGCGTCATTTACGCGCAGATGGTTCAGATTTTAATGCCATTATTGGAATTTATTATGTTGTGATCTGTGCGCACAACCCATCTTTGTCACGTGAGGTTTGAATATGTGCAACTTTATGTGAGTGTCTTATTTGTGGAAAAGGGTGTTTGTCTTACCAGTGGGTCCAAACTTAGACACACCAAATCCATTCGTGCTTACATGAGACAGTGTGGAGGACACCCTCTACAGCGCTTACAGTGACACTTGTTGAGGGGCTGCCTTCTGTTGCCATCGTGTGGCATTACTGTCTTCAGACATCTCTTGATCTCTGACTACTTCAAGAAAATTGTAATACGCCTCGCCCGTGGCGGATTTAAAGGCGAGGAGAGGAGCTTATGTGATTGGTGAAAACAGGTTGTTTTAAACCCACTCCACGCCCTCTCTCCTCACTCGCTACGACTTATGCCGCTGGGAGGAGCTAAGTTAGGGAGGGGGGATACTTACGCCGGGCTGCGCCGCTCACCAAAATACCAAAGTGTGCTTGGGCACATCTTGTCGGCGTGGCAGACCTGACTTCCGCCGCGCATGCGCCGCGTCACCGGCAAGGCATGAAAATAGAGCCCTAAATGTTGCAAATACCACAGCACAATTTTCTAACTGGTGTCTGACTTCAATCAGAAAACTACTTAGAGTCATGAAGTCATCACTGTGTGTTATATTCTGCTTCTGTACACTGAAGTGTCTCTGTTTGTTTCTGCGCTGCAGAGATCCAAAGATCTGAATCCCCCTGGGGTATGGGGTCAGAATAATCTGCTTTCTCTTGTCTGGCTCTAGTCTTCTCTGTCACCATCTGCTTCTGTCCTCTGTACACACACACACATTCACATGCACACACTAACACACGATCAAACACACTCTTGCTTGTGTCTCTTGTGGCTCCATGAAGTCTTTGCTCAGTTTTTCCTCACACAGTCTCTGCAGCACGTGCTAAAGCATCTTGACAGTGAAATATGAGTCCCTTATTCTTAAAGCATTTTCAGAGCTCCTATTGTCCTATTCATCTTACTTAGTAGAATGTCTTCATCTATCTCTGTGGCATAAATCAGCTAGCAATAACATGTTATCGCTGTTGAACAACTCGGAATTCAAAAGTTGTCTGATGTGCAGAAAAATAGACACGACAAGGATGTCTTTAATGACAGTTTTATGTTAATTTCAAGGAACTGTCTTCAGAGGAAGTTGTGAGATAGAGGTCTTTGTGAATCAAAAACTGCAATTAGTAGCTTAAAATTTTAAATACAGCCTTTGTAGTATTGCACCAATATCTGAATTAATTCATCCAGGTCTTTGTTGAAAGGGCAACTGGACTTGTTTAAGGTTCTTGAAGATGTTTCTCCTCTTTTTCAAAAGGCTTCTTCAGTTCTTAAGTGTCTAGGATTAAAGTAGGGCTGCACGATTTTGGCCCAAATTAAAATCCCAATTTTTTTCTCTGAATACTCAGTTTTCAATTTAGATTTTTTTATTCAGTGTCAACTTCACCAAATTTCACTTTAACAGTAAGTTTTTCTATCATTTCTCAAAACAAAACCACCAAAAAGGATGTAGTGCATATGCCAGGACAGTAAATAGTGCTGTAACGGTGCCAAGGAAATGCACAAAAGACAGAAGAAGAGCACAGAGCATGTGTATAAGAGTTGTTTTGGCCAGACACACGCAGGCGCCATAAAAGAGTTACGCTGTGTGTGACATAATCGTTTCAAGAGAACTGCAGATAGGCATCCACACGGAGATGGTGGTCGTTTACAGATTTATTTACTCTCTGACCCATTTTCAAAATGTACCATTTACAGTAACCCGAAATACCGTTTCCGTGTGGATGAAACACAGATACTATAAAACACTTGCATTTACTCCTGAATTCGTTTGCGTGTGGACGGGTTGATACCGCCTCCAGACAGACTTTGCAGCAGGGAGTGGTTTGCTCCTCATCTAAAACTGGGTAGCTGTACCAATTCCACACGACTAACTTGCGCTCGCACTATTTAGCCACAAAATTATTGCCTTCTTTTGCAAACACCATGTCTGTTTACGCTGGTGTGTGTGGAAACTGGGGAGTGCTCCTGCAGGAAGGGGGGAGCCTACGGTGGACTGGAGGAGCAAGACATGATAGAGAGGAAAATGGATTTGACAATTTTAATTTTTTAAACATCGTCATAATCAAATAATCTGATTATGATTAAAAAGCGATTAATCGTGCTGCCCTAGAAATTTATAGTTGGTCAGTCCTCCTACTGTCAAAGGCTGGGTGATCACCTGAGAGTCGTTAGCAAGGTCGTTGACCTGGTTTCATCAGTGTGGGTTCCCTGAAGAACTGAAGAGGCCTTTTGAAAGAGAACCTCAAACAAGTCCAGTTGCCCTTTCAATGGGAGAATTGAATGACCATGACCTGGATGAATGAGAACCTACACAGACATGTATTAATTCATGTGCAGTTTCACAAAACTTACGCTGAAGACACTGCTTAAACCCTCTTGATGTACAAAATTTAAGTGGCAACATGTATGAGATGAATAGCGAATAAAGTCATGGTACAATGTTTTTAATCAAGTCAAAAAATAATGCAAAGCTTGTATAAGAGTGATTTGTAAAATATTCCATGAAACCCCCACCACCACCGTGGCAAAGGTTATGAATCCCACCTTTATTCATCCACACTCAAGAACAGTCTTTGTTCAAAAATAGTCAAGCCAAAGTTAATTTTTAGACTTATTGGTAATCCTATATGCGTTGATCCTTTAAAGCTGCAATCTGGTTCTTAATTTGCTGTCGAGCTGTTTGCCGTGACAGGCATCACATCCTTAAGGAGTAAATCAGGCCTCTAATTATAGGTCAGATCACTAACATATTTCTGTCATAGAGAGCAAATAACTGTCAAGTTTACAATGATTACAAAGACATTAGAGCTGCACTCTCGTCCTGATAGCATTATATCTGTCTACACTTTTGTGATGAAATGTCCTTTTCTAGGTGGAAAAAGTCTTTACTTTTTGAATGTAGGTTGCGGATTCATGACAGATGTGACAAAGTTTACAGTTTATAACCAGCTTTCATCATGAAGCAAGCTAGCTAAGAGAAGCTCATTCAAATACTGATATAAATACTGTTTTTTTGTAATGACACAGCCTGTATGTGTAGGGGTTTTCTGAATCCCCAATTACCAGAAAAATAGTTATGTCCATGTAATAACCAACTTTACACACAGATATACTTTATAATTTCTAGAGAGGTTTGAGTGTGACCTTGTTTACTCCTCTAACTATTGTTGTTGACGCAGGGCTTTTGACATCAGTGTTACTGAATTTGGTGCTTTTAGGAATAGGGTTCTTATGCATAGAAACTGCAATATTTTGCTCTGAACAAACACGCAATTGCTGATTTTATTGTATGCAAATAACACTGGCACACAGAGGTGCTATTTGCAAAAGTTTGCAAAAATTGGTAGCCACTTGTTCTGTTGTTCTAGCACAGGGGTCGGCAACCTTAAACACTCAAAGAGCCACTTGGACCAGTTTCCCACAGAAAAGAAAACACAGGGAGCCGCAAAACCTCTTTGACATCTAAAATGAAGATAACATTGCATATATCTTTTTTTTTACCTTTATACAAAGTATATAAAAAACTGTAGCGAGTTGCATTTATGAAATAAATGAACTATTTCGGCGAGTGTCTGTCTTCTTCTGTAGTTAAACCGCAAGATATCAAAATCTACCCGGATACAGCAATGCTGCTTTTTGATTGGCTGTTCAGTAGATATACTTTATTTGATTGGCTTGTGCGTGGCACGCAGCTTCTGAACTCTCGGAGGAACTCAGTTGATTTCCCCCAGTTCCACAGTTGAAGAAGTGCAACTTGGTGGACATCACTGTGTTCATTTAAATGCGTGAGAAATACAATGTGTAGTGTGTGAGCGTGTGAACGAGTGGGAATGCGTGTGTCATACGCTGAATGCGCGAGTCTTGAGAGCCCTGTGCTCACGCATCATCGATGTACTCCCGAGCCATGCAAAACGGGCTTTGCAAATGTTGCACTGAACGCCTTCCTTTTCAGTCTTGGTGAAGTTTTCCCACACCACTGATGTTTTAGGTCGGGATTTGGGTTGGGTTGTGTCCATATTTTTCTCAGCCGCTGCCTCGGCCATGGCTGTTTCTTTTCTGTGCGTCCTGCTGATTGTTTACACGCCGGTGTCCATGGACATATATAAAGACCCGACGAATCGATTACAGAATTTGTTGGCAACGGATTTTTTCGTCACGACGAATCTACTTAATCGATTCGTTGTTGCAGCCTTAATAGTTTATTTAATGTTACAAGAGCATTATAATCTTTGAATTTAGAATTACAAAAAAAAAAAATAGTAATAAAATAAAATAAAATGCAATTAAGTATTTATTATTTATTTTCCAAATCCATTGGGAGCCGCAGCTTAGGGAGGAAAGAGCCCCATGCGGCTCCAGAGCCGCGGGTTGCCGACCCCTGTTCTAGCATATTTAAACCCAAAACCCTCTTTTATCAGGTGAAATCAGTCTCTCATGCACCCAATCTCTTTCATACAGAGTGTATGCAGACCTTTGCACAGTTCTCCTTTCTTCATATGAAGTCTACATGTCTTGTTTTTTAAGTGTTAACTGGAAATGGTTTTACCAATCATAATTTTTCTGATAGTAAGCTATCACAGACTGACCAACCTGCAGCTGATGTTGCTCTCATTCAAATTAAAAAGTCAATGTCCAATTTGTGCAAGAATGAAGAGGTTGAGCAAGGAGTGCAGTAAAACACAACAAAACCTCAATCAGCCCGAATGCAACTTTGAAACCGGCCTAAGACTGGTTTGTATCACATATTTGCCAATCCAAGGTGTTGGGAGAGGGTACCCTTGGGTCTTTGATGTTGAGATCTGTAACCATGTACTGTCAATGAATCTTAAGACTCCTGATGATTTAGCAGAAGTGTTTAGGTACTAAGTATCTTGTCGCTTGTCTACTTGCACTGCTTGTAGATTGCAGCTTTTTTGTGGCCTGAGAGTTTTGTTTGGACTTCCCGATAAAATATTTGCACCATTGTGAGATAAAAGCACGATCATAAAAACTGCTGTCTGTCGGTACATTGAGATACATAATAAATGCAGGCGAAAAAAAATATCCTCAGGCATCACAACACAAGGACATTTTGTGTGTGTCCAGGTGGTCCTGCAGATGGTCGGCTCGTCCCTGGTGACCAGCTAGTGAAGATCAATAACGTTGCTGCAGATGACCTGACCCCTGAGCAAGCTGCTGAAATAATCAGGTCTGTACTGACAGCTGCACACACACACACACACACACACACACACACACACACACACACACACACACACACACACACACACACACACACACACAGCACATACTGTAAACATGTATCACAGCACACACACCTCAATGCTGTTTGATGAGGTACTTTGTCTATTTGTTTTTTCAGGGAGTGCAAAGACTCATTGACAATGACTGTCCTCAGAACTATACTGGTAAGTCAGACTCCACACACACACAGACACACACACACACACACACACACACACACACACACACACACACACACACACACACACAGACACACACACACACTCCTGCAAACGTCAGATTAATGAACACTCTCTTCAGCTGCACTTGAGATGAGCATTTCTTCCTACCCTTGTAAACACACACACAAGCACATGTGTGATAGTGGATTATGGATGTAGTTTGTCCGTGCACATGGGAGTTGTTGTCAACAAAGCCATTAATCAGCATGTCGATGAGGCTCGGGGTCCAGCTACGTTGCTAACAAGCTTCTTGTTACCAAGGTCTTACCACTATATCAGTGTTAACAACGACAACATGTTACACCCTCTGACACAACCCCCACTGATAGACACACATCTTGTCGAGATCACTCAATCTACTGTACATGTGTGTGTGTTTGTATGTGTGTGTACTGCTTGTGTGTGTTGGAGTTGGAGACTTAAATCTGTGAAGGTGACATGTGTGTTTGCTCTAAGGTGGAGAAGATCGGTGAATGAATGGCTCCTTGTTGATTCTCATCATCAGCTTTGCTGATGTAGGCACCTTTCACTTTGATTCATTACCTACAGCTCCTCTAAAAATCATTACTGAGCGTTTAAGGATTTATTAGGTTTTTCAGAAAATACCCATCCCTGTTGATAATAGCAAAAAGAAACATTTAAAGATCTGAATCAGAGTGTGTTTAAGTAATAAAGATTTACATTCAAATCAGACAGTAATGGAGAAAGAAGACTATTATTGGAGTTTTAAATGCTTTAGAAAACAGCACTGTATTGTCTCTGTCACTGAACAACTACACTTCTTATAAAAATTCACACATAATGGATAACTACCTTTTATAGAGTAAATGACTTCATTGAACTGCACTGAACTGTTATACTCGTAACAACTTCAGCTTCCCAAAAGAATGAGCTAAATGATCACTTTTTTCCTGTACAGTAGTCCTTTCAAATGGCTTCATGGTTTCTGTATATACATTTTGAGGTGATTGTTTTCAATGTTTTATTCCTATAAACAAAACATTTCGGAGTCAGATTTTTGAGGTTGTTAAAACTGAAGCAGCTGCTCTTCTTAAGAAGATAAAGGGATGATGACTGCAAGAATGCGACCGGCTAAAATGAGCCTGTATTTTGATAAATGAAAGTTTGAATGACAGGGACTCTACTTTGACTCAGACACAGGTAACAGGGACTTTGAGCTTTGACTCAACTAGAATTCCTTTGGTGACTTGGACTTAGGAATGATGATTCAAAACTTGACCTGGACTTTAGATTTGGAGACTCACCAATAATAATGCTGCTTCCCTTTGAAGGTTTCCAGTATGCATCCAGAGCTCTCAGGAGAAGTAATATATTCTATCTGGAATGGAGACAAGGAGGGGTGGGGAAATGTTACCAGGGAGAGGGATGTCCAATCAACTTGCTAGGCTTGACTTGCTGCATAAATGAAGCAAGTGGACGGACGGATGGATGGATGGATGGATGGATGGATACATAGTTGGATGGATAGATGGATGGGTGGATGCATGGATGGATGATGGTCTCCGTAGGACTTGCCTGAGAAAATTACGATTAAACAAAACATCAAAAAAACTTAAGTAATGATGTTGACTGAGTCTGTACTTTCTTTAAAAGATGACCAAAGTAACATAGAACACCAGAAAGCAGGACTGGATCAGGCAAGGCTGTGTACTTTTTCCTCCCCTCGGCTTCTCTGCACAGCTGCTTTGCTGATTAAATCATAAAAATATTCTCTGACAACTTTGTTTATTGTTTCTCCAGGGACCAAAGTCATCTTTCATAACACCAGAGAAGAGAGCCAAGCTCAGGTCCAATCCAGTGAAGGTTCACTTTGCAGAGGAGGTGGAAGTCAATGGACACTCTCAGGTGGGTAAAAGAGCAAAGGATACTGTTGGGAGTCTTTCATCATTACATCTATCTAGCTAAAAAAATCCTTATGAAGGATGACACATGATTAATACCTGATGCCTGACGTTAAGGGAGGTGGAGTCTGTTTAGCCACATCCACTGAATGGCAGGAATGACAGCACAAAGTGGTGGTGTCAATATTTGACCTGAATGCTGCTAAAACAAACTTTCTGTTGGTTTTAAGGTCTGAATTTCCTGTGTCTGGCTACATCATCTTGCTGACATAAGAAGTTCAGGTGTTTGGCTTTAAATAGTCTAAAAAGTGCTTTTCTTCCAGCAATTATGACACATATTATTTACATGGGCAGATTAAATCCTCAGCTAAAATAATAGGATACTCTTTTTTTTTTTTTTTTTTTTTTTTAATCATAACATTGATTAGGGCATACCCTGTGTTACTTTTTAAATGTGAAACTTTTTTTTAATGGATCAAATGATTATGATTTTTTTTTTTTGGCTTTTCCTTACAATATGCACAGTTTATATTTGCTCATAAAATGCTTCTATTTATCATGTTCGTTTTCTAACGTTAAGTTCTTCTTATCTTATCTTAACCACTGCGGCGCAGAGCTTGTTCTTTTTATCAGCTGATGTCAAACCAAAGAGGATGCATCATTCATTTTGTTCCTAAGACTGTCATCAGATTGCCTTTTCAGAATTGTGCAAAGTGATGTCTCCTAATTGCCCGTTATGGTTTCATGCAGTATGCAGTTTTTCTCTCGTAAGCCTGGCTCTGGTTGGTTCTCATCCTGCCAGCGGATGTGAAATTAGCTGCACAAGGAAACTACAGAGGCTGAAGTGCCCATTACTGATCACAGAGAAATCGCAGATCGATGTCCTCCTTATCCTCTAGTCCTAATGTCTGTGATTACAGGTCAATAAGCACAGGATTAAAGAGGGAGATAGGGAGGAGATGGAGGGAGTGAGGGGTTGCTTGCCATTGTTGAACGAGAGAGAAAGAAGAGTAATGGAGCTCTCTGTTTAAACTTCAAAACATACAGATGTCAGTCCAGCATTATGTCACAGTGTTAGTACAGAACAACACTTTTTCGAACCATTAGAGGAGCTGGGATCATGTGAACCGGCTGTGCAGATAAAAAAAGACCAGCTCGAACACAGATGAGTCTATTTTACCTACTCTAATTATGTTGTTTTGAGCACAGCGTTTTCATTTGGTTCATCCTGCTCTCTAAAATTACACACCTCCTTTGGTTTCAAAGCAATATGTTTGTGAAATATCCTAAAATAACTGCTAGTAAGACCAAAATTCCCCAAGTCATTTGCATTTCAATCAGCCTATTTCCACAAGCTTTTTCAAATTGTGCATGAAAAAGCCAAAACTTACGCTCAGATGTTGCTTTGTTTTATACACCAACACTTCCACCTTGGCCAAAGTGCAATGGAAACTGACTTAATGAATTAATTATGGCATAGATATGTGACTAGACCGTGAAGCAATGAAAAATTATTGCAGACAGAAACATTAGAGCTGTGTGGAGCTCGGAGCAGACTGTAAGCTTCCCTATCTTAGCAGAAGACTAACAGAAATGGTTTTTAGTCTTTGCCATTTGAGACTTTTAATTATGAAATCTGATCACACATAAGTGACACCAGATTAATTATAAACCCCATTAACTGTTGATGGTGCTGCTTAACCCTACTTTAGTGCTGTGGTTTGTGCAAACGGAGATCATTTCACAAAGCTTGTGACACAAAGTCAGTGAAACGATTGCAGAACAAAGTGCATACACCTCTATTTTCTTTTCTTTTATTTTATTTTATTTTAAAGAAACCCCCACACACACATTTGGCTTTCTATCACTGCGTTTACCTGTCAGGAGGTTTTAATTCTTCTGACCCAGCAGGTTTTATGATGTGAATACTTCATCTTGCACGTCCCCTGACCTTTGACCCCATGTATAAATCACAGGGCAACTCGCTGCTCTTCCTGCCTAATGTCCTGAAGGTGTATCTGGAGAATGGGCAGACCAAGGCCTTTAAATTTGAACCCAGCACCACAGTCAAGGTAGAGCACAATTTTACAGTCATGTCCTATGTATTAGCAACCTCATGTCTGTCTTGACTGAAAACCTAATAACTGCAGCGGAAATCTTTGGAGTAATTTGATAGTTATGTTTATGGTATTCTCCTGAAATGACCTTTTTTGTGATCCTTAATCATCTAATCCTTAATTTCCTTTGTGCATCAGGACATTGTGATGACACTGAAGGAAAAACTTTCTCTCAGCCGGATCGAACACTTCTCCCTGGTGCTGGAGCAGCAGCACAGCATCACCAAACTCCTGCTGCTACATGATGAGGAGAGGATACAACAGGTACACATGCTATCACTCACATTAATGGCAGGGGGTTTATATGACCCTAAGTTTAGTTGATTGAAGTTTCTCTGTGTTTGTGTTCAGGTGGTCCAGAAAAAAGAGGCCCATGACTACAGGTGTCTGTTTCGTGTGTGTTTCCTACCCAAATTCCTGCAGACGATGCTTCAGGAGGATTCAATAGCCTTTGAGTACCTCTACCTGCAGGTAATTATAAAAGCTGGCACACAGATAGACTCTAGGGTGAGACAGAAGTCCCATTTAGTGATAGGTATAGTTTGGGGGTTTAGCAGTTCACTCAAGCTCCTTGTAGCCCATGGATGTGTGATTCCACTACTAAAGGAATATTCCAGCGTAAAATTAATTAAGGGTCAAACACATCATAACACCAAGTTAGACACCACCTCGAGAGATGAATGTTGCTGACTGCTTGCTTCTCTAGTTATACCAACTTTAGTAATGACCGCATGATAGCAATACACAACAGTCTGTGGAGCCATAAGCAAACCTCAACCAAAACACTCTATACCCACAAATATTGCTCAGAACAGCACCTAACTTCATCAACAGTACGTATAGGGTCCCAGCCGTTATTAGCCATCAAACATCTTTTTAGCTTTGCCTGGTTTCTTTAGCAAAGAGACTAAACACAACTGACCCACTCTCTTCCAGCAGTCCCTTGTTTGTGGGGGAGCCCTGACGAGTCCATCACTGACTGCAGCGGGGTGACACAGCTCAAGGAAGAACATTTATGATCATTACTCTATCATTTCCTTGAAATAAAAATCATATTAATCATTTTGCACTGCAGATGTGGTAGTTCTTCTGCCTTAACGTCTCAGTCTGATTGCATTTCCTTGAAGAAATGATCATAAATGTTTTTCCTTGAGCTGCGTCACCCAGCTACAGTCGGCGATGGACTCGTCCGAGGTCTCCCTACAAACAAGCGGCTGCTGGGAGAGAGTAGGTAAGGTGAAATGTTTTGCTTTGCCTAAAAAACCTGCCAGGTAATTTATGAGAATTCACTTCCAGCTGAAACTCTGGCGCCAAGTGTTAGGTTGAATTTGATAACAGAGATGAAGCAACTATCAAACCAAATTCTGTTTTGTGATGATGCTTTTGTTCTTGCTGGAGCCGTAGATCGAAACTAAGATCCAGCCTTGGGTCCAGGGTCCAGCAAGTTACTGGAAATAGTTTCAAATTCTAATAAATCAACTACTGGCATTAGAGTTATTTTGTTATTATTGAGTCTTCTTTTTGATTTAACACTCTTATGAAGGTCAACCTGTAGAGTTAGTTCAGCAGTGTGAGAGTTGATATGGAGAGCATGTTTTCAAAGGGTTTTCATAGCTTGTTAAATGGACTATGTTTATTTCTGGAGTTCTCTGTCCACTCAAGTAGCTTTTACATCACATGTAACATTTGCACCATGTTGGCAGAAGCTGCTGAGCATAGAGCCCAGCAGTTTTTGACTAATCCCATTCAGACACCCCTGGGTGCAGCCAGCAGAGGCATTTGAGGTCAAGTGTCTTTTCCAACAACACTTCAGCATGTGAACAGCACAGACCTGGCATTGAACCCTCAATGTTAAGATTAAGAGATGACCGACTTTACCAACTGAGCCACAGCTGCCCCTCACATACCTGGAGTCTGCTCAGTCCTTCCTTGAGTCACAGCCAGTGGAGCTTGCTGTGATTTCTGCAAAGGGAGATATTTAGTATCAGATCATGAATGTTTCCATATGCTCAATGAGACCCTGAGTATTTTTTCCTTTTTTAAAATTCATTTTTGGGCCTTCATGCCCTTATTGAGAAGACAGAACAGTAGACAGAGAAAGCAGTTGGGGAAGAGAGTGGATGAGGACATAAAGGTAAAGGTTTGCAGGCCAGAAATTCAAGAGCTCTAACCTCTGTATGCACAATCTTACCACTAGGCTACACCAGCGCCCTGCCTTAAGTTATCTCATTGTCATGATATGTCCGCTAGCATGATTCTTGTTGTGCTATTTAACTAAATCTGATTTAGTGCAGCATCACTCTCATTCAGGCTGTGGCATGTTAAGTAAAGCTTAAGAATGATAGTGGTTTTATGACCTTAATTAAACAGCATTACCAGCAGCATCAAGAGAATGTTGGAAAAATTGATACATTTCAATCAGATCTGAATAAGCAGATTAAAAGATCAGCTTCTTTTGAGCAAAAAAACCCACCAAACTTTGGATTTGCACAGAAGTCCTTTGATTCAAAAGAAAATAAATAAATTAATAAACTTCAGCCCTTAAGTTGTTTTTTAGATATCCTTTGTTCACCACCGAAAGGGGTATTCTGGCATAAATTTAAGTTACGGTCAAACACACCATAACGCCAAGTTAGACACCCCCCTCAGAGATGAATGTTGCAGACTGCTTGGTTCTCTAGTTATACCAACTTTAGTAATGACTGCACGATAGCAATACACAGAGGTCTATGGATCCACGCGCAAACCTCAACCAAAAAGCCACTCTTTAGCCACAAAAAAAACGCTCAGAACAGCACCTAACTTCATCAACAGTACATAAAGGGTCCTAGCCTTTATTAGCCATCAAACATCTTATTAGCTTTGCCTGGTTTCTTTAGCAAAGAGAGTAAACACAACTGACCCACTCTCTACCAGCAGCCGCTTGTTTGTGGGGGAGCCCTGATGAGTCCATCACTGAGTGCAGCAGATCATTTCCATTAAGTAATCATCGTCATAATAATTATTTTGCACTGCAGATGCTGTAGTTCTTCTGCCTTAGCTCCTTAGTCTGATTGCATTTGCGTGAAGTAATAATCATAAATGCTCTTCCTTGAGCTGCGAAACTCTGCTGTACTCAGTGATCTTATTAGACCGCTGTGTATTGCTATCATGCGGTCGTTACTAAAGTTGGTATGACTAGAGAAGCAAGCAGTCGGTACCCCTCATCTTTTGAGGGGATGTCTAACTAAGTGTTACAGTTTGTTTGACCATAACTTAAATTTAAATTGAATATCCCCTTAAGATAGACACGATAGTGTGAGTCCAGATATGTGTCACATGAGGAAGTTTCTTTTTGTGTTACTTTTGTACTCTGTGATGTCTATGTGTACTGGTCCCTGCACTCATCACTCTGTTTTGTTTGTCAGGGTGTGAACGATGTGCTGCAGGAGCGCTTTGCTGTAGAGATGAGGTGTAACACCGCCCTGCGACTTGCTGCACTTCACATCCAGGAGAGGCTGGCGAGCTGTGGACAGTCACCAAAGACCAACCTGAAGATTATCACGTGAGACACATACACATTTACAGTTCTTTTGTCACAGGATTTGGCTGCAGTGCAAAGTGGGTTTCCTTGCTGGCCCTGGCTTTAAATGGGTCAGGGATAGAGTTAAGTAATTTGTCATTTTAAAACTGCAGCACTCAGTCCTTCAGATGAGCCTCAAGGATCCATTTCAGAATTAGAATTAAGTTTGTTGTCACACTTCCAAAGTTTTGTTTCAGATCTCTCTTAGTCCTTTTCACAACAAATACGCACCTTCACAGTTTGTGTTCCTCTTTTTTTCTCCAGAAAGACCTGGGGCATAGAGAACTTTGTGTCGTCCACCTTGTTGAGAAACATGCGAGAGAAAGACCTGAGGAAGGCCATCAGTTACCACATGAAGAAGAGCCAATCACTGCTGGATCCAAAGCAGAAGGGCCTGTCTGTGGATCAGGCACGCATAAACTATCTGGAGGAGCTGAGTGACCTCAAGTCATTTGGAGGGAAATCCTTCAGTGCTACATTGATGGTCAGCTGTCTCATTGTTTGATATTTATCATTATTTCTTTGGACCTGGTTGATTGAATATGAAAGCTTCTCTTGACTTTGCCTCCACTTTTAACTGTCCCCCCACCCCCAGCTCCAGGACAGAGAGTCCATGGTAACTTTGTTGGTTGGAGCGCGCTACGGAGTGAGTCAGATAGTCAACCACAAACTGAGCATCATGTCCAACCTCACAGAGTTTACCAGCATCACACGAATCGAGCTGCTGCCTGAGTCTGAGAAGGTCAGCCTGGTGAAAATCTATCTGCAGGACATCAAGGTGAGCACACAGCGCAGACAGAGAGAAGAAAAAACAATGTAAACCTGCTCAAACCAGCTTTACTTTGAAGGAACTGGATCAGCACTACAAAGGGGGACTGTATCGGGTTTTATTTCAGCTAGCATTCTTCAGCCTTTGTTCCTGCAGCCTGTCTGCATGATCTTATGGTTGAGCATATAGATTTGAATGATTTAGTAATGATAAAGAGGCTGCAATAACACATAATTACAAATCCAAGGCATGAAACTGAATGGAATAACGCTTGAAATGATGATACAGGATGACATGCACAGTTTTTGTGCTTGTCTTCCTGTCTTGAATGATCTTCTCTGTGTGGATTGACACGCATTGGAAGTGTAGAGCAGCAAAAATAGACTTGGCGCATATCTTTAGCAGAGCCGGGCTCGACGCGCTTCTGATACGGAGCTGGGATGGAACTGAGACACGTTCTGTATGTGATACTTCCTTGATTAGAATGGCAACCCATTTGCTGCATGATGCGTGACGCTGACGGAACGTGTTCAATACAGATCCTGTATGTTTTAGCCTTTATCTGTTGAAAAAGTAAAACAATGACTTCCTACAATGACTTTATACAGTAGACTGTTGGACAACAGAAGATGTGGTTGTCCTGCTGCTGCTCAGGTAGGATGACTTTACTTCAAGAAATTAGCTGATGGATTTCACAACAACATCACATGACTCTTGAACCTAACCCTTGAAAGAACCATCAACTGCAGTAGTTAAATTAACAGCAAAACGTCAACTTTTATTGTCATTGGAGACAACTAAAGAGAAAGTCAAAGATTGAAGTATCTTTGAGTTATTATGATAAAACTTCTGCCTCTTCAGTCTATGATATAAGAATACTGAGTAATAGCTGTATTTGTTACACGCACTTCTCAGAGGAAGAATAAATGTGACTTTTGATTGAGGAATAGCGTTTACATTAACATTAACCTATACATGACCTTCAAGTGTTTGAACGCTAATTTAGTTCCTTTCAAAAAAAGAAAGAAAAAAACAGCTTGTTTATTCCTATTATGACATGATAAATGAAGAAAATAGTGTGGAAACTCTGTTCCTCTGCTGAAATTCCCTCTTCTCCTTCTCTTCTGTGTCCTGTCTCTTCCATCTTGTCTTTTTTCTCATGCAAAGCCCATCACGTTGCTGTTAGAGTCAGTGGCAGCCAAAGATATGTCCTGCCTAATAGCAGGCTACTGCCGAGTGTTTGTCGACCCCAACCTCAACATCTTCCCCTGGATAGATGACTACAGGAAGCACAAAGTGTCTGCTGAGGAAGGTAAAGGAGGAATACTGTATACACATGTACAAAGGCACGAATGCATTTATTGTCACCAAAAATGTTCTTGATTAGAACTGGTTTCTTTTTGGGTGATGTTCTTAGGTTACGTGTCTCATTGTGGAAGCGACTCAGACAGCTCCTCAGATCTGGACATGGACCCACTAATTGCCCATGTTTCTCAGGATGACAAGCCTTGTCCTCGTGTCAGATCCTCTTCAGATCCAGATGGAAGAAAAAGAAAAGACAAAGACAGTAGGAGAAACAGAGATGGCAGTGAAAAAAGAGATCAGCTTTTAGGGGATAAACAGGAAAAAGGGGGAAAGGATGATGACACTGAAAAGGAAAAGTTCCTGTCGGGTACAAACAGAGGTGAGGAGGGTGAGAGGGAGGATACAGGGCACAAAGATGAGGAAGAGGGAGTACGGGATACTTGGCAAATACAGATCCAGATGATTAATGACTTTGGAGAACAGCTGAAAAAAAAGGGACGAGAGGGTAAACCAGGAGGTGGAGGGGACATCGGAGCAGCAGAGGAGCAGCCTCCTGTTTCAGAAGCTTCAGATTCTTGTCACTCCGACTCCCGTGTCCTTACCAGCCCCTCCAGCGACTCCCTCGATGCTCTGGAGGAAGACGACTTACTGTCATGCTCTTCTTCTGTCCATCCCAGCACTCATAGCCATCTGCACCCTCCTCTTCAGCTACATCATTACTCTCATGGGAATGCCCAGTCCCATCTTCTCGCTCCTCCACCAGCTCACTGCCATCCCCTCATCCACCTCGCAGCTCCTGACAGAGGAAAAGGAGCAGGAGGAGGGTGCAGGAGGTCAGGAGATGGAGCGGACCCCCAACTCCTCGTACCTGTCTCCCCCCCTCCTGACTTTCAATATGTCCAAAAGTGTCCAGATAACCTGTGCCCCAGTGACAGCAGCCTGTGTTTCTCTGAGCTATCCCGCCTTGCGGACTTCTTGCCGAGTCCTCCAGAGGCCAGCGAGGAAGAAGATGAGGAGGAGGAGCTGAGGAGGAGGAGGATAAAGGTGTTAAAAGAACTGAATGAATCTGTGAGGAGGGCAGGTGAAGGTGGAAGTGTGAGCGGAGAGGGGTGTTTCAAAGAACACCCCCTCCCCATCTCCCCGTCCTCCCCCTCCTCAAACATGGAGTTTGTGTTTAACTTTGACCAGAGCGACGCCCGCTGCTACTACAACCTCTGCTCCAACATCACCCCTGACAGTGCTCGCAGCCTCTCCTGCCCCCTGAGTCAGAACGAGGGGGAGGATAAGGAGGTGAAGGAGGAGGATCCAGCTAAGACAGTGGACTTGGAGTCCGTTCCTATCCTGCAGCCTCCCCCGGGTTTTGGGGACAGCAGTTCTGATGAGGAGTTCTTTGACGCCAGAGATCGCTTCACCTCCCCTGAAGACCCTACCTCAGGGGCCCTGCCAAGAGGTAAAGTCTTCTCTAAAAGCAGGGCTGCCCTCATATCTTTCTATTATCTCTGCTGAGTCTGTATTTACTGCCATCTAGTGGTAGAAGCTTTTAAGTGCAGCACTGTTGCATTAGGGAGCTTTGTAGGATGACTGCCAGAGAAGCATAGAGAGAGACCCCTGACCACACCTGCTGTAAGAGGGATGGTGGATGTGGCCACAGACTTTAAACATTCACACTAAAGAGCCTTTAGAGCTCAGAGCTGGACACCGTCTTGTCAGATAAGATAAAGCCTCATCGAACTGTCCACAAAGGTTGGGAAAATAATCATAGACATATACTTTGGTAGTGTCTTTATCTAGTTCTGGGAAATATTTGCTCAGCCTTAACACTGAAAGAAGTGGTATAAATGTGGGGATTGACTTTTTTACCCAATAGCTTTCAGATGAGATACACAAAAGTTAATGGGGGCGGGGTGGGGCGTATCACGCTTTTCCACATTTACAACAAAACTAAAACGTTACAAAGTTTGGTGTCCATATTACATGTATGCAAAGTTTAAAATCACAAGGTAAACGTATTTTGTCATAATCTTAGAAAATAGATGTATATGAATCAAATCTGCAGCTAAAACAAAGCATTTCAGAAGGAGGCTGAAATAATGATATTCTAATACACCACTGTGAGGAATTTGAGGTTGTTTCGATCTGAAAATCACGTTAAGATATTAAAGAAGAATCAGAGAGAAAGTACAGAGTCTGAAAAAAATGCAAGATACCCCCCCTTTAAGGATTTTAACATTTGCCATCCCTTTGGCATTGGACACTTTAGAAAAGAGCTTTTTCTTTGCTGTGCTTTTATTCAAGAGTTCTGCTGCAGACATTGCTGATATTAACATTTCAATGCAAAGTCTTGCACTCATCACACTGTAAGGCAAACAAAAAAAGTTCAAACAGTTAACAGATTAATGCAAGTCTACCTGACTCCCTTTGAGTCAGCTTGGTTTCTCTCTCACGTGATCCACAATATCCCAAAACCACAGAGACAGGAGAGATCACTGATTGACACTTTCACTTTAATGTGGATAACAGAGTGTAGGTCCTGTGGACACTTGTGGATAATGAAAAATGCAATGACAGTGCTGTCGGACCATGCAAGTGCTTCAGCAAGTTGTTGGTAACTGCTAATTTTGGATTCATTTGTGACCTCCTGCTGCACTAAACTCTCTCCCCTTTACTTTATTCATAAACTCCCTTATTTATGTGTCTGAAACTTTATTTTCATCAACTTCCTTTCTTTTGTTGCCCCATTTCACCATACAAACTTTTGATGTGCAGGCTTATTTTTATGCATTTTCACTCATATTGGTGCTTTGCCCTGACCATCCCTGGACAAATGTGGTCATAAGATGGGGGCATTCAAGGCTGATCCCCTTTCCTACGAAGAAAAAGTAGCGTGCAGGTGTGTGCACATAGTTTTATAAATTAAAAATATTTTTGGCTCACACCTTTACCAGGCCTTTGGTGTACTTAAACTTTGAGTACAGGTTCCACGCACTAGACCCCTTGTCTTGCAGCATGGTTTATTAGAAAGATGTAAACTAAAAGAAGTCAGCAGAGGGATGTGATGTGACTTGGATCTGAGCTTGTTTTTAACAAACATTTGGCCTATCTTTTTCTTGCAGATATTAGCACAGAGATGAAACTGGACTTCCTCAGCACAATCAGCCTCAGTGACATTGGTGTCTTTGTACCTGGAGCAAACAAAGATGGAGCAGTAGAGGAAGAGAGAAAAGGAGAAAATGAGGATGGAGGAGGTATTGAAACGTTACTCCAGCTCAGAAAACGATCCCGTAAACGTCGTTCATTCATGGAGACTGACTACACCTCGACAGTGTCGTTTCCAGAGAAAAAATCAGAATCAAAACAGGACCAGATCTCAAGCAGTCTTCATAAAAACATCTCAGATGAGGTCAAAGATTTACAGATACTCAGCTCAGATTGTGAATCTTCTGAACAAAACCAGAATCCCAGTCTCACTGTTTCCTCTTTGACTCACTCGGAGGGGGAACCAGCTCAGCTCGAGTCAAAACCTATCTTGGCCAAACAACACTTGCATGGACTCAGCATGGCTCATGGTTTCGAGTCCTCTGACCGTACAAGAGAGCCACTGGCCCCCTCCAGAACCAGGGCCCAAGACATGGAGATGGAGCCTGAGGCCATGGAATCAAAATCAGTAGCAGATCAAGTAAAGGCAGCATCTCCAACAATCAGCGTTGTCCGCTGCCGGGTGGATCCAGACGGGAAGGAAAGTGCTGATCGAATGGGTGACGGGAAGGAGGAGGGAGAGGGACAGGGAGAGATGGATAGGAGGAAAACAAAGGGGAAAAAGGAAGGAAAGGAAACAACCAGCGTTTCAGGCAATGGGCCATTCACTCATCATATGTTTTTACCAGAAATCCACGAAGAGAGCAAGCAAGAGGAAGAGAAGAAAGATGGCCTAATCGAGAGCTCATCTAGTTCAAAGGGACCGTTTTTAGGCAGTATGAAGCAGTCAGAGATAAAAAATCTGCCTAAATGTTTCATCGGTGCCAATTCAAAGAATAGTAACGGCCTTTTGGGCGGCAATGTAGTCTCCCCAGAGCAGAATTCATATTCAGATGACCACATGCTTAACAGTTTGCATGAAAAGTCAATCCCTCCATCATACTCTCCTCCACCACCTCCACCCTCATCTCCCCTACCTCCAATACAGCTTCGACAAAACTCCATTAGTGGGTGCTTAGTGGAAGAAGAAAGGGGCAGCGAAATCAGGGCAACCTCAACCAAAACAACTCTGTCTAGCTGTGAGGAAATTTCACTTAGCAAACAAAACCACTCTGACAAAGCACAATCAAATCTAGACGTCAGAGAGAGTGTGAATGAGGACGAGGCTGTCGGTGGTGTCAGTCCTGCTATGACTATCAGCGATGAGGTTTCAGACAGCACCAATTCAGACAACGTTTTCGATGATGATGACTTGAGTATTTCCTTGAATTTTAGTTCAAGTGACTCAAAAGACGGCTGGACGGCGGCTAAAAATCGGAGCATCAGCACTGAAGTGAATAAAAATCTATCATCTGTTTCGTTGCTCTCTTCAACATGTAAAAGTGAGTCTAAAATGACGGTTAAGTCTCCTCCTAGCACTGAAGCTCACACCAGATTAAATTCAATCAATTCTGATTACACTCGCACTATAAACTCCATCACTGCAAAGCTTGGAGCTGCAACAAGTGTCACATCTCCGGCATTTAATTCAGGTACCAGACGGAAAAGTGATGTTACACAAGAAGGTGCAACATGCTTAAACGAAAACATAGACACACCCAAGAGAGACTCCACTTGGCCAAGAACTGAAGCCAAAGGAAGTGTGGTCAGTCCCGGCTTAGCCCAAGCTTACACGGCCACATTTCACGACCTATCCAAAGAGCCTTCTCCTTCAACCGGTTTCATCTTCCAGCCGTGCTCCTCAAGCATTATGGGTCGCTTATCTGCCTCTACCCTCAGAGGAAAGATTCAACAGTTGCCTCTTTATTTATCACGTTCCCAGGAGACCCTCAACCAAGCTGGGGTCAGCAGTCCTCAGAGTCCTGCTGAGAATGAAAGCAGGGAGATCACCATCAAAGTTACAGATGTGAACAATGTCACACAGACAGTGAACTTAGACAAGGGCCTCTCAGGGTCTTTGGAGTCAGTGGCCTCAGATGATTCAGATACGACTGTTACAGGATCAGAGGTGGACAAGGAGTTTTTCATAGGAACGGTCGCAGCAAAAGATTCCTACTCTGGATCAGAGGTAAGGGAACTAAGCTCCCCTTTGCCAGTCCAGACTGAGCCGAAATCCCTACACCAAAATCAGCTTCTGTTGATTGGACCTATCAAAAACACACCAGGACCAATAACAGAGCCTCCATCCTCCATTGTGAACAGCCTCCAAAGAGACTCTTCAGGAATAAAGATGGACACTCCTGGCCCAATAAAAGACGCTGCTCCCTCCATACTCCCTCCGATAGTTGTTACCACACAGAATCTTAACGGGCCAGGTCTCCCTTTTCATAGTCAACAACAGAAAATAAGACGGACCAGTAGTGACAGGCCTTTGATGGGCCTCTGTAGACCGGCAGGGCAGATCTCAGAGTCACCAAAAACACTTGCATCAGGCTGCAGAGTGTTCACGATCTGTGAGGGGTCACTGCAGACAGACACCACAGTTGAGGTGGGGTATGCCCCACCCTTGAAGCCAGAGTTTGGCTGTAGTTCTGTGCTAGTGTCTGGATGTGAGACAGTCATGGAAGGGGTACAAGTGCCCCTGGATGCCTGTGGTTGCCCTCCAGTCTACACAAACTGTTTCAGCAGTGGGGACGGTTTTGATGAGGAGCTGACAGTCTATGAATTCTCCTGCCGTTCACAGAGCAGCGGTGTGACCCAGACTTCGGGATTAGGTCTCATGACTTCCCCACCGGTTTCCTCTCTTCTCTCCACCCCCTCCACCATCTCTCCCTCCTTCCCACGCTCCATCCTTTTTTCCTCCTCAACCTCAGAACTCAGCCCACTCCTCTCGCCATTGTCCGACAGCTCTGATCGTTTCCTGTCTCAAACGCACAAAGAAACCATCAGTCGGCTCGGCCAGCAGCGCTACCCAGATCCGCCTGCAGGTTTCCAAGTCCTGCGTGTGGATGTGGATCAGCTCCTTTCAATTCTGGAGAGTGCAGGTGCTGACCGATCAGGGGGTAGCTATGGAGGTCGCCACCCTAGAGACACCTGCCCCGCCCACTTTACAGAGAACAAGCGTGTGCTCCAGCTAGAGGCACGGCGGCTGATGTCAGGATGCCAGAAGGTGGTGGGGATCGGACAGAGCCCAGATGAAATGCTGCGCTCCCTAGCTAACAGTTTCCGGACCCTGGTGGAGTTGGCAGGTATTTGCCTGTGGTTCTCAGGCTGTGACAGGTGTGACCGCAGAAATGCAGAGGCAGTGGCAGGTCTGGTGGATGTGGCCCGCTCATTCAGAGATTTCTGTCTAGCAGCAGAGCGAGCCAGCAGTAAACGCAGCTGCCAAGACCTGAGCACCAAGCTGCTAGCCAAACAGTGCACTGCACTCACCGCCTCCGTCTTCTGCCTCACTCAGCTGTTCCGCACCCTCACTGCTCTTTGAGAGGACCACACCCACTGAAGTCTCAAAAGTGATATTCAGGAAACCTGTGGACTGTGGAGTGTGACCTTACCACATGAGAGAGCCTATTAGCCCGCACTTGCTGCACATGTGGGCAGAGTGTGTCAGTCATGGTCAGAATGAGCAGTTGAGGTTACCTCAGAAACACACACTGGGGTCAGTGAGCTCAATGAAAGCTCAGCTGATCACAAACTCTCAACGACATAGAGCCAGTTAGAGATTGTTGAGGTGCATGTGGTTATTGACTATATGCTGTGCACGTACTGTAGCCCACAAACCAAACAGTCAGCCAACACCCAGACTGCAGAGTGGTGCAAACTGCAAAAGCAGAACCTGCTTGCATTCCAGTATTGAGGAACGGCTGTACTTGAATGTATTTTATGTTAAATATTCTGTTTATTTATCTGATAATTTATCTCTGACATATGAGTTATTACAGTGAGCAAGTAAGGAACGTAACAAAGCTTTAGGCAGAGCAGCACTGTGTGAGAGTGGTGGGCCGTTTACACACATACACAAGCACATAACCGCAAACACACAGAGTGAAACAATATTCACTTTGATTCATACACAGGCCTTTCAGGACTGACAGACTGACCGTGTGAAGATGAGAAACTCTTGGGTGAGTTTAAAAAGGTTGGCTTGCAGCTGCTGATAGCACTGAGGATTGTGCAACATTTAGTCTCAACATCTAATTCACAAAGCAAACTGCACTAATGATATTAAAGTCCAAAAGCACTATCGAACCTCTCCAGTATAGGACAGCCCAACCCCCCCCCCCTTTTTTTTTTTTTTTTTTTGATGAGCTGCTGGAATCTCTGAACAAAGAGCTACCATCTGCACTCTCACCCTGATGTCACTTCATTCTATAGATAAACTGAAAGTCCTAATCTGTTGTTGTTGGAGTTGATTTATTGCAGATTTGCCACACATTTCACTTTCTGTATCCAGTTTACCTGCTATAGCGAGTTAACAAACAGCAATGATTTCTGATAACAATTAGTATTAAAGAAAAACTCCACTGTGCATAATGGCACAGTCTGTGTGTCATGTGTGTCTGACAGCCTCAGTCTGGTTTAACCTTTGATGGTTGGAAAAATAATCATTATGTCAAAGTCATATAAACAGACTTTATAAATGGACATTGTCATACTTATTGTGGAGTCTGAGCCTGACAACACTTATAGATGCTTCAGTGCAATTTCTACCAACACTCAGCGGACAGTATAAGGTCTCTCCAACTGTGAGGCTGTCAGCACCAGCCTTTGCGAATTAGGTGTTTTTACCACTAATGAAGCTCATTTGTATAGAAATTGGCATAGTTTGCTCCAAATAAATGATGGGTTCATCTAAATCAGTGCAGATAATACCACAGCACATAGATGCTATTTTCCCCTGGCTGCAGCACTTTGTAGGGCACATGACGCTTTGTGGGTGCTTTATGAATTATTTGCTGTCATTTTGTCTCACTTGCAGAGGTTTATCAGGTGCAAAAGCTGCACAGTGCTTCTGTAAAATCAGGCCCTCTGCAGTTTTTAATGTTTTCCTATCTTCACATGGTCCGGGCTGTCAGAGAGGGGTTCTTGAATGTTACTGTTTACAAAACCAAAAACTAGAGTGGGATATGATCTGATCAAACTGTGCAACTGTAAACAAGTCTGAAGCTGTGTTTGCTCTTTTATATATCGAGAAGCAGAATGCTGATGTTTGTGCATTATGTGACTGTTTGGATGATCTTTGCGCATTCAACTTGTTGTCATTTTGCACAGAAGTTAGGTACAATTGATGGAAATGTCATACATTTGCTCGCTTTTCTCATTTGTTTGTTGTCACTCGTTCTCCACCTCCAGTTGAAACACAGAAGCCTCCAGTGCATGGTGATGTGGCTGTCAACACTGACACTAAGTGCATTATTACTTCGCAGTGTGACTATAAGTAGTGAAAAATCTGAGACTGAACATGAGCACACATAGCCTGAGCAGTGATGGTTTACAATTTGTAGCACTGTTGGCTATCTGAATGTGCATTATCAATCTGACACAGTGAGAGGGGGGTCCTAGAGAGCATCGGTGAACTGACCCAGTCATCAGCTGACAGCCTAATATTGGCATTCCTTAAACCTGACACATTTGTCACAAATCAACACCGATTCTGTAAAGTTTATCGTGAATAAGCTGTCTGACGCAGCATTTTCACTTGGAATGTTTCTTAAAATGAGACGAATTGATGCACACTGGAGCTGCATGTTCACTGGAGAGTTTAAAGGTATCTGAAATGATTTCACTACTGCTTTACTGGGAACACAATTTATGCAAACAGTGTTTCAATATATATTTATAATGGCATTGAAACACTTTGTTTACCTGTCCTGTTTTGTTCTTTGTGGTTGCAACAACTTATCGTTTCCTGTGTTTAACTCCCAATTTTCAACCAATAAGTCATTTCTTTTTTTTTACATCAATGAGAAAATGCCCCAAATACATGATGCAAAACTTTTTTAAATATCATCATTTGTGCTCACAAAGCATGCTAATAAGCCATAAAATGCATTGTTGTTTCATCAGGGATTTTATCTGTGAATGACTGAATGAAGACGTCTGCTCTGGCTTTGTAATGCTCAACTTCCACCATTAAAAAAAACAATGTCAAGGTTTATGCATGCGTCTTTGCTCAGTTTTGTAAATAGCCAACAGGAGAGATTTAATAAGAATCACATTTTGTTTGTAGCAATGCTAGAACATCTTTATTTCACAGACAGGACAGGAGTTGGAGAATGTTGTGTTAAAAGGAGCAGCAGAAGCCTAAAAATCCTAAATATGACTGATACTGTGCCTGTGTGAGCTTGATTTTACTTTTTTTGTATTTGTTCAGTTGTAGTTTTTAAGTCTAACTTTCTTCATTGTTATTATTTGCAGAATTTTCGTCTTTAATCACATTTAATGCATTCCATTATGTTGCATTTTAAAACTGGCTTTTTAGTCTGTATAAGCAATGCAGAGCAATTCCTACCAGTGTCTTAAATTTGGGATTTAAATGTATGTAAATCCTCTATATTGTTCACTGACTTTCAGTCAGATGCCAACTATTTTGCAAGTGCTGTTGTTCAACTCTTTAGTCTCATCTACAAGTAAGCAGTAAGCAGTGGTTTGCATAATCCAACAAACTATTCTGACTACTGTCATAAGCACAAGTGCTTAGGTGTGCCTTAAAAGAATTGAATCAGTAAATATGTTTGTACTTTTGACAGATCAACTAAGCTGAAAAGGAGTTTTTGAGGGTGTCATTATTTTTGCATCACAGAGGGGATGCTATGGCCAGAGTATGGAGACTAAACCACAGTGTACTGAACAACCTGATATCACATCAAAACATGTAATAGACATGTAATGACATATACACACCTGTGCGGAAACACATTATACTAAAAGGGACAAAAAGGTGTTGATTTGGGGCTTTAATTACATCACTGTAAACATGTCAACACTAATAGCCCACATTTTTACTGTGCATAGTGTTCAAATGTCGATGTCAAGTTTATTTGTATAGCACATTTAAAACAGCCAGCGGCCTACTAAAGTGCTTTATAATAACGAAGCAGTAGCAATAAAAGCAAGTCATACAACAGTAAACAGCAACAACAAAAGACATGTAACATATAAATGTAAACAAAAACGAATATAGAACCAGTACAAGTATCATGTTCCGCCAAAGGCTAGAGTGAACAAGTGCGTCTTCAGTTGGGTTTTAAAAGTAGAGGGGGCTATTTGCAGTACACACACTGAGGGGTAGTGCATTCCACAAAGTGGGAGCTGCAACCGCAAACACTCGCTCCCCTTTGGATTTTAAAAAATCAGTTTCAAGGGTGTCCCACAGGGAAAAGTGTCTAAACTGTCTGCCTGCATAGACTTCTTGCATTCAACAAAGTCCACAATGTGCAGTTTCTGTGCAACTGTGATGCTCTGTCTATTACCATCTGTTTTAGTTACCAGTCTGGAGAGGTAATGTCAACCCCCTCTACTGACCATTGCTTTCTGGAATTGGGGTGTCTTTTTGATCAAACTAGCACACCACGAGGTTTGTTTTTAAGTAGTCTACCATTGTTTTTACTAATGCGTGATCATGATGAATTGAGGCAGAAATTTTAAAAGTGACTAAAGGGTGATCACTTCTCCCAAAAAGCCTGCATCCAATAAGCTTTGGCAGCAGTTGACTTGCTTCTTGGAGCGCCACCTTCTGGCTAATACCAATGAAACAGCTCTCCTTGCATTTCACACTGGTTAGTGTCATATAAGATGCAGCTTACTTTTTGTATAACCATAAATTACGAAAAAACTGAGTCTTTTACAATATTTCAACAGTAAGCAAGAATTTGTTGCTTACTGTTTTTTCCACAGTTAAAAAAATACTGTGCTTTCATTTCATACGAGTTTACCAAACCCTCAAATAGTACACACTGTCAGAAGGCTGTGGACTCTCCAACTTATGATGGCTACATGTGTTTGGTGCAAGTGCATCCAGCCCAGCATGTAGTCCTGAAACTCAGGCTACGTTCACATTGCAGGTAATGATGCACAATTCGGATTTTTTGTTGAATCTGATCTTTTTGTGCGGTTGTTCACATTACAACACTGAATGCGGCCCGTAATGTGAACAGAATATGTCCGTGAAGTGACCCGCAGGTGCACAAAGCAGGTCGTGTTGTGTTGTCGAACAATGGTGACGTCTGTCGCATATTGATGACGTATAGGTCGGATGAACCCGACCTGAGCGTCCACACTGCAGTCAGATCAGATACATATCCGATTTATATCCACATACAAAAGAGGCCTGGGTCGGATTTAAGAAGAATCAGAATTGCACTGTTCACACTTACATGAAATAATCAGATATGTGTCACTTGTGGTTAAAAAATCAGAATTGACCTGCAGTGTAAACATAGCCTAAGTGACAGATATTCAGGACTTAGAACTAGCAGCAAAGAACTCAATGACTTTGTAGGTCATAGGAGTGAAAACTATCTTTGCAAAACGTCAGCTGATAAAATTTCTGCCGTGATACCTTTTACTGTAAATGCTATAGTTAAAATTTTGAAGGTCTTTTGAGCAGCAACTCAGTCACAAAGTGGTAGACCATGTTAAGTCACAGAGCGTGGCTAAAGAGCACCGAAGTGAGTAAAAATCTTTCATCTGTTTCATCGCCCACCACAGACTTTAAAATGGTGTCTGGAGGCAAAAGACAAATTGAACGCAGGAGCTTCATAGATGGTGTTTCATAGGGCAGCTGTAGCAAGCCCCACATTGCTGTGTGCAACAAAAAGCCTCAGCTGGAGCAGATAAAGAAGGCTACACTTGGACCCTAAAGTAAGGTGCTTAAGGGAAGTGTCTACATGTACTTTAAGGATAGTGGAGCCTATGTACTGTGCAGATGGTGAAGTCTCTGAACACTACAAATGTGTGTGTGTGTGTGTGTGTGTGTGTGTGTGGGGGGGGGGGGGGGGGTCTATTTGCCTGCACAGAGCCCAGAATAAAAGAAGATTATAAAAAATGATTGCCAGCATGACTTCTTTGATATAACATCTGTGCTCACCTCACTAATGCTTTTCAGCTTAATTGGCTTTCTCGAAGAGTCTCGCTGAAAATCTTCTCTGAAGGTCCAAGAGCACTGAACTTGAGCCAATAGAAAAAAGAAAAAAAAAACTCTCACACATAGAAATACAATCCAAAGGTGGCACATATGCGAGCCATGGTAAATCATTCATACATCTATCACATCATATTCCTCTGTCCTTTGTAAGACTGCAGTTGGAGCATAAATCTCCACAGTCTCGGCACATGAATAAATTTGACGCGGGAATGCATGCAGCAGTGACAAACCAGAAAAGCAGCAGTGTAGATTTTTTCATTCAAACAATCAAGACAACCCACTGCATTTGTAATATCTTGAAATAGCCTTTGCTGGAACCTAGCTTTTTAATTTTTGATCAAACTGCCCTTGCTTTTAAAATCAACAGTGGGCATCTGAAACAAGGTACAGTGTATTTGGCTAACTAGGGAGGAAAAATCTGCTCCAATCTGAAATCAACTGGAAAAAAACTGTTCGTCACTGCCCTGAAGTAAAAGCTGAACTGTGGCGGTGCAGCTAAAGCTGGTTCATCTTTTTAATGAGGCCCTTCTTTGGAGCATCATCTACAAAGTACAACATTACAATGCTCCTCCAATATTCTTCTCTCCCCTTATTACTTTTAGGGGAAAAAACAATATCATGGAAATTTAACACTGTAGTGGTGTTATCTGATGGCACAGACACGTACACTAAAGTAAGTTCCTGTTTTTGACATTCAGTTTATCTGCTGGATTGCATTTTATCTGCGCATTGATTAATGGGACCGACGGATGGACAGACAGACACACAGATAGATAGGTAGATTGATACTTTAATGATCTCCAGCAGGAAGTCACATTTCCAGCAGCTTGAGAAGGATGGAAACACAGGGGCAGGAAGGGTTGAGATATAAAATACAATATAAAATCTAAAAGATAAATATAAGAATAAAATTAGAAATGTGAAGTCTGCATTGAAACGATGCAACACATCTGTAATGAACTGCAACCTTGGCAGAATCTTTTTCTGGTCTCATGTTATCATTATTCCTAAAGCTCTGCGAGATGAAAGATACTCCGTCTGCAAGACTGACAAACTGATATTTTGCTGGAAAATATTCGGTTGGATCTTTTAAAACATGAAATCCATGTTTAAAAAGGTGGAGTTACTGCTTCAGCTAAGGTATTCAATATATTTTACTAAACTTAATATCAGAGCTCTTTTTCGTGTGCAACATCAGAGCACTGCTAAAGTTTGTGCAACCATTTAGATCTCGTGTCTTTTACCACAGTTTTTCAACCCATTTCTCCACAGGAAATTCAATATGCTGATGCAGTGGTTTTGCACTAGTCAACAACACAGATATACAGTATTTTTAACGCAAATGTTACACTCATAATCCTAAATTATCCTCACCACAGCAAAAAAGATTAATGTAGTGCCAAAAAGAACAACTTTGCCGACAGTGTCAGGAAGACAAGGTTCAAATTGTGTACTGAAAGATACTATAAGAAACTTTATGTCTGTGTTGACTGGCACCCCCAGAGGACAAAGTAGTTTCTCTTCTTTTTTTCTTTTTGTCTAGTCCTTGTAAAGTGGTGTTAGATGACACTGTCTATCTACAGTAAAATTGATCAATCCTTTGTTTTGCTTCATAACAAATAAATAAACTACTCACAAGAGCTTTAAAGCTCTTTTGAGTAATTTTTTGTAGGTTTTTGTAAAACCTGTGGACAAAGCATGGGCTCTAATTTCTTTCTGATTGTGTCCTGCACATGTATAAGTATTGTTTTTGACTAAAAATAGTCAGACAGGTGACTCATCACTAATCGTTGGAAAAATATTATTTTTTTAACCCTTTAATGCCTTTTGTATCATATCTGATACATACTTTTATATACTTCTATCAAATCAATATGATCAACAAATTACTAAAAGAAACACCTGAATACAGTCCAATAAATAGTAAAAATGTCTTCTTGTAGTTTATCAGTTTCAAAAAACATCTAATCTATCAAACGAGATAAACAAATATATCTGTTAAATTTTAAGGACATTTTGATTTTCAGCCGTCTCCAAAAAATTTGAATTTTCTGGCCATAATTTGTGGTGTCAGGCATTAAAGGGCTACAGGTTGTTTTGAAAGTGTCTTGTGAATCACTTGGACCCCCTTTTTAAGGTATCTTGAAATTACTGTTTAAATATAATGGAATTGGTAGCCTATTGTTTACTTTTGCTGTGTTAAGTTTAGTCAGTCATTTCCAGTTAAAAGCTCCCCACAGAAACTCTAATCTTGGAACAAGCATACTTGCATAAGTCAGCACTGTGTAGCACTCAGGTTTCAGATTTTCGGAGTGTGTTTAGGTAATCTGAGCGCCATTACGTGCACGTGAACGCAAGATCTGCCCGATGACAGTGACGCCCCAAAAGTGCACGAGGTGGTTGGCTCCCCTGGACTCTCCTTCAGCACGTGTGAGACCCCTCCTCTGGCTCCATAGTGGGTTTCAAGCTCTTTGAGACTCAACAGTGTCCTGACAACGACTCTAACAGGGAGGAACGGGGACTGTTATGAACCCTGACTGGCAGGCTGCTGAGAATACAATCATTTTTCAATTATGGACGGCTCTGACAAAGCACAAATTAAACACACCGCGGGGACGAAGGAAGATTTAAAAGCTACTGATGCCACTTCTTCTGTCGCGAGCTCCAATGAAGATTGCTGCCCCTGTCTGAGGCGCGTGAAGGGCGTTATACCGCCGCTTTACCGGAATGAGCTCGTGCAACTTGTCAAACTAGCGGGGCCAGTGGTAAGAGTCAATTTAACTGATTTCAGGTTTCAGGTTGAGTGAAACCTGTTGTTTAAATTTATTTGAGGATGTTCTTGTTCATTATTCTCTGTGTTAGCTGTTTATTATGTTGCAGTTACATTATGGGAGTTTTTGATTTGTGAGAAGATGCAATTACTGTTTTTCCCTATTAAACTGTCTTGTGAGAGCTGTAGAAAACTTCTCTTAAACTTATGTAATCCTTGTCTCCCACTTTTACTGCTGTAACCTTTCAAATCTCAATCCTGGGGTCCCTGAAATACACACAAATGATGACATTAGAAACACGAGAGATTCTGGTCTTGGACAGGGCTGAGGGGATAGGTGTGATTTAAAAAAAACTTCAGATTACAGTCATCTGACTTTTTAAGGCTGAATACCCTCCTAATGGAAAAATAATTTAATTTTGCAGAAAGAGAACTTGCAGGGCTTTTATTTAAAAAAATTAATAAATAAAGTGCTTTACAAAAACAATATGAAGCAGATCAGGAGGGGCTGCAAGCTGAGCTGCTGCCAACACCACCTTAACTTCCATGTTAACATTTCTAAGTCATGATCACTCAAAGTTCATCTTAGGGTGCAAAATTATTTCAACCCAGTCATTTATTTAGCTGAAGCCAAATTATCCACAGAAGTCACCTCTTTAAGAATTATTGGCCCAAGCATTCGAAATTAGTGACCACATATGGTAGTAGTAGGATGGGTTGTTAATGAATCCAGCTGAGCTACTGTTAAAATGCAGGTATTTACGATTGTTCTTATATCTTTAGCAACAGTGGTTTCTTTCTTTATTTTTCTCCAAGTTTCCCCTTTTTCCAATTTACAGATAATATCCACTTTTTTGACTGATAGCAGGCAAAAAAAAACCCCATCAACCTTTGGTTTCCATACCTTTTCCTACCGATTTCGGCTGTGTGATCCACTCACACTGGGTGGATCACTGGTCTTTTACAACCCCTCATCATTGTTTTTAATCAGCCAGCCTTAGTTTTCACGTGCTGTATTTTGGCAGTGTCTCTTTCTAAAGGTGTTGTCTTTGTTTTTGTGTCCCAGGTCGTTTCCCAATTGATGGTTTTTATGATCAGTTTTGTCAGCACTGTTTTCTGTGGTCACCTGGGAAAAACAGAACTTGCAGGAGTATCATTATCAATTGCGGTGAGATGATTAATGAGTCTTGTATTTGCTTTGAAAGCTGCCAAAGCCTGTGAACACTGAAGTTTTTATTAACTGTCTTTCCTTTATACATAATTTTATGTGTTTTTTTTTTTTTTTTTTGTTATTGTAGGTGGTGAATGTGACGGGTATTTCTATTGGCACTGGTTTGTCGTTAACGTGTGATACCCTAATATCTCAGGTATTTCTCAGTGGAGGATGTTCTTTCACTTTGGTTATCTTACATGGGCAAAAAAAGTTCCTGCTGAGTTCCCAGGTTGTCCTGGGGTCTGCTTTAAAACAATTCAACAATGAGCTTTTGTATCACGCAAGCTTATATTACCAGTTTTACCCCTTGTTATTGGTGTGGTTAGTGTTTTCCAACTTTGCTTATTTGAGTATCTGTCCACCTGTGTCATGCAGACATATGGGAGCGGTAACTTAAAGCGTGTTGGTGTGATCCTCCAGAGGGGGGTTTTAATTCTGTTATTGGCCTGTTTCCCCTGCTGGGCCATCCTCATCAACACGGAACCTCTCCTACTCGCTGTCAAGCAAAGCCCAGAAGTTGCCAGGTTGGTAATTATTAATCCCCAGAATAACAGTCCTTTGAAACAACTCATTTACCAATAGTAATGTGCAAACTGTTAACTGTTAGAGAGATTTAGAGCTGAAACAAGGGAGTAACTCTGAAACAAATCTGCATCAACTTTAGGTTTTAACAACAGTGGACAGGGAAAAAGTTGCAAACACTTTGACCTAAGCACAATGTTTGTATATAGTTGTTTTTACACTGATGTGGAGCATCATTCACATAAGTAATATTAAGTCATATTTCTGTTTATGAATTTATGTCTGCCATTCCCGTAAGCTTTTGGACACGGTGATGATTCCAAATTTACAGCCTTGAGCTGCTTAATTGAACACTTTATGCGTTCTGATGCTTGGTAGATTGTTTTGCAGTTAATTTCCAGAACGGTTTGTTGAGACAAGCTGCCTTCTGCATGTGGCAGCAATGCTAGGTTGAAGGTGCAGTGTGCCGAATTTAGGAGGATTAAGCTGAACAGACTTGGTACAATTAGAATTCAATATTCCTAATTATATTGAATTTAGTTTGCAAAAACTAAATAGTTTTGTTTTTGCTCATTTAGACAGAGCCTATTAATATTTATATACAGGATTGTGATTGTTATCACTGGTAAAATAATTGAATGAATGCTTTTTGGTGATAAGAATGTGACAAATAAGGATCAGAATGACCAAATATCACAGGAGCTTTTTGTCCTCAGAGGCCACTGTCACTTTACTGACTGAGGGATGAGCAAGGAAATGTCTGAGCCTGGAATGTAACTGCTGGATATCACTGAATATCACTATTTCTACACACTATGCCTTTTATTTCAAGTATATGTATCTGGAATAAATTGTAGATATAATTTAACAGACAATATCTTTGTGGAATATTTGTCATATATTTTTTAGTCTGCATTAGACACAAGCTGGGATTCAGTGGTAACAGAATGAATGACCTCATTGACACGGAGGGCTCTATTTTGGTGCCTCGCCGGAGACGTGCCGCAAGCGCAGCGTCAGTCAGATCCGCCGCGCTGACAAGGCGTTCCCAAGCACATTTTGGTATTTTGGTGAGCCGCGCAGCCCGGCGTAAGTATCCCCCCTCCCTAACTCAGCTCCTCCCAGCACCATAAGTCGTAGACGGGGAGGAGAAAAGCGTTAAGTGGGTTTAACACAGCCGAGACCTGTTTTCACCAATCACATAGGCTCCTCTCCTTGCTTTAAATCCGCCACAGGCGAGGCGTATTACTATTTTCATGAAGTAGTCAAAGAGATCAAGAGATGTCTTAAGACAGTAATGCCACAAGATGGCGACAGAGGGCAGCTCCTCAACAAGCGTCCTCCACACTCTCTCATATAAGCACAGATGGATTTAGTGTGCGTAATGTTGGACCCAGTGGTAAGACAAACACCCTTTTCCACAAATAAAGACACTCACATAAAGTTGCTCATATTCAAACCTCACGTGACAAAGGTGGGTTGAGCGCACAGATCACAACATAAACTCCAAAAATGGCATTAAAATCGGAACCATCTGTGCGTAAATGACGCATCGCGCTCCGTGGCCTGGCTCTTTCTTTCATAGATGTTGGCATATAAAATAAATTTGGCTCACAAAACTGAATATTATAATATCCGTATGTCGGCTTAAAGTAGATAACGCATCTGAGCACTGAAACAAATCATCTGTTCAGCTGCAGCAGCAGCAAGACGGACAGAGGACACGGAGACGTGTCCAGGTCGAGCTGTGCGAGAAATAAGAGGAAGAGGAAGAAAGAAAAGGAGGGAGATGAATTACATATCTTGTTAACTTCATCATGTGTGTATATTTACTAGATATTTAATTTAATTTGATGCGGTTTCAGCTGTGTTGATTCGGTCAGGTTGTGTGTCCAAACGCGTGCCAAACGCGCTCATCAGATCACATATAGATCAGAATATATCGATATAGATCTAAATATATGTGCTGACTCAGATTAATAGTTGATGATGATTATTTATTGCACTGAAATGTGCCTGACACTGTGGAAACCTGCCGGTGAGGCATCAGTGACGTATGTCGATACGCCGCCGGTCTACCAAAATACTTCTAGACCAGCTGCGTTCCGCCTTGCGCTGAAAGCTGACCAGGTTTGAATCGGCGAGCTTTCAGCGCACTTTACACGCCGTTGGCGAGCACGAAAATGTCACTGCGCCAGCTGATTCTGTCGACACCTCCCCCTGCCACACCACCACGCCCAGCTTGGCGGATCTCGGCTCGCCTCCGTGCGGCTCATTCCACGAAAATACCAAATTGGCCTTACGCTGGGCTCCGCCAGACGAAAATACAACTGCGCGGGGCTCGCCGCCCTCCGCCGCCTCACCGGCGCGCACGAAAATAGAGCCCGTAGTATTAGTTAGAGCAGCCACACTGTATTTAGTAACTACAGTATTTCTATGTTTTATTTTTTTTGGAACAAAGCAGCAGAAATTCCATCAGTTTTGACTTTAACGTGGTCATCGGTTGAAATCAAGACCCAAGATAATTGTCTGAGGATGTTATTTGTGTTGAAATTTTATAATGTTAAATAATGTTGTGTTTCAACACCACAGTTTCACATGCACATTTCTTTGTTTTCTTTCTGGTTGAAGTCTCTCTCAGCTTTATGTGAAGATCTTCATGCCTGCACTGCCAGTGAGTTTTGATGCTTTTTAAGTCCTGTATTTAAGAGTGATAAGAATAACAATAAAATCAAAATCAGATTATTTAGGGGGTTTACACATTCACTGAGTCACTTTGGTCATACTCACAGTCAGATTCCTTCACTTCTTTTTCAGGCAGCTTTTATGTACCAGCTGCAGGGGAGGTATCTTCAAAACCAGGTAAACCAAAGCAAACATACTTCAGTCAGAGCTCACATCTGAACCAAAGTGATCTAGTATTTTTAAATGTTAACTTTTGTCCTGTGGTTTACAGGGAATAATATGGCCTCAGGTTATTACTGGAGCCATTGGAAATGTCTTCAATGCAATTATAAACTACATATTGCTCTTCTATCTGAATATGGGAGTTGCGTAAGTTTAAAAAAAAAACTTTTATTTTGTAGTACAGCATGTCATGTTGAATATAGAGTGACTTTATTGTCAAATCTCTGGATAGGGCTGCTTACATTTATCGCAGACACACATATATGAGCTCATAGTACAATTGGATTTTGTATTAATGCTTTTCTGCTCCCCATACCCACTGTTTGTGTTGGGTCATTTTTATAAGACTAGCTGCTTCACTTTGTAAAACCCTGACTTCCTTTTCTGCATCTCTGCTAGCCTGCCTGACCTTACACAGCAGGTCCTCACAGTGGCCCTCATTTATCAATCTTGCGCAGATCTGAGCACAGGATTCATCCTACAATAGGACACACGTGAGATTTATGAAAGGGTTTGTATCTGACCAATCCCAGCGTACGTATGATCGGGTCTTGATAAATGCGGCGGCTGAAATCGATCGTCATTAACATGTTTACGCCCTTAAATATTTGTGATTCAGAAGCCTCGCCCACTGAGGTAAAACATGAAAGAGGAGAAATATTACAAAGATGCGAAACTTTTCCGAGCTGAAAGTGGATATCCTCGTGTTTGTGGTGGAAACTAACAAGGATTTTCTCTTTGGAAGCATCAAAACTGGTCTAAAAGCAGTCTAGAAAACTCCTGTCTGGAGCAGGATTATGTTGGCGGTGAACAGTTTGAATAAATCATTAGTCAATAAGTTGCTCATGATGATAAATTAATATCTCATACATGCCTCATATTTGTTTATTGCCATGACAAAGGGTACGTTGCTCCTATTATTGAAAGTATTTAGTTTTAATTTGTTGCGTCTTTGTAATGTAGAGCAGACTGGAGAGTCTGACAGAGGCTGAACAAAAATAATTACTAACCTCACCAAACGGTGTGTTGCTGCCCCTTTATTTATGTCTTAATCTTTAATGAAATCTGGCTGATTGTGCTTAATGACAGGTTTGAGGTTTGTATATCAATTATTTTCAGACAGACATTTGCTGCACCACAGATCCACACTGACTCAAACTTGCGTACACGATGTCAGACCTGTCGTGAGATTTGGTCGTAGCGTACGCTCACGTGTAGATTGATAAATGCCGATCCTCACGTCAAAATTTTTGTAAGCAAGGTGTACGCAAGTTTTCTGCTGCACGCAAGCTTGATAAATGAGGGCCACTATGATAATCTGGACTGGCTGAGCAGCAGCTGCACGTTGAGATTGATTGACACATTTACAGACAGATCAGTACTGAACTTTGGACCACAGTGCATAATAGATGTTTTTTTTTCTTGGTTAAACAACAGCAGCCGCAGCAGTGACAGTGAGAAATTAGTCAAAATAGAGTTGCAAGTATGGTTGTTGTTGGTATTTAAGCTGTTAAAAAACAGGACACATTTGTGTTTTATTGAGATTTGTTGATGAAATTTGAAAAGATAGCTGTCTGAGTTCATTATTAGGCTTATAGTGGATTTGTCCATCGACAATAATGGTGTTGATATCTAGTGCAAAATAAGAGGCTTTAGCTGTTTTGTCTTGTGCCTGTTTTGATCTTCACCTAACAGTTCAAATCTGTTTTGCTCAAAGTGGATCTGCAGCAGCCAATGCCATCTCTCAGTACTTGCTGGCTGTGGTCTTGTATGTTTACATCTGCTGGAGGGGTCTTCATAAGGCCACATGGGGAGGTGAGCCACTTTTTCTTATTTTGCTGAGAAACTTACCCACAAAACAAAATCTATTGGCTTTTAAAGGTTTGACGGTTAACTGTCTCTGTCTAGTCAGTCTTGGTGGGAACAAGTCCTCCTCTTTGTTTAATGTGTGACAAAGTAGTTACACTTTATAACTGGGCAATGTGGAGTGGAGGAGAGGTGACAGGGATGACGCATGTGGCCAGAGTATTACAGTCAAATATTCATCCCTCAGCTGTTACGTAATGAACACAGTAATATGCCACTTACTCAGTAATTCTGGCTTTTTGTCACCTGAACAAACAGTTCAGTTAAGGTCCTGGGTGAACCCTGTTCACTTTAAGCTCATGTCAAGACCTTTAAAAAGCTCCACCTGTATCCAAGTGGCTTTGAAAAGGTAAACTCATGCAGCTATATTTGACAGAAATATGTTTTTAAGGTTGTGGCTTATGATTCTATTTGTTGAGAAAAAAACAGCTGCTCTAACAGAAAATAAAAAATGTTAACCCACAGGTTGGACGCTTGACTGTCTGCAAGAGTGGGGACCCTTCGTCCAGCTGGCCATCCCCAGTATGCTCATGCTGTGCCTGGAGTGGTGGATGTTTGAACTGGGAGGGTTTCTTGCTGGGGTGATTGGTGAAGCCGAGCTCGGAGCTCAGTCTATAGCCTATGAGCTGGCTGTTGTGGCCTACATGGTGAATCCCCCAAATGTTTTTTCTCCACATTGATAATGTGTTGGTTGTAAATATGACCTGCTAATGCACTTGTGTGTTTTCATTTTCACTCAGCTCCTAGTTAAGTTCCAGCTCCTCTGATCATGCGTCTTTTTTCCTGCAGTTCCCATTGGGGTTTGCTGGAGCTGCTAGTGTTCGGGTTGGGAATGCTCTTGGTGCGGGAAATGTAGAGCAAGCCAAGTTGTCCTCCAAAGTCCCCATCATTTGCACTTGTAAGAACTAATTCATGTGGTTTATGTTACTTGAAACACCCTCTCCACAGAAATAATTCCATTTCAAAGACCAACAGGGTTATAAGACACAAGGAATCAGAAAATGCGGAGCTTGGAAAAGCAAAAGATCTGATTTCCTTTGTATCTGCAGTAAAATGTGATGAGGCCTACAATAAATGATCCACTCACAAACATCATGAGAGCTCTCTTTATACAGTGGAGTCCTGAACCAAAAATAAATGAGGAATACTCTCAGACCAAATCTGGGTGAGGAGGAGACAGAAACTTTTATCTTATGTCGAGTTGGTGACCTTGTTGCCATGGTATGACACATTCCTCCAAAAGTTATGACTGGCTGATCCACACGAAGAGAAAAACAGTTCTTGTATTAATAACATGCGAAGAGAGACAGTGAAATCAATTTGCCTTATTCCAGAGTATGATCAGATAAAGTGTTGTTATCCTACAAGATGTTTTGAAACCCATGCACACTGTGCTATCGTCTGATCAAACACTAGTAGTAAAAGCAGTGTTTATAGACATAGTATACCCATTCAGGCTGACCATTTACTAATTTTTTTAACCTGAATACATCACTGTCTAAGATTAACAAACTAGAGTGTGATCTACTCTCACTCTACACTTATCTGTGGATGATCAGAGAGATGACAGCTGCTCTGTCTCTCCTTAAATGCACCAGTTGTTGTGATGTGTCTTTGTGAATACAAAACCTGTCAATGGTTTTGTAGCTGCTGCTTTTACTCTGCACTCTCCCAACAAAAAACATTGCCTCCCTCTAGGGCTGAATGGTTTATTGTTTAATGATCGAAATTGGGATTTTTTACAGCATGATCATGTGATTGCCAAAGCTGCATTTATTATTATTATTTTTTTTTTGTTGCTGCGCTCCTGACTGACTCGGGATCTGTTGTGTCAACTATTTCACATGTACATGACGTCTCCCCACCATCCCAATCAGAAAGGGCGTATGCCACTCATGGACAGGTCACATTAACCAATCAGTATTAACCTGCTCTCCATGTTTTGAAACATTTACGTGTTTTTAAAATAGCTTCAGTGCAACCACAAGTGGAGTTTGGTGATTTAATCCCTAAAAAAAAGTGGCACAGCAGTCATCTGGGAGTATTTTGGTTTTGAGGCTGCGGACATGCATCAGAAATAGGTACTGTGCAAGCAAAACCTGTTGCACTAAAGTTGCTACATCGAGTGGAAACTAGGGTGACCATATTCTGAATCCCCAAAAAGAGGACACAACTACGTGGGGGCGGAGTCACAGAGTCGCGCGTATTAAATATTGAGTTTTCTGGTTCGGGTCGAGTGTTTTAAATGTGCTTCTAACTCAGTAAATCTTTGCGACACAAACTCAAAACTTCCATACAAAACCCCAGACATTTGAAGGATTTTGTAACCTCTCGCGGACAAGGCCAGACAGCCCCCAAAAAAGAGGACATGTCTGGGTAAAAGAGGACGTCTGGTCACCCTAGCGGAAACACAACCAACTTGTACCGGCACTTGAAAAACCACCCCAGGCGCTTGCAAGAGGAGTGCATGACATATAGTTTAGGATGTGGTGCATCCCCGGGAACAATCACTTTGGATCTTAAATAAACTATAACTCTAATATAGCTTTAGAAAAATAAGTGGTCTTGTAGTACAACTTGTCCCCAGGGTGGGGTGAATTGTGCCATAGATTATTAAAGTAAAACACATCATTTTAACCTTAAAAACAGTAATGCTACATAAAACCCAAATTCATGAGTTTCATTCCTCTGTTTGAGAAACTCTTGAGCCTCTCAAAATTTTGCTTGACCACCAATGACATTTTTCAGTTGAAGAGCTTTTTCAAGGGCTGAGATACTTTGTGAATAACTTTTCTTCAACAGAATTTACAGTACACCTAACTACAAAGAAAAGTTCTTATGAAGAAAGGTTATGATCAGGAGGATTTTCGAACACTTTCATCAACTTTATGTATGAGGAAGCTTAAAGAATACAGCCACTGTATAAGCAGAACTCAGGAATGTAGAAAGCTTATTTTACAGGTGGGGGGCAAAGAAACTAAAGGCTGCTTCCCCTTCCTTAGTTTTGATCCTGGGAACACTGAGTAAACTTCTTCCAGATAACCTGAGGGGCGGGGATGCTTCAAAGTGTACGGGTCAATCAGACAAAGGTTAAAGATCAGGAAATCATGTCAAGACAAGTAATAGGATGTGAAAATCTTTATTTTGACACACATAAAGCCAGTGCAGGGACATCAGGAGCAATGTACTGTGCTTCACTTTCTTGCTCTTTGTCAGGACTTCAGCTCTCTAAAACGGTCTGATTGTTCTTTTTCCGTTTTTCAAAGACCTTTGAAGATGCCATGACAATAGTCCAGCCTATTAGAAAATAAACTGAGATAGACTTTAACTGTATCTTGTTCTGACAGAAATCCTTTCACTCTTTATCCATATTTATACTGATATTAATCTGATCTGATGAATATTTTCAGTGAATGTTTAAATCATGGTCAGAGACCATAACTAAACCCAAATTTTATCCGTGGTTTGTTGATAAAGCTGTGATTTCAGAAAAATGCTGCCTCCAGCTTTTTCTTTTGGGCTTCAGACAAACATCTACTCATAGATTTGTCAAATCATTTATATAAATAGAGGGTGCTTAGGTCATATGGTGAAACTGTGTCATTATAGATAGGAGATTTATTATATCTGACTAAATCTGTGTTTTCACCTGCTGGTCAAATACACAGTCAGTTTTAGCTTTGTTTATAGATTCCTGCACAGTTTGGGTATTCAGTCCATCTAATAACTGTTTTCTGTATGTTTTTGTGGCAGTCATTATCGCATGTTTCATTGGAGCCTGCCTCAGCATCTCTAGAAATATCATCGGATTCATCTTCACCACAGAGCAGTAAGTGAACTCTTAAAGCGGGGGTCACTCACTTTCCTACAGTGACTCATTTATTCAGCGGTTTTGCAGAAGCTTGGTGATGATCCACATGACATAACAGACTCAGTTTCATATTGCTGTCCAGACTTTAAACATTAACTTAGTTCATCATTCCCACGCTCACATTTAAAATCAGTTCTGCCACATTATGTCCTTTTAATGTCTTGCCATTTCAGCTAACATAAAAAACCCCTTTTAAAAGTATCCCAAGAGGTCACAGATATTGTGTAGTTTTACAATACTTAGGAGCTGTTTGCCATGTCTTTGTTGAATTTTTTTTAAATTTTATTTTATTTAAAATTTTCACATTTTACAAACAGGAACTTAAAAAAAGTGTCCATAGCAGTACAAAGAAACAGCAGCTTAAAGAGGTGGTGTAGTTCCTCTCTGATACCTCTTTAATAGCTCTACATGATTTTCAGATAAAAAAGCCTCTTGTTTCTCACTCTGGTGTATTAAATACCATAATTTATCCACAAGCCTACTTTCCTTTAATGGCCACCTCTCTGGAGGTGGCCATTAAAGTATGCATCTTGTATGCATCTAGTCCAACAGAACCTTACCTTATCTCAATATCACCATGAAGCTGTCAGTCATAGGTTCAGTTTATTCATTTATTTCACAAAGGGGTCCATAAAATCCATTTCCATGGAAGCAATTCAAAAGCCTTATGTGGTAGCCAGCTAATATTACAATATCTAATATTACTCATTGTGTCAGTGACCTGCTCACGCTGTTGGTAATTCACGGAACGATCTTACTAAAAGTGATCCCCAACGTCGAGTCATATGACACATCTCTTCTTTCATGACTATGGTATGGTCTCACTGACATTAGTAACTCAGTTGTTTATTTAAGGTATTTAAAAACTCTCACTCTCACCCTTGCTCCCTTAGTACTAACTAGATTCAAATCAAGAACTTGTCTGCTCTTTTTTTCAGAGAGATTTTGGATAGGGTTTCTGAAGTCATGATTGTGTTTTGTTTCGTGCACATTTTTGATGCAGTCGCGGTGAGAAACTGTTATTTTCATGATCATTTTTCCAGACCTTTATGAACAAGGACATGGTGGAAGCTAACTGTCTGTTGTCATTAGGGTGTGACTGGAGGAGTTCTCAGAGGAGTAGGGAAACAGCTGATTGGTGCTCTGTGTAACCTGGTGGGGTACTACTTCATTGGCTTTCCTATTGGTGTATCGCTGATGTTTGCAGCACGCATGGGTATCACAGGTAAAACAAAATCTGCTGGGTAGTTTTTGCACTTACTGGGAGATGATTCTGTATCTCCTTTTTTATAGTTTACATATGTGCAAAAATGCTGAAACTCTCTCTCCACCTTCCTGCAGGTCTGTGGACAGGGTTGGTTGTATGTGTGTTCATGCAGTCCCTCTTCTTCATCATACTGCTGTGCAAACTCGATTGGAAAAAGGCAGCTGACGAGGTAAGAGGCTACATCCCTTGGCCAGTTAAAACTCTTCATTTTTTTTTGGTTCAGGATGTGCTCTAAGTTAAACCTTTGAATGTATGTGATCAGGCTCGTGTGAGAGCAGGAGTGCAGACCAAAGAGGAAAAAGAGATGACAAGGATGGACAGTACATGTAAGTTCTGCCGTAAAGTGAAACTTCCTCCTATAAAAAATATTGCTAAAGATTCTCCATCAATCCCCCAGATTCAAATCACAACCAGGCTGAGGTTGGTGCTACTGAATCCATCTGTGAAACAAACGAGGAGGACAACAACAGGCACTCTGAAGTGCAAAGTCCAGATCAAAATACAGCCTCAGCCACTACTGTGGGAGATGTTTTGTCTATAACCCAGCTGGTTTTACGGCGTGGCTTTGCTCTGCTCTGTATGGTCACTATTCTTGTTGTTGGAGTCTTGGCCAGTGAATTCCTTGTCAAGCTGCTGAAATAAGACCTCCACTTTTTTTTTTAAACTGACACCCAGAGCGTTGTTTAGCCTTCACATTCCATTAAACAATAATACAATGTTCACTTTGAAATACTGCACAATGTGACCAGGCTACTGGTGCTGTTGATCCCACAAATCAGATCTACAGATTTATGCTGCACAAAGCCAGAGACCCAGCATATGCTAACAACAAGACAGTCCCTCCATGTCAAAGGCAGTGTAAGGGTGAAGTATAGAAAAGCAAAGACATCCAGGTATTTTCCTACATGACCAAACCAAGCCTGGTATCAAAGTGTCTTAGCAAAGAGCATTGTTCTAGTTCAACAAAAACAATCATGTTGTTCTTTTTCTGAGAAATCTTTGAGCCACATGAGGCTGGTGTGTCCTTAAATGACAGTCTGAACTAATTTAATGACAGTTCACAGTGTGGAAGTCATCACAAATTTCTTCCAGCGGATTTGACCAATTATTACATTACATTATCATATTACAATTGAAAGTAAGAAACTATGACAGCATTCTAACTGAAGTAACTTCAAGAGGTCTGTCTAAGAGTAATACTTTGGGATTTGTACATACTGAGCAGGCTTGGTAAAATGTGTTTCAATATTCAAAAATATATTAGAACTAATGTATGATCACTAAACGCTCCTGTTAGGAGTTTTTGATAGATCAGGAAACAGACCAAATTGTGTTGTTTCTCTATGATGTCAAAAAATCGAATAAGACCATCAATTATGAGTTTGACAGTTTCTATGATATTAATTTTCACCTCCTGTAACTGAAGATCGAGTGATTTACTGGACCAATCAATGACATTTGGGCATAATAATCTTTCATATTGGCATTATGCCTTACAAGGTCAATATCACCATTATCTTCCAATGAAAAAGGCATTTTTCTTATCACCCATTAACAGAATATTAAATCTGTTAGAGTCATTGGCTTGTGTTTAGTTGAAACTCATTTATGAAGTGTAAAATAACAATTTCAGAGAGCTAGACAGAAACCTTAAGACCCTTGTGGCGAAATATTATTCCATCCACATTTATTGGAAATAGTGTTTATTCAGTAATGTTGTTTTTCATTTTATGGTATTATGGTGGAATTGTTGTATTTTGTCAAATCCAAAGAAACAGAAACAAACCAACAAAAAAAAAACATGATATTGGCATTATGTGTATAAATATATATATATATATATATATATATATATATATATATATATATATATATATATATATATACTCACCGGCCACTTTATTAGGTACACCTGTCCAACTGCTCGTTAACACTTAATTTCTAATCAGCCAATCACATGGTGGCAACTTAGTGCATTTAGGCATGTAGACATGGTCAAGACAATCTCCTGCAGTTCAAACCGAGCATCAGTATGGGGAAGAAAGTTGATTTGAGTGACTTTGAACGTGGCATGGTTGTTGGTGCCAGAAGGGCTGGTCTGAGTATTTCAGAAACTGCTGATCTACTGGGATTTTCACGCACTACCATCTCTAGGGTTTACAGAGAATGGTCCGAAAAAGAAAAAATATCCAGTGGGCGGAAATGCCTTGTTGATGCCAGAGGTCAGAGGAGAATGGCCAGACTGGTTTGAGCTGATAGAAAGGCAACAGTGACTCAAATAACCACCCATTACAACCAAGGTAGGCAGAAGAGCATCTCTGAACACACAGTACGTCAAACTTTGAGGCAGATGGGCTACAGCAGCAGAAGACCACGCCGGGTGCCACTCCTTTCAGCTAAGAACAGGAAACTGAGGCTACAATTTGCACAAGCTCATCGAAATTGGACAATAGAAGATTGGAAAAACGTTGCCTGGTCTGATGAGTCTCGATTTCTGCTGCGACATTCGGATGGTAGGGTCAGAATTTGGCGTCAACAACATGAAAGCATGGATCCATCCTGCCTTGTATCAACGGTTCAGGCTGGTGGTGGTGGTGTCATGGTGTGGGGAATATTTTCTTGGCACTCTTTGGGCCCCTTGGTACCAATTGAGCATCGTTGCAACGCCACAGCCTACCTGAGTATTGTTGCTGACCATGTCCATCCCTTTATGACCACAATGTACCCAACTTCTGATGGCTACTTTCAGCAGGATAATGCGCCATGTCATAAAGCTGGAATCATCTCAGACTGGTTTCTTGAACATGACAATGAGTTCACTGTACTCAAATGGCCTCCACAGTCACCAGATCTCAATCCAATAGAGCATCTTTGGGATGTGGTGGAACGGGAGATTCGCATCATGGATGTGCAGCCGACAAATCTGCGGCAACTGTGTGATGCCATCATGTCAATATGGACCAAGCTCTCTGAGGAATGCTTCCAGCACCCTGTTGAATCTATGCCACGAAGAATTGAGGCAGTTCTGAAGGCAAAAGGGGGTCCAACCCGTTACTAGCATGGTGTACCTAATAAAGTGGCCGGTGAGTGTATATAACCAGCCTCTACCTGTCACTGCTGTGAAGGGTAGGTACACTAAAGAAACAATTGTGTTACTCTGTGGCTGATACATTTCAGCACGACAGGAGGAGATTTTTTTTTACATATTTTTGTTTTGTTGTTAAACACTTACAAGTTATTTCCACAAAACAATAGCCACACAGGAGTGGGCCCCCATGAGGCCACTGATAACATACACATTTTTGTATTAAGTGAGTGGCCGTGCAAAATGCTCCTGTCTGAAGAGGAAGAAGAGAGTCAATGTGCAGAAAATAAATAATAAAAGACATTTTTAATGGTAAAAATGTATAAATGAAGTATCATACTTATTGTGCATTACAGGAGCTTTTCTCCTCAAAGGCTACCGTGGCTGTAGCAGCGTGAGGGGTGAGCAAGAGAGAGTGTCAGTCAGGAAACTGACCCCTAGTTATCACTAAATATTCCCTTTTTACACACAGCATTTATAAAGTGAATAAATATGTAAAAATTACATTCCTAGACACAAAGGAACTCAACAAAGCCATGTTGCTGCAAGAGCAGCATATTGCAGCTCCAGTATTATCCTCCTTTTTAATCCAGAACCTTTTCTTTCAGTGGTTCATTGTTGTGACTGAATCCTGAACACTTTGTACAAAACCCAATTCCATTCAAGTTGGGAAATCATGATAAATGTAAATAAAAAAGAATACAATGATTAGCAAATCCTTTTTAACCTACACTACAGGCCAAAAGTTTGGAAGCAAGGCCATTACAGGCTGAACAGTTGGGAGTAACTTCAAGTTTTTGTTCACAATGCTTTTTTCAAAATCCAGCATGAGTTTTATGTATTTTGGGATGTATTTACTCCATGATCAGATGTTGCTTTCATGGAAATGCACCATTTTACTCCATTTACCTTTAGATATACTTTGATGTTAACAGACCATTGCTAAATATATGTCAGCAAAAGATAATAAAGGCTTAGTTTTAGGGTTAAAAGCATTTGCAAGAGTCACAACTTCAGTGCAAAAGCAAAAAAACAAATCACAGTTGGATTATTTACTTCAACTTTTTTGCTTTTGAGAGTCTGCATACAAAAATCCTAATAAATCTCAACTGCGTTCAAACTACCGCAAAAATGGCTAGAAAGAAGCAACTGAGTAAAGAAACAAAAGTACAGATTTTTACATTGAGGAAAGAAGGATACACAGAAAGAGAAATTGCAAAACAAAAGTGTTTAACAAAGGAGTCCACTACACTCTGAAGAGACTAGAGGAACCTGGAAGTTATGATGATAGAAAAAGACCTGGACGAAAGAGAGTTACTACAAAAGCAGAGGATAAACATATTATTGTCATCAGTAAGAGAGATCAGCGAAAGACAGCACCAAAAATAAGGGAGAAAATCAACATGATAAGGCCGAAACCCATATCTCTGACAACCGTGGAAAGACGTTTGTGAAAGGCTGGTCTGAAAGGTTGTGCAAAAAAAACACTACTTTGTCCACAGAGCAATAAAAAGAGGTATGAGTGGGAAAAAGCTCACAAAAATTGGACTTAAACAAGTTTGCACTGTTTGGTTCAAAACGCAGAGCCCATGTCTGCAGACAAACTGGTGAACGTCTGAAAGCACCATCTGTTACACCCACAATTCAGCATGGAGGTGGTAGTTCCATGGTATGGGGATGTTTTGCAGGTGATAGAGTAGGAGATTTGTTTGAAGTAAAGGGTATCATGAAGAAGGAACAGTACCACTCCATCCTCCAGCACCATGCTGTTCCATCTGGACTCAGACTTGTGGCTCATAAGTTTGTTTTGCAGCAAGACAATGACCCTAAGCACTCTGCCAAGCTCTGTCAGGGTTACCTTGACAAAAAAGAAGAGGAAGGTGTGCTTCAAAAGATGGTTTGGCCCCCTCAGTCTCTAGACCTTTCTCCAATTGAGCTTGTGTGGGATGAATTGGATCAATCGGTCAGAAAAACGCATCCCACAAATCAGCAGTCTCTTTTTTAATAAACTAAGCTTGGAATGCAATCCCTGGAACATACCTTAAAAAACTTGTGGAACGAATGCCTGGTATGCCAAGCTATTCTTAAAGCCAGAGTTGGTTACTTTAAAGAAAGCGAAGTCTAAGCAACAATAACTGTAATACCTAATAATTATAGTCAAAATGTCTTCTGATAAGTTACTCTTTACACAATAGTCATGTTTCTTGTGTTGCAAATAATATATATGAGACTATGATCTTTTTTGTACAAATCTGATCTTGCCTCTGAACCTATGGCCTGTAGTGTATATTCAATTAAATACACTACAAAGACAAAATATTTAATGTTCAAACTCATAAACTTTTTTTTTTTTTTTTTTTTTTTTGCAAATATGGTTAACTCAGAATTTCATGGCTGCAACACATGCCAAAGTAGTTTTTAGAGGGGCATGTTTACCACTGTGTTACATCACCTTTCCTTTTAACAACACTCAATAAACGTTTGGGAACTGAGGAGACTAATTGTTGAAGATTTGAAGGTGGAATTCTTTCCCATTCTTGCTTGATGTACAGCTTAATTTGTTTGGGGTCTTCGTTGTTGTATTATACACTTCATAATGCGCCATACATTTTCAATGGGAGACAGGTCTGAACTGCAGGCAGGCCAGTCGAGTACCTGCACTTTTTTACTACGAAGCCACGCTGTTGTAAAACACATGCAGAATGTGGCTTGGTATTGTCTTGCTGAAATAAGCAGGGGCGTCCATGAAAAAGATGTTACTTGGATGGCAGCATATGTTGCTCCAAAACCTGTATGTACCTTTCAGCATTAATGTTGCCTTCACAGATGTGAAAGTTACCCATGCCTCGGGCACTAATGCACCCCCATATCATCACAGATTCTGGCTTTTGAACTTTGCGTTGATAACAGTCCGGATGGTTCTTTTCCTCTTTGGCCCGGAGGACACGATGTCCACTATTTCCCCAAAAAATTTGAAATGTGGACTCATCAGACCACAGAACACTTTTCCACTTTGCATCAGTCCATCTTAGATGAGCTTTGGCCCAGAGAAGCCAGCGGCGTTTCTGGATCTTGTTAATAAGTGGCTTTTGCTTGACATAGTGGAGTTTTAACTTACACTTACAGATGTAGCGACAAACTGTATTTACTGACAGTGGTTTTCTGAAGTGATCCTGAGCCCATGTGGTGATATCCTTTACACATTGATGTCAGTTTTTGATACAATGCCACCTGAGGGATCGAAGGTCACGGGCATTCAATGTTGGTTTCCGGCCGTGCTGCTTATGTGCAGTGATTTCTCCAGATTCTCTGAACCTTCTGATGATGCTATGGACTGTAGATGTTGAAATCCCTACATTCCTTGCAATTGTACTTTGAGAAAAGTTGTTCTTAAACTGTTTGACTACTTGCTCACGCAGTTGTTCACAAAGTGGTGAACCTCGCCCCATCCTTGCTTGTGAATGACTGAGATTTTTTGCGGAAGCTGCTTTTATACCAAATCATGGCACCCACCTGTTCTCAATTAGCCTGCTCACCTGTGGGAAATAGGTGTTTGATGAGCATTCCTTATATTTCTCAGTATTTTTTGCCACCTTTCCCAACTTCTTTGTCACATGTTGCTGCCATCGATTCTGAAGCTAATGATTATTTGCAAATTTATCAGTTTGAACATTAAATATGTTGTCTTTGGAGTGTGTTCAGTTGAATATGGGTTGAAAAGGATTTGCAAATCATTATATTCCGTTTTTATTTAAGATTTACACATCTCCCAACTTCATTGGAATTGGGTTTTGTACATGCAGCTCTGATGAAAAAGTTCCTGAATCACTCTGTGGATTAATATGTATATGAATGGCTTGAAATAATTCTGTTATTTCCAAGAAACACTCATGTTTTTTTCAGATATTCTTGGGTATTTTTACCTCTATTCGATAAGACAGCTGAAAAGACACTGGAAATGTTTGGGGTAGAAAATGGGACACGACATGCAGCAAAAGGTCAGAGCTGGGAATAGTACCAGCGACCACTACGATGAGGTCTACAGCCTCTATATGTGGGGCACTTAGACCCTTCGGACCCAAGTTCTCATTTTTATTTCTCTGTTAGCATTCATCTTGTCATTTTGTAAAGACAACTAACTATAACCAGAATACTATTGGAAGTATGTAAAAATTATGTTTTATTAGTTGTGTTTCATCACTGTCATCACTCCAAATAAATAGTTATATTCATGTTAACTTGTCCGTATTATTTACATAATAGTGATGCAATGATGCAAAAACTGACATTACATTTGCTGTAGAGGGGTGTGGCATTGTGGGAAGATAGGGGAATAGAGGGTGACAGAGAATTCAACCACCCTGCAAGCTGAAAAGCTAAACACAAGCCAGTAGGGCTGCATGATTTTGACCAAGAATAAAATCCCAATTTTCTTCTCTAAAAACTCGATTTTCAATTTTTTATTCAGTAACAACTTTAACAAATTTCACTTTAATGGTAAGTTTTTCTGTCATCTCAAAATGAAACCACTGAAAACGATGCAGTGCATAGGCCAAGCCAGTAAGTGGCGGTGTAAAGCTGCTCAGACAATGCACAAAAGACAGAAGAGTACAGAGTATGCGTATTAAAGTTGTTTTGGCTGGACACATGCAGGCACCATAAAAGAGTTATGCTGTGTGTGACATAATGGTTTCAAGAGAGATGCAAATAGGCATCCACACAGAGATGAAATGGTAGTTGTTTAAGGATTTATGCACTCTCTGGCCCATTTTCAAAAAGTACCGTTTACAGTCACCCAAAATGCTGTTTCCGTGTTAATGCTGATATGACAAAAACATTTGTGTTTTCTCCTGAATTCGTTACCTTGTGGACGGGTTGATACCATCTTCAGACAGACCTTGCAGCGGGGAGTGGTTTGCTCTTCATCCCAAACTGTGAAGTCGTACCAATTCCACACGACGGACTTGCTCTTGTCCTATTTAGCCACAAAATTGTCACCTTTTGCAAACGCCATGTTTGTTTACACTGGTGTGTGTTGGAACTGGGGAGCACTCTCACAGGAAGGGGGAGCCTACGGTGGCCTGCAGGCATGAGACATGATAAAGAGGAAAATCGATTTGACGACATTCATTTTCTTAACATCGTAATAATCAAATAATACGATTTAAAATCGATTAATCGTGCAACCCTACAAGCCGGCCTTGAGGTCAGAGAACAATTGTGTTAAAAGAAAAATTTTAGTTTGGTTGACTAGATTTTAACTCTTCATCTGAGTAAAGCCCTTTAATATTTAGCCATAACCACCATGTGGGTACATGTCAAAGGAATTGTGATGAAGGTTGCTCCAGGGAAAGATGTTCTCAGAGCAGGTATTGAATGAGTGGCTGAACAAACCCCGTAACTGCAGGAATCAGAGCGTTAGGAAAGTGCTGACTCCCTACAGGATGAGCTTATGCTCATTAAATCTCAAGTGTTTGCAAATAGAGTAAACATAAAATATTGTATCCTACTATAACTGTTATGCCAAAGTGGTACTTAACTTTTCAACTACCGCTGCCAAAGTTGGCAAAGTAAATCTGGTTAGTTTCATCTATTTATTTTAACACCTCATTGGACTTGTGTCACTTTTAAAACACAACACAGCCACTTATACTTTGAGATTGTCTTTCCTGTCTTACTTTCTAATTCACAGACGTGAGTCTTCTGTCCAAATGCATCACATTACTCCTGTATTTCAAGTGAAGTCTCCCTCCTAAACAAACTCAATACTGTGCACTGCTGTAAGTGGCCGTTAAAATAAATATTTTGCTAACAGAACTGAAAGTGTTTTAGCCTCCCATACACAAAATGTACAGTTTTGTTCAACATAATACCTCATTGTCAAAGTTATTACTTTTTTTTTGATCCAGAGACAAAAACATCTTCCCCCAGCTTCTCTGCTTGTCTGAAAGGATTTTTGCTTTCTTCTCCCCTATTTGATTGAATTTTGGAGTAGACTCTTGGAGTTTGTTTCCATTATTTTAACAGTGTCTTATACATATGGGCTCTATTTTCGTGCCCGTCGGCGGTGCGGCGGATGGTGGCGCACCCCGTGCAGTGGTATTTTTGTCTGGCAGAGCCTGTGCACAGCCAGTATGGTATTTTTGTAGACTGAGGCGCATGGAGGTCCACCAAGCTGGGCGTGGTGGCACGGTCGGGAGAGGTGTGGACAGAATTAGCTGGCACTGTAACGTTTTCGTGCTCGCCGGCACCGTGGAAAGTGCTCTAAAAGCTCACCTATTCAAACCTGGTCAGCTTTCAGCACAGGCGGAGTGCAGCTGGTCTAGTGGTACTTTGGTTGACCTGCAGTGTAGTGCACACACGTGACTGATGCCTCACCGGCAGGTTTCCACAGTGTCAGGCACATTTCAGTGCACTAAATAATCAACAACAACCAATATTCAGTGCAACTATCTGAGTCAGCACATACATTTAGATCTATATCGATTTATATATATATATGGAAACTGTAATTCAAAATTATATGTTTATCTGATGTTCTCACACCCTTAAAATTCTGTAAATATTCAATTCGGAGTCAGGCCCACATACTAATATTATAATATTCAGTTGCGTTAGCCAAGTTCATTTAATATGCCAACATCAATGAAAAAAAGAGTCAGGCCAGGGAGCGTGATGCGTCCTTTACGCACAGGTGGTTCCAATTGTAATGCCATTATTGGAATTTATGTTGTGATCTGTGCGCACAAACCACCTTTGGGGTTTATATATATGCAACTTAATGTGATTGTCTTTATTTGTGAAAAGGTTGTTTGTCTTACCAGTGAGTCCAACATTACACACACCAAATCCATCTGTGCTTATATGAGAGAGTGTGGAGGATGCCCTCTGCAGCGCTTACAGCGACACTTGTTGAGGGGCTGCCTTCTGTCGCCATCGTGTGGCATTGCTGTCCTCAGTCATCTCTTGATCTCTTTGACTACTTCACAAAAATTGTAATACGCCTCGCCGGTGGCTGATTTAAAGGTGAGGAGAGGAGCTGATGTTATTGGTGAAAACAGGACTCGGCTGTGTTAAAACCACTCCACGCCCTCTCTCCTCCCTCTCTACTACTGAAGCCGCTGGGAGGAGCAGAGTTAGGGAGGGGGATACTAACACCGGGCTGCACTGCTCAACAAAATACCAAAGTGTACTACACCTTGTTGGCGCGGCGGACCTGACTTACGCTGTGCCTGCACCACACCACCAGTGAGGCACGTAAATAGAGCCCTAACTGTTAAAACTGCGGTTGGAATTGGAGGTGAAATGTAATTGTCTGCTGACAAGTGACTGAAAATATAAATAAGAGTTCAGAGCCTTGAATCATTTGGCTCTCAGTAGTGACAGACTTTTGAACAACCACTAGTAAGGAACAATTATTTGTCAGAGGTCTCAATAGAGCAAAGACATCACCCTAACCCTACAAAGTACAGTGTCTCAGGGTTAACCCAGGTACAGGACTCTTGACTCCTTTTTTTTCTTACTGTCTTCAGTTCTCAGATTTTGTAAGAGGTGGCTTACCTCCAGTTTTATTTTGTTTTCAATTGGCAGGTATGTTTCATTAAATCAAATGTATACTTGGTCATTATGTTCAAGCATTATGGGAATACGCAGATATCTTCAATACTAGGGCATTGTAGAGAATAAGAAAGCAGCATTTTTGCAAATTGTGCAAAGGTAACATTAAATGGTGGCATTGGGAAAAAAAAAAAAATCATGTTTTATGACTGAACAAAAATTCCTTTATCAGGTTCAATTTGTTGCCAACATCATCTTTAATACATGTACATTCGTCATGATGTTGCATCATCTTCTTTTAATGAAAGTGTGAACATTGCATCAATAAACTGTGTGCACAGATACAGTTTTGGTAAGTGACTTTGAGCATATGTGGTAAGTCCATGACAGAGTCATGTCTGTTTTTAATACAGTGCCACCTGAGGGCCCAAAGATCACAGCTATCCAGTACTGGTGGTTGGCTTTGTCCATTTTGCCAGATTACCTGATCCTGTTAATAATATTTTGTACTGAGGATAATGAAAACCTGAGGATCATGAAGAGCAGTGAGCCTCATCCAATGTGTACCTCTGACAGATTCAGCCTCTCTGGAATGCTCTTTTTGTACCAAGTCATCACATTATTATAAGTACCTGAATCCACTCACATCTCCATGCCCATAGCTGTCACATAAAAGCTGAAATACTCTGTATCTGATAAATGAACTGGACATAAACTCAAGTTACCGGAACAACTGGCATGTGGTTGAACTGCTCATGCCAAATGAGATTCAGAATAATAAAACTAATGTCTGTATTATTATGGGGTCTAATATAGAACAGGACTAACTTTTTTGGCTGTGAATTTTCAACACTTAAGCTATATTTAATTATTGATCCTCTGAGATATACATCAATACAGCTGTCTGGCCAACTCTCAGACAGTGTTTGATCAATATTTGCTGAATGTCAACAAACTTTCTGTTGACTTGTTATAGATGTCCTGGATGTGCAAGTTCATGTTTGCGTTATAAGGTAACGTAAAAACCAGGGGTAGATATGTGTAAACATGCACTTAAGTATTCCTAAAAATGAGGCAATTCCTGTGAAACAAGGTAACATCAGTATCACAGTATTTTTCATTCTGAGCTTTGTTTGTCCTAACCTTTTAAATACAGGGCAATTTAATGTGTGAAATAGAAAAAAGATATCAAATGTGTATCCTGTAATAACTTTACCTTAATGTTAGGCAAGGCAGCTTATTAAGCAGTAGGCTCTAGTCTATCGCAGTGAATGGACCTTATATCTCTCTTTCTCAAGTCTTCTAATTATTTAAAGCACTTTTACACTCCATGTCACATTCACCCATTCACACACACTGATGGCAGAGGCTGCTCATCAGCTTAAAAACTAATTCCCATTCAAACACCACTGGGCAAAGCCAGCAGGTGGGGTCACGTGTCCTGGCCAAGGACACTTCAGCATGTGGACAGCAGGACCTGGGATCAAACCCCAGACCTTCCAAATAGGCTGTATTGGGACAAAGTTCCACTACGCTGGTGCTACTTGTTCAATGCATTTTTGCATAGACAATACCCTCTGGACTTTGGGTTAAAATATCTACTCAGACTATCTGTCTGACTTTTGTCACCAGCCAGAAATGTACATATATGTGAGTAACACAAAAAACTATTACATGGTGCTGCTGTTTTTGCTTGTAGAAACTGCTATGTTGATTATGGCAAGACAAAATCTTTCTCAAATGTCATAAATACATCTACCTAACATCTGAAACAGTTATTGGTGCCCTAGTATATGCATAAGTAAATTCAGATTATGCAATGTAGCAAATTTCTTGAAGAAAACGTCTCAACTCAAGTGATTTGCACCCCGCACAATGAAATATATACAGTAAATTTATAGATAGTCTTGCAGCACCATATAATAGTTTTTTGTGTTACTCACATATATGTACATTTCTGGCTGGTGACAAAAGTCAGACAGATAGTCTGAGTAGATATTTTAACCCAAAGTCCAGAAGGGTATTGTCTATGCAAAAATGCATTGAACAAGTAGCACCAGCGTAGTTGAACTAATTTCACTTTCTAGGCACTTTTTCCTTTGTCCCAATACAGCCTATGACCTCGAGCGAAGTTTCTTTCGCAGAGTTTCAGATGCCGTGGACGTGGATTCATCGGTGATGCTGGCTGAAGGGTTTGACTGACCTGTGGCTGCATCACATTCTTGTTTCTTTTCGGCCAAACTCTAACGCCTTTCGCAAATAAATCGCTGGTAGCATGTCATGTGAAACCCAGCGTCATCAGGAACATTGTCAAAGCTGAAACCAACACAATGTTTATAAGTTTCTGCAAGGTCCTTTGTCTCACCTTGTAGAGAAAGCCACTTTCTAATACAAGTTCTGTAAGTTTCCCAACGTGTCCTTGTAAAGTCGAGAACGTCTTCACTCTGGACAGACAACAGATGCATATAGCATCGTTTTGTTCCTTTTTTATGCACTTTTGAAGGCTGTTTTCTTTTTTTCCTTTTCTTTTCTTCCTCTTTGCTTGTCTCGCTGCTAGATGCGCTCATCGCCATGTTTGTGTTGTTTTGATACTATGGCAATGAGACTCGGCTCCTATTGGTCCACATGACAAAAATCGCTTCATCCCTTTGCATATTCGATTGCGCGTGTGCAAGTATCACTACACTGCAGAAAGGAAATAGTTCGACACCGAAACACTGATTACTAAAAATCGGCTGGATGACAGGAGTAGATATTTTTTTTAGTACTTACTATCAATAAAGCTATTTTATGAATCACAGTTTATGTTGCACCACTAAAGTGGAACGAACCAACACGATCTCACTTAGCCAATACAGCCTAAAATAGGAGCTGACCCACTTTATCACAGAGTCACAGTTACTCCTTACCACATGAGAGGGAGTGCTGTTGTTCTGGATATCAGCCACAACAGTTCTGTCAACAACACCAAGGGCTCACACACACACACACACACACACACACACACACACACACACACACACACACACACACACATGGCTGAGTGCAAGTATTTACTCAAATAGTTATACAATTCAACAACTCAACTGTTGTTTAGCCACCTGCGCTCTTGCAGAAGAGTGTTTTCATACAAGCTGTGAAATTGGAATAGCTGTGTGGTCTTGTGGTGTCAAGTTGTCAAGGACAAGACTGACAGTATGTGCTCTCATGCTACCAGGGTACCCTCTGGATACACTGTTGAGAGGGAAGTGATGCACGTTGTGGAAAGTCCAGTAATGTTGATCTCTCTATGAGCTGTGCAGCCAAGCCACTCATTCACTCAGGTCTCTTCGTTGGATCTTATCGTTTTACAATTGTGTTTATGATATTTTAGAGTACCACCTAGCAGCTGTGTGACCTCATGAAACTGACTCCTGGAGAGTTTTAGATCCTGCTGCATCGATTACATAATAAAGGTGAGTGTTTTGATCTTTCTTTTCACCCACTGCCCTCATTCACTTCTCTTCATTCATGAGTTACATAGGATCCAGCATACAAACTACAAACTGGCAGGCTGGCTGTGAATCCGTGGCACTTTTCCAGCTGACTTACACAAGTGTTTTCCTCGTGTTAACGTAACAAGCTTCATAATTTATGAGGAAGAGTTTAGGTCAAAACACGCAAAAGGGGAATTAGGCTCAGACGAGAATCTAAACTCTAGTCCGGCCCATAACTAGCTGTCATCAAACACAGCATGAATAAAAGCATGATGTCAAAACTGTCCGTACAAACAAGTTCCAAGTTTGACTTATAGAGGTAACAGGACTTGTTCAGTGGTTCATTTCTTAGAGCAGGCCTTATTAATAATCTCATAGAAACTCCACCTGGAAGAATTTCTGTAACTTTGAAATAAGTAGAGTCATACATAAACTTTACATAAGCTCATGAGAGAGGATGTAGAAGTTAAAATAGTGTATGCCTAATCATTTGTAAAAAGAAGGAGCAAAGCAGTCATACACATGCTTGATGGTACTTCAACAATTTTAGTTTTAATAAAACTAGAACAGAAAGTAAACCATATTCTGGGTAACTAGCTGTCCCTGCTGTGCAGCTCATCAGCAATATAACCTCAGATGAACTCATCTGAGCTCTCCAAACAGTCTTTTCAGGATTATGACCTTTATCCCTGTACAGTCCCTTCTCAACATCTGTATTTGACATCCATCGGGCTTATCTGTCTGTCAGTGCACTCTGCAGCAGTGGATAACTATGGCTCTCAACATTCCAGGTGTGGTTGTAGTGGTGCTGTTCTATATCCTGATCCTGGGGACAGGGATGTGGGCTGCCCAAAAGTCCAGGAGGGCTGAGAGGACTTGCCGAGGGGATAGGACAGAGGTGGTGCTGCTGGGAGACAGAAATATAAACTTGGTAGTTGGAATTTTTACTATGACTGGTAAGAGTCAGAACCTTTGCAGGTCTTCATTGATTGTATGTGTTTTTACTGGCAGAACATGAATACGTTTCTAAGATGACATGAGTTTAGTAGTAATAGTGTGCAGCAGAGCTGCTCCAGATGCTTGCCGAATAAAAATGCTAAATATCTGTGCTTCAAGTCTCTGCGTACATGAGTAATTAAAAAAGCTGCAAAGGAAAGAGTGTAAGGGGGAAAGTTACAGTATATCTTGGTTTATGTGCATATGTCTGTGTCATTATCTCATAGCTACGTGGGTTGGAGGCGGTTTTATCTTGGGTACAGCTGAGGCAGTCTATTCTCCTAAACTGGGCCTGATATGGGCCCTCATGCCTGTGCAATACTCGGTGTCCTTCGTAATAGGTAAGTCATGAAAGCAGTGAGCTGCGCTGACTGTCTGATGCTCATTTCAGGACTTAAGTTCTATTTTTGTGAGGCTCATCTGATCTACACTTACAGTAAAGAGAGAAAATATACAGGGATAAGAATTTAGTCCAGGAAGATCAAAAACAATCAATATTTCAAACCAGTAAAACTGCAACATTGCAAAACGATAAATGAAGTCATATGTTTAATAATCTATTTACTGCACAAGGTGGACTTTTCTTTGCCAAGCCGATGAGAGAAAAGAAATATATCACCATGATGGACCCGTTCCAGATCAAGTACGGAAAAGTACTGAGTGGTGCTCTGGTGCTGCCCTCCTTGCTGGTGGATGTGCTGTGGGTGTCCTGTACTCTGCTGGGCTTAGGTAAACAAACAAGACCAGAGTTGAAACACTCTCAACTAGTGGACACAATGAAAGAGTTTTAAACTCCCTCTCTCTCTCTCTCTCTCTCTCTCTCTCTCTGCGTGGTGGTGGGGGGGTCCACCAGGAGCGACTATGAGTGTGATACTGGACTTACCCTACGGCTATTCTGTCTGGATCTCATCAGCTGTGGCCATCATCTACACTCTTTTAGGAGGCCTGTATTCAGTGGCTTACACAGATGTCATCCAGCTCTCTCTGGCTTTCCTCAGTTTGGTGAGTTACACTGCCTCCTACTGCACAACACTCATTCAGAAGTTTGACACTAGGCTACTCCTTCATACTGTACATCTGGAGCACAAATCAAGCTTCACTAGCCGTCATACATACAACAACGTTTACTCTTGGGTCCCCATGTGTGAAGCCTGCTGGTTTGTTCCCAAACTTCAGTTCGGTATCAACAATGTTCTTTGAAGAGATATTTCACTGTTTTCAAAGTGGGTTGTATGAGTTACATATCACCATCAAGTATCATCTGGCTTCGCTTGATAGCAGATGCTTTGCTCCTTTCTCTCAGCTTTGCTTTCCTTACTTTCTTTTTTTTTTTTCACTGCTATTTCTTTCCTTTTATGGACTTTTAGTCCTGGATATATATATTTTCTGCAGTCTAAAGATTAAATTGTCCAAAGCCATGTTTCAAAGGTTTTTACGGCTTTTTTCAAGACTTTGTGAACGTGGCCCACCATCAGCTCAAGTCTGCACTACAGCAAGTTGATATAGCGGGAGCTAACTAGCAACAGGATGCTACCCTTCACCCCTGACAATTTCATGGACGATTTTGTGGACAAATGCCACAAATTTGTGCAGGAGATCGCTTTGTTGGAAACCAAAATCCACAGATTAGAAGTTAATGTGGAGGTTAACGGACTGTGTGGAAATGAAACCACTCTTCCTTTCAGTGGACAAGAGAATGCTAACACACAGCTACTTAACACTTATAAGAAACAGGAGAGCTGTGACCTCCACAATATATCTTCACACAGAAGTCCTCCCTGGAATACTCTTGGGGCAAAGATCTCTGCTCCTTGTAACATGAGTGGAAGAATAACAGGAAGAACCGTCCACCCAGAGATTTCTGATGCTATCAGCTGGCCAGCATTACCATCCTCCTCCTCAAACAGTCAGCCCACAAATGTACAAATACTGCTCCTACCATATTAAATCTAACAGTATTCAATGTCAGGTCATTATCAGGCAAATCATTTTTAATTAACAAATACGTTGTTCAGAACCACCTTGACTTTATGTTCTTGACTGAAACTTGGTTAGGCCAAGATAACAGTGCAACAGTTCTCATTGAATCAATGCCTCCTAACGTCAGCCTTATGAGTGAAGCTAGTGTCGGTAAGAAAGGAGGTGGAACCACCATTTTGTCTAATAAAAATTTTCAACACAGGAAAATGTTGTATGGAAACTTCAACTCCTTTGAATATGTTGCTGTTCAGTTGAGAGCCTCCTGCCATGCAGTATTACTCCCTATCTACAGGCCCCCCAAACATAATGCACTGTTTTTTGATGAGTTTTCCAAACTACTGTCTATTATCTGGATTGAGTTTAACTGTGTGCTTCTAGCGGGTGATTTTAACATTCATGTTGATAATGTGACAGATGGGTGTGTGAAGGAACCCTCAATTACTCTGGATATCTTTGGACTCTCTCAGCATGTAAGGGATCCAACATATAACAAGGGGCACATTTTAGATCTCATTATCTCCAAGGGTCTAAACATTTCTGGTGTTGTGGTGAGTGATAATGCTCTTTCTGATCATTATCATTGTTCAGTTTAAAATTGCTGTCCCTGCTAAGTTTAGCAAAGGTGAAGAGGAGGTGATGAGAAAGCGGTCTATTAACAACAGCACTGGCACACTATTCACTAAGGCTGTTACATCATCACCAACTCTGTTCTCAGACTCTGTCAATGACCTTGTTAATAACTTCAGCTTCAATGTTATGACTGTCATGGATGCCATTGCTCCAATTAAGACCAAAGTTATCTCTCGAAGGAAAAAGTCACCATGGAGGAACACCACTCTGGTGAAACCTCAAAAAAGAGAGTGTAGGCAGGCTGAACGCAGAAGGCGTAAAACCAAACTCCAGGTACATTGTGAAATTTATAAAGAGAGTCTTCACATCTATAGCCAAGAATTGAAAAAGACAAGTCAGCCTTTTTTTCTGAGATTATCAAAAAATAATACCAACAGTGCCTGCACTTTACTCACTGTTGTGGAAAGACTGACAAACCCTCTAATATCTGCTCCTCCTGAACTGCTGTCAAACAAGTCATGCAATGACTTAGCAGCCTTTTTTATAGATACAATTCAGAGTCAAAATTCAAACAGTAAGCAGCTCATTTTCAGGCAACTTGGTTATGTCACCAGTTCCTCCTCAATCTTCTAAATATCTAGATAAGTTTCAACTCATTGACCATGCGTCTCTGACTGAATCGGTTAAGAATTTAAAACCCACAACCTGCTGCCTTGATATGCTGCCTACAAATCTAAGTTTTTAATTGTGTTGCACCACAAATTATAAAAATAGTAAATTTCCCAAGGCCTTGAAAACTGCAGTAATCAAACCTCTTAAAAAAAGCCTAATCTGGATGCTTCAGTACTAAGTAACTACAAACCGATATCAAACCTTGCGTTTCTGTCAAAGATCATTGAGAAAGTTGTTTATCAACAAATTCACTCTTTTTTGACCCAAAACAATCTCTGTAATGCTTTCCAGTCTGGTTTTCGACCAAACCACAGCAATGAAACTGGACTTATTAAGGTATAAAATGACATACGTCTTAATACTGATGCATCAAAAACATCAATAGTGTTACTTCTGGATCTCTGTGCTGCATTCGACACTGTTGACCACAACATATCGCTCTGTAGACTGAAGAAGTGGGTCGGACTTTCTGGTACAGTGCTAAATTGGCTCAAATCTTATTTAGAAAATTTCGCCTTTTTGTCTCACTAGGTAGTTGTGAATCTGAGCGAACAAAGCTGACATGTGGGGTCCCCCAGGGCTCCATCCTCGGGCCACTTTTGTTCAATATTTTTGTGCTCCGACTGGAGCAGATCATGGAGTATCATAACATCTCGTACCACTTATGTGCCGATAACACACAGCTCTATACCACAGTGTCCTATATGACTACAGTCCATTGCAGTCGCTGATCAAATGCATCCAACAAGTCAATCAGTGGATAGGCCAGAACTTTCTCAAACTCAACTGTTTTTAGTTGTGCTTGTGGAAAGTCTATCACAGGGATCTGGGGTTAAAAAATGGCCCAAAGGAGGTCTGATTTATGGCCAACAGAGAGGCCATGAATAGCCTTAAAGGTACAGTATTTAGAATCATAAGGCAGAGCTAACTTGGTAGAAATACAATAAAACATCAAGTATGTAAAGATTTGTGCATAGAGATTTGTGCATTTGTGGGCTGATTTAAATATTAAACAAATATGACCAGGTGAAGGCATGTTGTTTGGTGTCTTAATTTAATACAGCACATCAGAGAAAGTACCTGAGGGCCAAAATCATTAACACAATGAAGTGCAGTTGTTGGAAGTCTCTGTCACCTATAACCTATGCATGGTGTTGGGCGAACCATGTCTTTCAAAGTCTCATCTTTAGTTCCTACTGAAAGCTTTTTGCATCTCTATTTCTCTTACACTTTAATCTCCTGTCTGTCTCCTCACATTCGAAGGCAAAAAGCAGGAAACATAAACAGTCAGGAGAAAAAACAGAAAAAAAACAGAACTGCTTCAAAGCCACCAGTGGTTAACAACATCTCTTGTTGTACAGGTTAGCACAGCAGATTACCTGATTGGTTTAATGTAGAAATACAATAGAATAGAATAGAGAAGAATAGAATACTCCTTTTATTGATCCCCCATGGGAGAATTTTTTTTTGCCACAGCAGCATCACAAACAAAGATAGTGCAAAAATGCAGTTATAAAAATAAAGATCCTAATATTAAGAACTTAAATGTAATAATTAAGAAAAAATTTAGAAAAAGGGAGAAGAAAAGAAAAATAAAACTATATACAATATACACAATTTAAGTACCTGAAAAAAAGTAGTGGTGTGAGTCCAGTTTTATTACAGTTCGTTGTAAAGTCTTATTGCAGAAGGGAGGAATGACCTGCGGTAGCGCTCCGTCTTGGAAGGTGGAAGTCTCAGTCTGCTGCTGAAGGAGCTGCTTAAGGTCCCCACAGTCTGGTTAAGTGGGTGAGAGAGATTGTCCATGATGGATATAAGCTTTGCTAACATCCTCCTCTCACCCACCTCCTCCAGGGAGTCCAAAGAACAGTCCAGGACAGAACTGGCCCTCCTGACCAGTCTGTTCAGTCTCTTCCTGTCCCTCTCGGTGCTCCCTGCCCCCCAGCAGACCACTGCATAGAAAAGTGCAGATGCTACCACAGAGTCATAGAAAGTCCTGAGCAGAGTCCTGCACACTCCAGTCTCCTCAGCAGGTGGAGACAACTTTGGCCCTTCTTGTACAGGACGTCTGTGTTGGTTGAGAGTTGGTTCTTGATCATCAAACTATGAGCGTGGTCTAGACCTGCTCTTGCTCTTTAAAAAGCGTCTTGAGATGACAACTGTTGTGAATTGGCGCTATATAAATAAAATTTGATTGATTGATTGATTGAAGTATGATTGAAGTAGCTCTGAAAGACATTTGGTCTGATGGTCTAAATATGTCTTTGTAGTGGTTGTGTATCCCTTTCCTGCTGCTCAACCCCACATCCACAAACATCGCCCTGACTGCATTTAACAACACCTACCAGGAACCCTGGATTGGAAAGCTGGACCAAAATAATGTCTGGAAGTGGATCGACGACTTCTTGATGCTTGTAAGACAAAAAAATTAATCAGTATGACATTTATTTGGTTCAATCCCTGACAGTTATAGACAAAAGTAACCCTGTACTCCAGCTGAATAAAACAATCAAGTCAGACTAGATATTGCATCCTTGCATTCAAAGTAATTTAGAGAAGATATGACATTTATGTGACCTCACTCTGTTGTGATCAACATTACAGTCAGAAAGAGTGGGCTGCTCAAAAATTTTAAAATGACTGCACAGACATATCAGAACAAAGCTATATTGTTATATTCCCAAATGGCAATGATAACTTTTAGCTATTGACTGATATTAAAAGCTTTTTCGTTCATACACGACACAAAAAATTATGCTTCTTTAACAGAGTCCTGCCTACCCCACCTTTAATTCAATGTTACATACCAATTAGTCTGATTAGTTCATTAGTCATAAGTACAAGCAGCTATTCCATTACTCATCCCTGGCTGATTGATAGCACATAGTAGCAAACTATCTGTACAAATGGTATATCAGTTTGAAACTGCAGGTTCATCTGTAGGTTTCCAAATATTACTGTTTGTATTGAATAAAAACAGCATCATTTGTTGTTTTTGGCTTCCTTTATCAGTAAAAACAAATGCATGCATCCAAAACAATATCTGAACCTTGCAAATTTTAGATGTTTTACTGTGCATTGAAAAGGGCTTCACACAAGAAGGTCAGTGCTCCAAATGTTGTTGAGTCTGAATTGAGAGAAAGCTAAAACACTAGAGTGGCACTGTGTGACCAAATAGTAAATCTTGAATAGGTGCTGGTTAAGTGAGAATAATTCAGAAAAAAATGGATCAATATTCACTCTCCTTTTCCCCCCTGCTCTGTTCTGTCTTTTCCAGGGTCTTGGTAGTGTCTCTTTTCAGAGCTTCCACCAGAGGACGCTGTCTGCCTGCTCATCGCTCACAGCTCAGTTAACATGCTATGCAGCTGCTGTTGTTATTGCCATACTGGGGATCCCGCCTGTTTTGATCGGCGCTATTGCTGCCTCTACAGGTGAGAACATCATGAAACCTTTAAACAGGAATTCTTGGTATTGTTGGACCAAACTGCAGTGTAAATAACACAAACAATACTTCTTTATAAATGGCCTCCATAAATCCATGGCTTCTACAGATAACACAGAGTTACTCTGACTCATTGAGTACAGATAACAAAGAGTGTATAGGTGGATGCATATTTTTCTGCTTGGGGGGTTTCAACAGAGATCTGTCAGTGCTTGGATCTCAGGTATAACAGGCTTATCCAGGTAAGAGTCAATGTAAAAAAGGAAAACACTCTAGATACCAGACATTTCTGTGAGCTTACTTACTCTAAGAAGCCCATTTCTTATTTCCTGAAAGCCACAGAGAGATTGCTCAGTGATAAACACAGTTGCAGTTGCATATGCCCCTACTGTAACACTCTTGTTTCTTTTATCCAGGAAACACTAAGCCATTTTTAGCTTTTAAAGTCTCAGGCAAAAATTACTTTTCATTATAAGCTGATTTAGCTGACATGTATGAGAACTGATACCACATCTTTGTTTTTTCGAGTATAAGTTTGACTTAATTTTTTAAACATTGAGAAATTAATTTATTTAATACTAATGTGCCAGTATATTTCCATTTGAGAGGATAGGCAGCAGACAGGATGACTTAAAACTCAATGTAACTAAAGATAGGATTATTCACATCAAGATAAGATTAAACCAGCATGTGGACTCATCTCTGGCTGCTGGTGTTCTCTGCTGTTTGTTATTTATGGAATTTGTTGTTGTTACCACAGTGTAATTTCCAAAGCCATGGAGTGATTTCCAAACCCAGTTTCAGGAGGGCAGGGTTGGTTATTCTGCTATGTGTTTCACAATTTGTTTTCACAATTCATGAGATTTACAACGGGTTTTATTACAGTATCAAAGTCAGCTTAATTGGCCAAGTATGTTACGTATACCATCAGTTAAATTCTGGTAAACTTATTCTCTCTCTATGTATGAGCAGTAAACAATAAATACCGAACTTACATGTGTAAGACTGTATTTAACAGTAGACTAGTACATTCAAAGCTGTGTAAGACAGTTGTGACTATAGTCATGATGAATCAGCCTAATAAAATATGTATAAGAGATGAGTTTATTTAGATAGCCCTCAAAATTATACATTAAGCATAGTGCATCTATAATATTCTGATTATGTTAATGCCTTTAAACAATGAAAGATAATGCCTTGTTGTTTTCTTGTGATAACATCAAGTCCCTCTGGTGGTCATGTGTAAAGGTATATTTGGCTGTTTCCAACATGTTTTCTAAGCTTTTGTTCATTTAAAAAACACATCACAGGTTCAGCCCCTGTGGTTATCCGCAGCGTCTCAGTTTCTGAACATATTATCCATGCAGTGATCAGAGTTGGTTGGGTTGTGATAATAAAACACCAAAACAAACAGGGTGAGTGCTCAAGAAGAATTCACATGGCCAGTGTTTAAGATCAAAAACTATTGTTTCCTTTGGTGCTACGAACTGACAGTTGTGTTGGTATTTGCAACCAGAGACAGAGCAGCTGACATGTTTGGTAACTGTTTGGCCCTAACCTTTGAAATCTTGACTGTGCAACACCAAAGCAAAACCAGAATAACCTTAATAACTTCAACCACTATTAGAGGTTGGTGTCAGATGACAGTGAGTGATACATTTACTGTTGACAGAAGCAGGATTAGACTTTTGCCAAAAACAGGACTTTCACACGTACAGGACAGAATCTGCAAAGATCTATCACAGAATTTTGGCCAGTATTCAGTGTGAGTGCTACACAGCTGTTGTGTCTCTTGTCTAGACTGGAATCAAACGCTGTATGGTTCTCCATCTCCGTTTGCACGTGGTGAGGACAGCTTGGTCCTGCCCCTGACTCTGCAGTACCTTACTCCATCTTACATCTCCATCATTGGGATCGGAGCTGTAGCTGCTGCTGTCATGTCATCCACAGACTCGGGCCTGTTGTCTGCCACTTCTGTGTTCTCTTCAAATATCTACAAAAACATCCTGCGTAAACAGGTAAAGAGGAAAACAGCTCAGAAGGGCAGCAGCTCAGTCAAACGGGTGATAAATTTAAGGATATCCTGTTTTCTCACTGAAGTTGTTCAAAAACGAACATGCAGCTGTCATTAATTTTATCTGGCACGCTGAACAATTTATAGAACACATTGTGTAAAAAGCAAGTGAACTCCCACCCATGTTGGTAGTAGAAAGGTTGAAATCTGCCTCTGTGTAGCTCTACCTCTTAAGTAACCAACTGGGGTCGGACATGCCCTGATTAACTCGACACCCGTTAGACTGCTCACTTTAAATGGTTTAACATCTTTAAAGCTCAGGAAAATAAAAAGTCCTTTCTTATGTGTTTAGGCATCAGACTTTGAAATGCAGTGGGTGATCCGGGTCACAGTGGTGATAGTGGGTCTGATTGGGACATCCATCACCTTCTACACCAACAGCACCCTGCTCCTCTGGATCCTCGGAGCAGATGTCTCCTACACCCTGTTGTTTCCTCACCTAATCTCCATTCTCTTCTTCAATGTAACGAACGGCTATGGTGCGATGACAGGTTACCTCGTAGGACTGACTGTCAGGATCTTGTTGGGGGAGAACACGGTTGGACTTCCTGTTGTTCTCTGTCTTCCTGGGTGCACACTGCAAGATGGCGTCTACATCCAAAAGGCCCCTGTCAGGACAATCACCATGCTTTGCACTACTGTAACCATCTTGTCTTTTTCCTGGCTGGCTGCATCCATGTTCAACCACAGCCTAGTGCCTGAGAGGTGGGATGTTTTTAAAGTAAAAAGTGGTGTCATTGTTTCAGCAGCAGACAGTGTCACACAGAATCATAAAGAAGAAACTGAAAGTGAAGCTGAGTGTGACGAGAATGGACTCGTGTTACGGCCAATGACAGAGTCATGACTGTTTCTCCTTCCTTTTGAGAAGTATCTTGTCTAAATTCTAACAAGATCTGTGTGTTTTCAGATGAATATTTAGTTTAAATTTTTCTTTGGAGGGGGAAGTGTTTTTTTTTTTCTTTCTTTCTTGAAGTGGGGTTGTAAAAGGCACTGTTTGTCAATAGTACGTGTAGTAAGTGTGGTCAGCTGGGCCTCTTTGTTGAGAAACCAGAACAAGAACTAGAATGGAAGCTGGGCCTCTTGCTTTCAAAGTGGCACTGATGGGGATGTTGCAAGGGGCCCCCCAAAAGTTATAATACAAATAGAATGGGTAAAACTTTTTATAAAACACTGCAAATCAAAATTTCATGCTTTAAACTCAAGTGACACTAACCGTTACACACAGGCTCAACTGTGCCCCTATCTCAAAAAGTTGTTCAATCATGGCAACAGTCTAAACGTGAAGATTTGTTGTGTTCTGTTATTGGCCTTTTTTATTCACTATAAAAATAGTGTGGTTGTTTGGCTGCTGTATCATTTTAGGTTGCTCTGATGTCAGTGCCTGTCCACCTTCAATAATGGTGGGGATCACCAGTCTTTTGTTCAGTTATTTGGAGGATTTTTATATGAAAAGTTTGGGAACCTTTCAGCCATGCTACCTAGCTGCTCCAAAGTCATCTCGATCAAGTAATTCAGCTAATTTTAACAAAGTCTGAGTTAAACTAGTGGACAGTTGTAAGCCTGCACTCAGGTCCTGCTGGCCCCCAAAGCTGATCACTGTGCAACATGCGGAGGAGCACTTATGAGACACTTCTGCAAATGGCTCAACAACAAATGGGGTTAGTGGCGACAAAGAAAAGCACTGACTTTTTCTCCATTAGCTAAATCACTGTAGAGTTGACCTTGTCTGCAGCATTGATAGCCTAACATCTGTGCTGGCTGTTTTCTCAACTTAGGGGCCAAGCTGACCAGGTCCACTGTGGTTGATACTTCTACAAGGACTTCATACACCCATTCTTTCAAAGAATCAGACTACTTCTCAAAGATGCTCACTGATATTAGATGCTGATGAGGGTTGTTGTTTTTTACTTTGACACTACCCTTTATTGAATAAATGGATCATCATATTGTATTATGGTGATCAACAGATTCCATTTTATTCAGACGCTCACAGTTCTATGGATTTTTCAAGATTTAGGCGAGTTTAGGCCAAACTCCATGAGATGAAGAAGTAGTTTTGAAGTGAAATTTTTAACTGTCTCTAACTCTGGAGATTACAAAATCATCACTTAAAAAGTTTAATGGCCACCAGATGTGAGACCAGAAATATTATAACAACCATGCAAGGCTTTAATTGGGAAACTTGCAAAGACAGAAAGAAACATAGATGTATCGGACGGAAGACTGGGGGGAGGGGTCACTGACTCTGAGCTGAAACCCATCAGGAAAATCATCCAATCTGAAATCACAGGGACAGGAATCTAAGGGTCTAAAATAGAGAGGTCAAGATAAAATAAAATATGACATAAGTTATTCATGCATCAAATAAAAACAGATTTGGTGTAACATTGCAAACATTTCTCAGTAGATTTAGCAATTCTACCCTCCAATAACGAGCTCTTCTATTTTCACTGGTGCACATTCACCTCAGCGGCCCACAAGTTATTGCTGGCACGAGACATCTCCCTGCCACCGTCTTTGCTTTCTGGCAGCCCTCGACTCTTGGCTCGGGTGGCCTCTTCCCCCTCCATACACTCTGATTTCTCAATGGTGTACTCTGGCACAAATAAGTACCACAGAAATTCTGATTCCAGAGTATCACTATTAAAACCATTACCCTGATTTGAGACAGGATGTTTTAATTTGTGAGCACTGAAAAGCAGCTTCTCTATTTGTCCAGCTTTCCATGAAGGCAGGCGTGGAAGAAACAGAAACTTTAATCTGTAGTTCGAACTGCAGCCAGAAAGAGTATGAAGCTTTGGAGGGCTGATTTTGACTTACCTTAGTTTCAGAAATTGTTACGACACAAAGATTATTGAAAGTCATTTTATATGGACAGGGTTTAATTAAAGCTAACTACATTCTCTAAAGAATTTGGTTATTTAACCAACTGAAGGACTCATTGAGGACATGCACTGACTAGAAGCTTTTAGGAAACTCAGACAAGCTTTTGTTTGTAAGATTTATCTGGGGAGTGTTTTAACACTCCTTCACCACAGGTCAGCTCTTAGATCCCCAAACACTGTAACCTGTATCATAACCACTAACCATAGCTCGACTTTACCGTGCATGCAACAGAGGACAGTGGACAAAGTGATACCTCAGCTACCTTTGATGATTTAGTCCTAAACATTTATTGGTGGTGCCTTTTAACTGTGACATATATCACTCACTGTTAGTATTTGCTGTTGAAAACATTAAGCCTCTTCCTTTTATGAGCTGTCAATAGTCTTGACTGACAGCCACTTCCTTTGAGAGGTTATATGCATCAAAAATTCGCACATAAAGTTTGTCATTCTTGTGGTCGATGGACTTGTTCACTTTAGTGGGTCAACAAAGGGGGTCATTGTAAAATTCAGTCTGTTTCATAGCCGGGTAAAAACTCATAGAAGCTGAAATAAAAAAATACATATATCTTATGTAATCGCTGAAGAGCATAAATCATATAGCTCCACTCCTCCTTAAGTTATGTAATAATTTGTTTCTCAATAGATCATGCCAGTGAGCTATATTTGCCCCCACATAAGTGTAACACAAGCCCTGAAGGGCAGATTAATATCAGCAGCCGGCTGTGCTCTACCATTGGCTCTGGAGCTGAAACATGGCCGATCCATGCTGCAAAAACAGAACATGGTAATATTGATTTTGAGTGCACAGTGTTATTCACTTTAGGGACACCACACTTATGGAGCTGTATGAGGTGAGATCCAAGCTGGAGAGAGCCTTTAGACTGATTTAGTGATTTGTTAGGAGCTGACCTTGTGTTAGCAGTAGGCTTTCACCATGTGCCTCTGTCTCAGAGGAATGATGCATGGGACCTAATAGGGCCGCTGAGGTTGGATGTGGGTCAATCTATTTTGGAACAGGAAGACTTGACTAACTTGCGTCATAAATTTAGACAAGATTCCCTGACCTACATGTTTCTTTGTGATGAGACTGGTGTCGCTAAGATCCCAGCAGCCACCCTGTTACCCAAGCCCTCGGTTTAGAGACCAAAATAGTCCTCAAGTGTTTGGTGACTTGCTTTACGCGGGGGGGGGGGGGCATGCTGTATTTTAAGCCAATAAGACAGCTGTTTCACATTTCAGAAAAAGGTTGAAACAGGATCTAATGTTGCCCGGCTCATAAACAACCTTAGACCCGGTTAGTGTTATGTTATAGCCAAAGTCAAGTAGCAGTTTGTGCCATAGCCTTTCACTTAGACCAGTGTACTTTTTTAAAACCTTTGTAAAGTGAACGGATATGTCAGTGAAATATACAATGAGTGTTGTCACAAAGTAATAAAACCTGACAGACAAATAAAAAAAATTTGTCCAGGGTGGTACCAGGTACAGATTTTTTATTTCGACCTATCAAACAGTTCAATAAACACCATCATAGACCTGTTCTGTTTGGTCTAGTTCTGTGCCATCCAGCTCTTTGAGACCTAAAATGTTTCTCCCTCTTTCTCTGCCACTGTAGCTACCAGAAATCTTTGTGTGAATTGATTTGACTGGATTTAAACCTAGAAAATTCCTAATCAGTACTCTGTCTATTGGTCTGCTATTCACAGTAATATGTCTGTGACAGAGATACACCAGATTGTAGGATGCTTTAATGAAAAAGCAAGTATTTAACAGCCCTGCCATAGTAAATCACAAATTTATCATCCTAGCAGGGCCACTGACTGTTAAAGTGTGCTTTTTGTTGTTGTTGTGGTTTTTTTGGCTTCACATCTCTCAGTTGGTAGAAATTGCTCTTGTGAGCATCAACTGTAAAATCTTTGAAAACAAAATACACAATTTGTTGTGTCCTAACCCCAGACAGAAACTGTAGCTGGACAATACATGTGGGCATAAACACACATGCCAGCCCTCTTAAAAATAATTAATTACTAGGGCCCTATAAAAACATAAACACAATCTTACTGATAAATACCTCTGAGTTTTCTTCTGCATCTCCCAAGTCCTGGGGTGGTTAATGCTGGAGTCCAAGTCGTATCCTAGTCCTGGACTCCAGTACTAGAGTGCCACCTTAAGTGTTGCTTTTGGGACCAGGTACTGTATTAATATACATAGATCAATAAATACTTGTACTTGATATGTGTTCATTTATCAGGTCAAGTAGAGCAGGAGATGAAATGAAATGTTGATTTTTTTCTCTAAAAATGATAAAATCTCTGGAGTACTTAAGAAAAAAGAAGAGCAACGGTGAGTTTAAGACAGAGGTTTATGTCATGACTAATAAATAGAAAATAAGCTATAACTCCATATTAAAACAAAGGTTCAAGAGCCACACTAACCTGACAGAGTATTCACTGGGGGAGATTTTGTCACAGACCCAAATACATAACACCATGTGTTTCTTGTGAGCACTCATACTGTAACCTACACTGTAATGTACACTAAAACTTTCTCTGCAAGGAGAAGCACGTCTACAAAACAACCACCCAAGAGACCACCACCAGCAGGCTAATCCTACTGCATGCAAGGATGTGAAACCCACTTGTACTCCCTGCCACTTCTGAGAAAGCAGCATCGGTCACCTGGGGCCTGTTCTACGAAGCAGGATCACTGCTTAGAGAGGTAACTTCGAGGGTAAGTTCGGGGTTTCCTGTTCTACGATGCAGGTTCACTTCTTAGCGAGGCGAGTCTCCATGACAATGTACGCTGAACGGCTAACCTGCTCCGGGGCAGGTTAGGTTCCAGATTGAACTCACAGAGTATAAAAACCCCGCCCACTGATCAATGAGCTCTCTCGAAAAATGGCTTGTCCAGGATCTATAGACCTCGGTGCTCGCATTGTCCGAGGAGCACCCCGGCGCGCGAGAGTTTTCAGGGACCGCACGGACCCACTTCCTTTTCCAGATGACCACCTTTATAAAAGGCTCATATGGCCGACATATCACACTAAAAATTTAAACACGTAAGGAATGAACAAATGAATGAATTCATCTTGGAAATGAATGGGCTGCATGGGCTGTGTGATCACAGACAACATCTCCAGTTTTAAAGACCCACTCTGATGTCTATATGTTCATATGGCATTTCTCTGACACTGAAGGACATATGAGAAATCTAAGATCAAAATTGCATTTCTGAGTATTTCTGCATTCAAATCACTGTGAATCTCTGGCAGACCCAAATGGCAGGTTCAGACTCAGCGGGATTTTCAACGTCACAAACCCAAGCTCCGCCCAAGTGCCCCACTCTGCAGGCCAACTCTGCAGTGTGTACAGAAGTAGACAGCAATGCTTGTAAGAAAGCTAATCATGATATTAGCTTTCATCATGTCTCCAAAGACATTAGTGTCCAAAAGCTGAATAGCTCCTATATTACCTGCCACATTAGGCTGCAAGCTAGAGTGAAGAGGAGTTTGAAGTGGAGGGTGCAGAGCAGTGCTGTCTCTGCCCACAACTCAAGTGAATTGCTAATGAGCTACTGGAGCTCTGCAGAAGCAAAAAGCCCTTGAAAATGACACTGTTAATGTGATTTTAGCTAAAAACGTCATAATCACAATTTTAAAACCACTGAGAACACTTTCAATAGTAAAAAAACAAAAAAACTATCAGAGTGGGACTTTGAAAAGAGTTTTGTCCAAAGGGGTCCTCTCTAAGGATCTTGACTGGTCTGTGCAGTCTCCTTGAATACAGCTGAGTGGTTCCAGGATGTTGGGGCTAACTATCCAGCCTTCCTGAGGTGTCATGGGTCAAAACAGTGGTGAATGGAGGTAACCCTGCTTAAGTGCTAGCTCTCACTGACCATCTAACCCCATCCATCCTTCAGCCCGTGTATTGGGGGACATAAGAGGCCCATGCTAGATGATGTCATTTATCGCTGCACCATGAATGTTGGAATGGAATTGAAATGGGATAGGCTTCTTTACGAGTGCTTATCTTTTTCATTAGAGCACGAGCTCTGGTGTTTATTTTAAAATGAGTCCACCTGCTCCTCACAGCAGTTATGAGTAAGTCATGAGAGACACTTTGACTTCCTCTAAGATTTCCCAGTTGAGTACAGATCCTCACAGGGCAGCAGTTGGGTCTAAAATTATAATAAAGGTGACAAAATGATACCTTTGTTTTGAATTTTTTTCGATGAGCAATGAAAATAAAATATGTCATGTCCTGTTTTGTTTTTCAGCTGCTTGTTTCTTTCATTTTTTTTCATTTCCTCTCTTTCTGCTGGTTAACACAGCCCTCATCTTCTTATCAGCTGCTTCGCTCTGATTCCATCAGTCCGTTAATTTGTTTTCTCTAACCTCAACATTCCTCAGATACCCGGCAGACTTGCTTCCTTCATCAGCCTGACCTGATCTTTTAGCCTCTTTGTGGCTTTATATTGAGGGTTCTCACTGCTCCTCTGTGCTTGCTTGTTTATCCACTTAATGTCTCATCCAGTTCCTGTTTTCATGTTCTTGCCAGTTCCTAATTTTGTTTTCATGTTCCTTGAGTATTCCTGAATACTCCTGATCTGATGTCTGTCTGTCATTCTGAAGCTCTTACAGTCCAAACCTGACTCTGTGTTTTAGTCACAAATTCCACTGTTAGAGTTGGTTTCTGTTCCTGGCTTCCTTTTTTGTTTTTGGCCTTTCCTGAGCCTCAGACCATGCAGGCACCTATCATCACCCCACCCCTCTCCCTGTTCCAGTCACTGTGTCTTTATTCTTGGCCGAACTTTGGCTCCATGATGTGTTGCCAACATTCTGCGTGTTCTTGACTCTCCATGCCATTGCCTGATCAAACCTGCTTGCATGTTGACAGCTGCTGAAAGACCTTGTCCCCATAAACTGCCTTTTAACTCTATCTCTTCTGTACTTGTGTCCGCATTTTAGTCCAGCTTCATATCTGCATTACCAGGTTCATGACAAGTTTAATGAGTTCTAGTAATCTGTATCCCGTGTTGGACCCCTGCCCATCAGCTTGAATAATTTAATTGGCGCTTCGTGTCTCATTACAGTTTAGGTCTTTCATGGGTTGCTGCTTTTTTCTAGGTATAACTGTCAGTGTAGTGGTGGACTCTGACTCGACTTCTTTTCGTAAACTTGACTTACATGACATAACATGAGTTGATGAATAATCTGCAAGATAAGAAAAAACATGATGTTGAGAATTTAAACAGGTGTCTGAAAAATCTCAACCTTATAGTGAGACTGTTTAATGACCCACAAAAGAAGTTACAATTATAACCAACAAAATTTAGAAACTATTAAAGATATTCCTGAAGCTACCCCTGCTGTTATGATGTTGGATTTCTACCCTCAATCTTAATCAATCATTTTCAATTCAGATAGCGCCAAATCACAATAGTCGTTCTCCCAAATCCCTTCTCAAAAGAGCAGATCTAGACCAAAGTCATTGTTTTCTGCATCACAAAGATGGAAAAGATTTGACCCATCTCAAACCAGCATGATTGAAGCACTTTCTGGTGGCAAGGAAAAACTTTTCTTTTAACAGGCAGAAACCTTTAGCAGAACCAGACTCATGTTAGACAGCTACCAGCTTGTGGAAGAGGGGGGATAGATGGATACCAATAACAACAGCAGCAGCTCAGTCCTGGTTACAGAGCCAATAATAATGGAAGAATATAAGTTCAGTTTACAGGAACAGGAAATAAGTAATAACGGACTATGGTAAATTAATGTTACGTGATTAATTTCCCTTTGGAGATCAATGAAGTTCTTCTTCTTCTTCTTCTTCCAGCAGTCTGAACTATTAGCAGCAACTATAAACTATACCTAAGTCCCAAAATTCCTGTTGTTACACCAAAAATATTTATTTCAACTATTTTAAATGTGTTCAATATGGGTCTTCAATTTGTTATCTACTGCCACAGGTACCAGACTTTTATATGAAGCAGGCTATTATTAGAGGCAGGTCTTTACCTCTCCGATCTCCTCCACATCGCCACCCCCTCACGCTCCCTCAGATCCTCCTCCTCCTCCCTCCACCTCTCTGTGCCCTCTGCCCGGCTCAGCATCATGGGGAGCAGGGCTTTCAGTCGCTCTGCTCCCAAACTCTGGAACTCTCTCCCCCCGGATCTCAGAAACATGGACACCTCAAATCAAAACTCAAAACACATCTGTTTCAAATTGCATATTCTCTTTAACTGTCCACCTTCATACTTGTATGTTGTTTTTATTTATTTTAATTGTGTTTCTAACTGTGTTTTTAATGCCCTGTACAGTGTCCTTGAGTGTCCAGAAAGGCGCTTTTAAATAAAATGTATTATTATTGTTATTATTATTACTTATAATAATTTTTGCCAGTCTCAGAGAACTATAAGTGCTCATATTTTAAATAAAGTCAGGGTCATACTCTCAAACTCCAGCTAAGACATTACATTATTCCCAAAGCACAAAGGGTTTACTGCTTTATCCAGAGGAAATCACATCTCTCTCTCTCTCTGTAAATTAGCCTTATTACTGCTCTTAATTGACTACAGCTCCTCCTTTAATACTAGTACTCCAACCGTACTGATCAGCACACTACTCCACCTTGGCCTTTCCAGTCACCTCTGGACCGTGAGCATATACTTCTTAACAAACTACCCTTAATCTGTCATCTCACCTCTTCTCCACCCTCATACTTAGCACTGGCTTCCCACAGGGCTGCATGCTGAGTCCACTCCTGTACTCTCCCTTCACTCACGACTGTAAATCTTCCCATTCCTCCACCTCCATCATCAAGTTTGCAGATGACACAAGAGCAGGAGGACTTACGATGAGTGATGATGTCTGTGTACTGAGATGAGGTCTTTAAGCCGACTGGGTGAGGCTCTGAAAACAATCTGTCACTAAATCCAAAGAAAACAAATTGACTAAAGGAAATGCTGATCTGACCGACCCCCATCTTCATAAATGGAGACTGTGTGGCAAGAGTTTACAGCTTCAAATTCCTGGGGACTCACATATCAGACAGCCTCTCCTGGTCCATCAACACCACTGTGGCCTTGGAAAAAAAAACACAGCAGCGTTTGCACCTCCTGTGAGTCCTAAACAAGGATAACCCCTTTGAGAAGCTGCTGATGGCTTTCTACCATTCTGACATAGCAAGCATCTTGACATACTGCATCAATGGTTTCAAAGCCAGTTTAACCAGTCATAGTATACACAGAACTTTATCTCCATTTTCTGGAATAAAATACTGCTGATCATGCAGCGTTGCAGGATCCCATCTGTTGTCTGTGCACAGTTACATCCGGGTTGTAGATAATGTTAGCATTACAGCAGAAGGCCCTCACCAGAACTTACGCCCTTGTGGAGGGTGGCAGCACAGTAGCACAGAAACTTAGATCCACATTTTGTGTCTAAAATGATGAAAATATGGACAGTTTTTATATAACCTGGCAGCATGGATAGACAGCCATGGAGCCTCCTGTGCACACTCTGGGCCAATGCCCAACCATGATGATTATGTGGTGGGCCTCGCTAACTATCATGGGCAAAGTTTGGGGGATCTATTCACTGAGCCCCCTTGTTGCCCCATGGGCATGTTGATCTAAGACCAACGGCTGTTCAGGCACAGCCAGTGTGTTGCTATCTGCTATTGTAAACTGAACATTTCAAGTCTAAGTTATACCTATGGTCAATGCGATGATGGGTATTAGGTACATTTTCAAAAGAACTGTGGCTGGATTGTCAAAGGAGGGTCATGGGGAAGCAACATATCATGCAGATCAGCCCTGACTGTTGCACAAAATTAACCATGCAGCAAAAAGTGTGTGCAAGGCTGTTTTGTAAGCTGTAGATGATACTGAATCAACTGTAGCTTTTAAAGTTCACTGTGCCCCCCAGGTACATTTAATGAGCACCCACTTGTTGGTTTCTGTAACCCATTAATAATTCTGACGCCCAACAGCAAGGAGTATGAGATGCTGAGCTCTCAGTTTTGACATGTGCTGAAAGTTTCTTATTGCTGCTCCAATTTAGGAGGCATGCATACCAAGTGTGCACAATGTTTGTGAGAGGAGAGATGAAAATTTGTGTGGGTCTGGTGAGAGAGTGCTGGTTGGTAACATGGAGTACTGTATGCAAATTGATTTAAACAAGAAAAACTGCATTTTAGCGGGATGACAGCTGTTATGTTATGTAATTCAAACATTAGCAAAGGAAAGGGCATGTCTCAACAGCAGGTATCAAAGATGGTCGTGGAAACCTACCAGGAGGTGTCTGGTTGCATTTTTCTGCACTGAAGTTAGGTTTCTTGACTCTTCACCTGCTTTAATGGCATCAGTGAATTTTTTGTAGAATTTAGGGAGCTGCATGTGCCCCAACATCCTGACGTGTATCACATGAGAAAACTGTTACCACATTGCATTACAAAACAGTCTGTAGTTTGTGCTTTGCATTTCAATTGGGAAAAATGTTTCCTCTTTATCACCTCTCGTTGTTGGATGTAAGAGGAAGGTTTTGGTGAACCTCAAGCCACACTGTCACAGCAGACTGACTGTTTCATCATTTCTTCTTTGTCCATCTGTTGAGATACACAGAGGCTGGTACATCAGTTTAGTTCTGCGGCACAGATATGTCACAACCACTATTGCTGTTTATGTTTTATCTCACAGGCCACAGTGCTCATATTGTATTGTTGGACTGAGAAAAACATTACATATGAAGTTAATGCAGCTGCAAAACAGCATAACTTAAAATGCCAAGTTACAGCACAACACCATAGAGAAGTGTTTGATGCAAGACAGCTGTCATTGCCTGTCTTCTTCTCCCTTCATTGCCGGTTTTCCGTTGCCTGTTTGTTATGTCTTGGTATCAGGGCCTGAGTTTTGGGGCAGGGCTTTTGGATACCCCCCACAAAATAAATCATTCCCTAAAGTGAAGTTTGTGGATGCAGGAAAATCCCACACATATTTTTAACCCTTTGATGCGCAACATATGCACACCCCCTCTAATGCGCAACATGGGTCTAAAAAGACCCGCATTCATTTCCAATGGTATTTCATGCTGGCCGAGTTTTTCTTTGTTCTATCTTTTGAAATCACTTTATTTTCTGATTGAATATTCCAAGTATTCTTTAGGTATCTTGTTTTTGATCACCACTGATCATTATTTCTATTTTTCTTTTCATACTTTATGAAATAATATAGTTTCTATATTATTACATCAAGTTTACACACATGGGTCAAAAATGACCCATTCATCCAAGTGTGATTTAATATTAAATTACCTAATACTATAATAATAATTTGTTTCAAGTAATGAAATTAGCAGTGAGTGGGGCCAAACCATAGACTGTATATACTATAGACAACTTGGTTCCACCTCCCGCCTGTATACGGATTTGGAGCCAAATAGCTCTTGATATTTCCGGGATTTTTCTTCATTTCTGAAACCAGCGCTGCGCAGTAGCAATGCGCGCATTCGGCCGCGCAGTCACCGAGAGTCGCTGTGATGACGCTCGGCTCAAACAGCGTATCCCCCCGGGAGAGCTACGCAATCCCTGAATGCCCATAGGCTGTATCCATAGACTGTATGTACTATGGACAACTTGGTTCCGCCTACTGCCTGTATTCAGATTTGGAGCCAAATAGCTCTCAATATTTCCGGGATTTTTCTTCATTTCCTGAAACCAGCGCTGCACAGTAGCAATGCACGCATTCGGCTGCGCAGTTGCAGAGAGTCGCTGTTATGACGCTCGGCTCAAACAGGATATCCTCCGGGTGAGCTACGCAATCCCTGAACGCCCATAGGCTGTATCAGGTGTCAATCATAGAAAACATGAACCCCCTAATAACTTTTAAAAACGGAGCTTCACAGAAAAAAAGAGGACTTGAGCACAAACCAGTCTGACAGTAACTACATGTCAACATCGCAAGCAGGAGGGAGAAAAATGTATGTTCTGTGTAATTAATTTCTAAAGTTTGTCTACAGCTCCGTAAGCTTTGCTGGCAGAGGCGGGATTTATGACCTATACTGCAGCCACTCACCAGAGGGTGCTGTTCTCAGAGTGGCTTCACCCAGCAAGGGGGCAGACTGTCCATTCTATATACAGTCTATGGCTGTATCAGGTGTCAATCATAGAAAACATGAACCCCCTAATAACTTTTAAAAACGGAGCTGTACAGACAAAAGAGGACTTTAGCACAAATCAGTCTTACAATTACTACATGTCAACATCACAAGCAGGGGGGAGAAAAATGTATGTACTGTGTAATCAATTTCCAAAGTTTGTCCACAGCTCCATAAGCTTTGCTGGTGGAGGCGGGATTTATAAACTATACTGCAGCCTGTAAACAGGGGGTGCTGTTCTCAAAGTGGCTTCACCCAGCAAGGAGGCAGACGCTGTCCATTCTGTATACAGTCTATGGGCCAAACACTTATGTATTTTGTATTAGCAACATGTTTATTTGTCATTTTGTCACATACACATGCGTCTGATTATAGCTAGCTGAAATAAAGCTAGCTGTTTTACCTGTAACTTTGTAACTTTCCAACATGTCAAGTCCTCACTCTCAAGGTAACCTAAACCTAATCAAATCTTTGTACAATTATATTTCACAATTGTCATCAAATAATTTAATTAAAGATAATGTCAGAAGAATTGAAAAACCATACTTACATGTATTAGACGGTCTTTTCATGCTAAATGCTACTGTCACTATATGTGGGTCATTTCTGACCCATGTATGTAAACTTGATGTAGAAATACAAAATCTGTGCTTCCTCATAACATAAGAAAGGAAAAATAAAAATGATTATTTGTGCTCAACTAAAACAAGATCTTTACTGCATACTTGGAATAGTAAATGATAAAATTAATTTATTTCAAAGATATACCATAGAAACACTCAGCCATACATGAAATAACATTGAAAATGGATACGGGTCATTTTAGACCCATGTTGTGCATTAGAGGGGTAGTGATACAAAAACGGTTTTTATTCTAAAAGTAAAAAAAGAAAAATTAACATAAGGATATAGGGTTGTCAAAAACAAGTTAATTGAGGAATTCCTTGAGTACCGACTGATGGAATTCATTTATTGAAAAGATATATAAAATTTAAACTCAGCCGGGTCTTTTTTGACCCATGTTGTGCATCAAAGGGTTAAATTTAAAAATCTAACAATGACCTGAAATGACACACTGCTAAAACATGCATCGACAGAGCCGGTAAAGAGGCCACATCAGTCTGGATCACTTGCTGTTGTTTATACACCTTAAGGCAAGTGTGTTGCAGAAAAAAGAGGAGTGGCTGTTTATCATCAGATCCCTATACACAACTGTAACTGACATACAACCGTCTATACTAAACAAACTTTCAATGATGTGAGTCACGTTGAATAAAAACAACAGCAAGACAATCTGTAACATCTGAATGTGTATAATGTTCGTTGGGAAGCTACAGTGGACATCTGCAGCTCTCATCATAAGTACTGTTTAGAATAAAGTGTAAACCCTAATACTACTCCTGATATTTATGATTATGATTATGTCAAAGAGACACCAGAAATACCACTGAAGCTGAGGAAGTGAAAAGACTGATGCTAGACTGATAACAAGAAGAAGAAGAACAAAGAAAAAGTGATTTCCCCCATGACCTAGAAATAGACCTTCTTATACTGACACAAATTGTTTCCTTTTTCCCTTGCATCTTGTATTGGATTGACCAAACTGGGGAATCTAACTGGCCAAAACAACAGCAAATAGACTTTGT